TGAGTAAATCGCATTTGAACAAGGGTCACTATACGAATTCCGCCCGATTATAACACTTATCGGCCATGACGTCATTTTTTTCAGACTACTTTTCGCCCCCTAAACATCCTTTTTTTTCCTTGAAAATTTGCAATGACATTCCGAGATGCAATACGCAGGGCACCTCATGGCCGGATTTTCGAAATTGGTCAAGGGGGCCATTTAAGACGCCCTTTTGTCCTTTAAATCTATTTTACATCACATGTTTCGATAGGATTATCATAGAAAAAAAGAGAGTAGTTTACAATAACGACCATGAAATTCTCTTTCCAATGATACCATATACGGCCCATAAAGAGACATAAAGAGAGAGAGAAAAAACAATTTAACTCCGGTCATAATACAGATCCTCTACGTTTTCCGCCCATGCATTACACGCATTGTCTATGGGGCAAATCGGGTTCACGCTTTTGACCCCTAGAACGATCTTGATTGCAATGACGAACATGCAACTAATCCCATTTGTTTTTGCACGCAGTGCTTGCGAGCCCTTTCTAGGTTCTTTCCCCTATCCCAATTTCTTTCAAACATCGTAGGCATAGTCACTACCATCCCATCAAGGTCACTATTGAGGCCTTTCTTTCGCCCTACCTGTCTCCAATATTACAGAAGCTAAAGACTTCGTACAAATTGCTCTGGATAGTCCGAGAGAAGCTATTTCGTTCGACACGTAGAAACACGGCGTCATTGCACGCACATCGTTGTGACACGATTGCATTTCTAGTTCTCTTTTTCTTTCCGTTCTTACCCTTTTTCACTCGTTCTTCTGATTTTTAAAGAATTCACTCTGGATTTTCTCCGACATAATTAAACATCGCTGCTGTATAATGATGTCATCATACATAAATCTAGGGATTTGTTATTTCTGTCCGTCTATAATATCTGCATTGTACTGAAACTAAAACATGTCAAACTGAGTTCGGTTTGATAGGTCGTTTACCCAGTATTACTTGAAGAACAGTATCCTGACTGAAACTATATTCTCACTGGAAACAAAAATGTAATTAGAATTATAGAATTGATTTGAATTATGATATGACTGTATTAACTTTTCCAGGCTACCCAGAACTTAACAGAAAGAATGAACAATGAAAGAACAATTAAAAAGCAAAGGAATATTTTTCCACTAACCATGTTAACAGTTTTAAACTTGAATTGCCAACCAAACTAAGGACCTAATGATAACGTATAAAGTCAGGTTGTTCTGATATTCCCCCCCCCCCCCCCATTTTCTTCACCTTCTACATTATTTTCCTCTCCAGAACGGTGGGCATCCAGGGAAAGTTACAATAAAAGGAGCTCTAAGTTCTGCTAGAAAAGTATAAATCCATTCAGTATGTGGATGAGTTTGAAAGTTCGGGGGAACCAGAAATGGGTTTTTGACAATCTACTTCCTATAGAGGGATGCCCATTTCTGTACCCGATTTTTGAATAATCATTTCCCTGACAAAATTAAGAAGTTAATTACAATAAATTGGACTCGTTCTACGTGTTACATTAAACTACAGCTGGACGTGCCCTTTTTGTATGTGTCTCACAAAATATTGCCCCTTTATAAAAAAAAATATGTTTCCTTTTTTTCACGAGTTGACTTCCTGACTCTTGAGCGTAAGGCCAAGTACTATATTTATTTCATTTACATTTCCTTGTATCGAAAGTTTGTAATCAGGAACTAAAGATATTTATTCAGCTAGGCCTTGAACTTCAGGGATTAAAAAAAAATGAATAATGGCCACTTATATCAGCGCTAATATACATCACGCGGTGACGCTCTTGGCGTTTAGATATTACTACCCTGGTTAATTTATAGCTGAGTCGCCAACGTAATTGCACTCGAGCATACCAGGTACCCATTAACACCTTGGTGAAGAGTGGCAATTGTAGATTATGCAACGTCTTGCCACAGGACGTTAGTGTTGGGCTAGAGCTCGAACCGTATAACTTGATATACAGTCAGGTGACCTATCCACTAGACCACAATACATATACAATGATGGAATGGTAGAATGGTGGAATTTCGACATACCCATTGTGCAATTTTTGCATTTAATTCCTGTTAATGAAAAAAAAAACACTGACCAATGTCACTCTCACATCAGTCTTAGATGGTGCGTCAGATGGCGCGCTATATAGTCGATGACGCAGTACTCCGTCAACAAAATGACGCCTCCTGTGCAGTGATATGCGAACTACTAACGTCGATTTCATAATCTTTTACGCCGATTTTATCAGGCATCCCTTAAAAAATAAAGGCTTATAGTAGTTATAAAGATATAGACGTTCCCAGGGTGTTTACCAAGGACAATAAAATGTATTGTCAAGTAATTTAATAGGATTTATGACCATTTCGAACTACATATCAATGGCTTTGAAGTCATTAAGATACATTGTTTCGGGTTTTAATGATAGCAATTATCGTGAAATAATGATAGGGGAAATTACTTAGGTACGCCGGAAATTGCATATATTTTACCATGTTTCGTTACCCGTTTAATCTAATCGGTATATGATTGGTTATGAGAAGCTTTACGCGAGCTCCTTTTTGATAGACATAATGAAAGCTAATTAGTAATAAAACAAGTAATGTGTCTTGACAGGAAATTAGTTCGTTGAAAGATTTCATCCCAAGATTGTTAAGAGAACAAACCTTCATACATTTCAAGCATGTACACAAGGAAAGTTACCCACTTGTTAATGTAAAAATTGAACATGAAGTCGCAGTTTATATTACCTGAACCCCGGCATGCTGTTTACGAGATGTCTGACAAACGAAACGATAACAATTTCTTTTTCTCTCATTATCTGTAATCATCATTGAACTAGAAACCATGCAACCTTCATAATTACCGTTAAACCTTTCAGGATTTTGTACAAAAAGCTCCAGAATTATGAAAATGAGCTGCTCTGCCCCAGCACATTCCTCCCCTTTTCCTGGATGCCTGTATATTTTTTTATTGGGACTGTATTCGTTTTTAGCATTCCAGCGGCATTCAGTACCTCGACACTTTTCCCCTTTTTTCACTCTCAGAATTACATTGTAATTTTTACGGTACATAATAGATTACGTAAGAAATCATTTGAAAGAGGTAATTACTTGTTAAACACAAAAGGTGAACCTAAGTTACATTGCAATGGTCTTGATGTAAATTGCCATAGAATCAGGCGAGGTTGTAGAATATTATTTGGGGAGGGGAGGGGAGGGAGGCTTGGGGTTCTTGCATTCATTTTCTAGATCTGCCTTGCTGAAATTCATTTATAATCAAGATAAATAGGGGTGTGGCTTGAGCCCTCAGCCCAGCCCCCCTCTAGAACAGCTGCTGCATACAATTAACAAACAAAAACTTCACATGGCTAAGATATTTAGTTTAACGTTGTCATCGGTCATGTAATCGCATCGGTTTTTGCTTTTAATCCCCATGCACAAAATGCTTCCTTCAAGCTTCTTTTGAAGACTTGTATATGTATGTATTGTCAGCAGATGGAATCATAAATCATTCACGGGCATAAATCAAGTCAAGTTACAGCCTCGGTTGATACGATTGTGGACGTAAAAACTCTATTTTTATTAATGCAAGTAAAGTAAGGGTGCAAACCCTTTTTATTTGGGACTTAATTCTAGGAGAATTAAAACAAAAAAATTAAAGTTGATCAGGTGTTTTCTTTCATTAAGACAATACTTTTTATTACGTAAATATTATTGATTAATCATTAAGAATTTATACGATGAATAATACAGATGGCCGTACAACGACAACCACAAACAACCCAAAGGGCATTTAACACCCGGAAAACTACCCTCGCACAAAAAACGCCGTATTGCAACTACCCCTAAATATACAATTCTATTACTCCTTGAACAATTATCTTCGAATAATTCGGATTCAATGTAGGTTTACATTTTAAGAGCAATACAACAAAGAGAGAGAGACACCCTTCATGAGTTCATTTCAAACCTTTTCCAAAGTTTCTCAAGCAGAGCAGACAGGATAAATGCATCTATTCAATGAGTTCAGTGAATTTGTTTTAAGGAAAACTGAAATTGAATTCGATAGAAATTTGACATTGCTGAACATAACCTGCTACGGGGTAAAACGAAAATGAACAGGTGACCGGATTATATTATTGGTAACTTTTGTTTTGGATCCGTGAGTTTAATAGTTATGTAGATGTGTTTGCGACATTCAGATGTCCGTTTAAGTGTATCGATTAGCATTAAATTACATCTCTCACACCTCCCCCCTCTCTCTCTCTCTCTTTCTTTCTCTGTCAATCCACGTTGAATGTCTCAGTCACTATCGAAAGAGAAAGCATAGTGAGCTTCAAGATGTATGCGATAATGTGCACAGAAAGTGAAACATTTTAAACACTTGCTAAACAGCTTTTATTGTTCAAATCTCGGGTGTCATCTAAACAAATGTTGTCCAATGATTTTCAAATAACTTCTAATTAAAACATAACTATTTCTCCGATAGTGAACTGGGGAAATCTAGGGGCAGCCACATCGGTACTTGTAAAATTAAAGGGAGAATATCCGATCAAATTGTATAGACAAATAGTATTGATAATATTACTAATGCTTGTAGATTATTATTGAAAAATGAATTATAGATGCATGGATGCATATTTATATACACAACGATGATGAAGATAGTGTACTACACGATTTTGAAATATTACATTATTACCAAATGGATAAACATGATAAACAACGATAAAATGTGTTTTAACAAATATTTCATACTGTACAGGGCATGTAAATTAATTCATTCCGGTAGATAGTTGGTCACAGTACCCAAATGGTCGTATCGGCAAAGTAACTTTAGAAAAAAGAACATTCCAACTCTGCTTTAAATCTCCTGTACCCAAACATGCCTTTCTAGAAGCTGGTATTATAAGGTCCCTGGATTGATACAGAATTTGTTTTCATTATTTCTATATCTTTTTCTTTCGTGATATTTCAGGGGTGGTGATGGAGAATATAGTAACGGGAAGGATTCCCCGAACGGAGATTTCTCTCTTGATGGTGAGACTGAAGGGTCTCGGATAGGACCTGATGGCGGTCTTCATGGGGTCAACAGGGACATGAGGCCATCGAACGGGTGTAAGTATTTGCTCACACCCTCCAAATATGCACCCCTACTTTATGGACAGGCTTCATACATCTCTTTACAATACGATTCCTTTTAAATAACTCTTATCATTAATACCAACGTCTTGAATAGGCCTAGGAGCAATAATTGTGAAAAGTCATGAGAGGCTACACCATTCGGAAATGTATTCATTCATTTTTAACTAATACAAAATCAAGCGATTTTATTCGCAGAGTCCCCTGAAATGTTAATATCTGTGCTGTCGAACCATTGCGTTCCGGTCATTCTTTGTAAATAAAGGTATAGAACATCATAGGGTATACTATCCATCATTCGACTGACATCTTCTTCATTAATCTTTTCTTTCAACAGTAGACCCGATGTTGGGTCACCATCAGTCGGGTTCTGCTATAACAGTGATATCCACAAGCTCAGGAGGCGGTAACACCACCACTGATCTTCTGCACCCACAGGCCGTGAAAGTGGAACCTCCAGAACCCTTAGACGAGAACAGAGGTGTACCTCTGAATATGCACGAGCCACCCGACCTGGCCAATCTCACCGATGCCACTGGGCTCCAGGCATTCAAATTTGTACCGGAGATGCTGCTACCACAGGTATGATGCAGGTTTGGGTCTTCGAAGATGGTTGAAATATATGCAACCTGTTGAAATAGATCAAAATTAAGATTAGTAGGACCTTGCGAAAACTTAACGTGATACAAATTTGTTTATATCAGAAAAAAAAATTGAGAACCAGGGGCCGTAGCCACTTACTCTTGGGGCTAAAACAGTGTTGCCCTTTTCACAGCCCTTTAGTAAGCCTGGGTGTCATCCCATCAGAGAGCCTGGCCGACTAAACAGGAGTCTAGCCTCCCCAAATTATTTTGGGTATTCGTTGTTTTGTTTTTTTTGATATCGAATCGTGAACAATTCTGATCACGGACCCGTCTTTATGGACTTTGTGGCAGATTAGCCTTGTGCTGAACAAGAGTTAGTGAGCTAATAATACAACTACTACTACTACTACTACTACTACTACTACTACTTTTACTACTACTAATACTACTTTTACTACTATTACTACTACTACTACTCTACTTCTACCATTTAACAATATGCAACTAGTCCGAATTAATTCCATCTCAACTTGAATTTGATATCAATTGTAACTCCAAATACAACAAAGTTTGTAATGTAACTTTTCGATTGATTGGAGGGTCTCCGTTAGCTACTTTTAAATGATTTTTGTTGATGCTATTTGTTTGTATCCTAGATGCTACCATTGGCTCTAGCTTCAAGTAAAGGTGATATCAACATGAACCACGCGGCTCAGCTAGCAACCATGTCCATGATCATGAACCCTGCCCTCCTGTCAAACCCGGCTCTTAACCTATCAACAGCCAACAACAATAATAACATCATGCCCGGCATGGCATCCATTGCATCCCTCCAACAACATCAGCAACACCACCACCACCACCATCCCGAACTACATCATCAGCAACAGCAACAGCAACACGAGCAACAAGACATGTCAGTGCACAATGTTGCGACAACTTTGAGCAGTATTCCCGCTGTGGTGTCGGCATCCAGTGCATTGAGCGCTGTGCTTTCGCAACAAGCAGCGACGGCGGGAGCAGGATTTCCCTCCAATTTTGCCGGCCGTCTGCCGTCTGCAAATGAAATGCTGAACAGCGCAGCCATGGCTCTTTCCACATTATCGGCTAACGCCAATGGTGGTGGACCAGGACATTATGCTTCGGAATGAGGTGAACATCTTCATTGACAAGCTTGTGATTTAAAAAAGTAAGGACTGTAATAATATCACATAATCATAATTATGTCTCCAATTTGTCATTTGTTTAAATCAACTTTTCGTCACCCTTCCTCTTTCTAACTATTAGCAGATTTTGGAGGTAGTGGTGCAGCTAGTTAGTCCATATAGTTGTGGTCTTTGAAACGTTGTCCCAGGTTCAAGACCTAATCAATATGTTAGACAGCTAGTTCATGTGGATGAGGGTTCATTGGATGGCAAAAAAAGGAGGAGGTAGACAAATTTTGAGGGGGGGGGGGAACGTGAAAAGAAGATGATAAGACCCCCTTCCACATACTGACTTCCCTTTAACGAATAGACATGCTTTCTTTATTAAATGTACACACACTGTAACTTATTCATGTATACAAGTATTTTCATTTTGTGTGTGGCGTATAGCCAGCGCTGAGTTTTATTTGGTGAATATATATCATCAACACAGAAACTCTTATGGATTACGTAGAAGACAGTACTATTATTACACAGTACATAATTTAATAAATTATCACATTCACTGATTCAGAATGCATTTATCACCTTACTTAATATCGTGCTTATTTTCTTATTGTGCTATATTTAATGCTTTCCTCAAACCGATGCATTCTAATTATTAATTCGAGTATTCATTTTTACGAACACTCATTTAAAATTCACTCTAAACATCATTATGCCTACTTTGATCTGTTCGTCAATAGCTCTTGTAATGATTCTATACGAATATTTTTTTTTTCATCAAAATTTAATTTCTACCATCACAAAGCCTGTTTATCACTTATTATATCGTATAACTCTGACTTTGATTTGGATGAATTGAAGCACAATTGTGTCTGCTTTTAATCAAGGTCATTTTATTAGTATCGTCCTAACTTTATTTTAATTTACTTAGAAGAGAACGTATTGGATGTTTTAAACATTCTTTATGGGTTGTTATTGTTTTCCCGTCTTGTATAACCATTAGTCATGATTTCTTTCTTATTTTCGGTCTGCTAATTTAACCGAAATAGAAAGAAAGTCTAATTTTACTTCCAAGCTCACATTCATTCTTGAATTATTTGCTTACATTTCTTCCATAATATACTCCAGAGATGCCAACCCTCCCGATTTTATCGGGAGGCTCCCGATAATTCACCCCAACTCCCGACCTTACGATCACCATCCTTATCCTCCCGATTTATTAAAAAAAAAAAAAAAAAAAAATGATTTTTTTTTTTTTTTTTTTTTTTTTTTTTTTTTTTTTTTTTTTTTTTTTTTTTTTTTTTTTTATTATGATTTTTTTTGGAGGGCGCTTATCAGTATATATATCTGTGAATTGAAAGAGAAATATCATCTGCTAACTTAAGCATGTAATAATTCCACTATGTTAAAAGACAAATTAAGAGTAGCGAAAGATTGTTTCAGCATATGGATCGCCGTAACCAATGCGTGGATATTGCCACAGAATCCAAATGGCGGAAAATCAGCAAAATAAGACCAGGAAATGGTCTCGGAAGTATAAGACCGAATACAGTATCAAGTACCTGTGTAATCGGAAGTCTGAAAGTAATTCATCATGCATTTTGTACAATTTTTATGTTATTTAAAAAAAAAGGGGGAATTATTTAACTAAATACACATGTAAAATGCTCCAAAATAAGGCTCAGATTGCACCAGAGAGCATCTAGAACCCCAGAGCTTCCAGGGCCCTAAGGCGGGCCCTGGACCCCGGCCGCATGTGTCGGGCGCTACGCGCTCGAGATGTGCGCTACGCGCACATTAATTGGTGTCGATTACAAATCCTCCCTATTTCTGATTTCCAAAAGTTGGCATCTCTGTATACTCACGCGTTTTTAAGGACAATGCTAAATTTCTCAAAACAATAGAAACATTATTCGTCAATATTACACGCTTTGGAAGTTTAATGTCAGGGATCATGTAATCATTGACCCTCCCAAGCTCACGTTTCAAAATACTATTCTCCATGTTGCACTAAAGATTAAAGGTTTGTTTTTCAAATCCAAATGACTAATGATAATGGTCCAACACCCACTTTTGCTTTCGATTCTAAATGTTTTCTTATTCGGCTACACTTCATATTAGTAGTTTAATTTCATGTTGATGTACTCTCTTAAATTCATACTCTCGGTACTTATCATGTTTATTTGGAGTATTTCACTCTCTCTCTCTCTGTCTCTCTGTCTCTCTCTTTTCCTCCCTCCATCTCCTTATGCCCTTCTCATAAGTAGATAGTAGGGCAACTTTGAAATGTTTGTTTTCTTTCATAGTATATTGTGGTTGTTCGAATGTATCATATTCACCCCCCCCCCCCCCACCTCATTACTCGTGCTCGCTTTGTTCATGTTGTTTCCAATGTTGTGACTATTTCGTTTCCTAAATACTTGTTAATTCTACTTTATATGTTTTTATCTGTTTGTAAACTTTGCGTTATTCCGTTCTTCTGTTAAATCTGCTCGTCAGTGATGTGGAAACTATAGCTTTTAATTGTCAACACATCCCAGCCCCACACCAGTTTGTTAGTCACTTGAAGAACCATTACGAGTTGATGCTGTCTACCTCTTCCCAATACGCTTTACACATATCTCATATCAAAGAGAAAAGCACATATTGAGCTTTGTAAAGACAGGTTGAATTCGGATTGTTTTCTTCGTCAAATGTATAATCATCTCTACGTGGCAAGCCTTGACATTGTAATTTCTTTTTGTATTCTTTCCATTGTTTCCATGCCACGTGTATAATTATGCTGAGACTGTGACATATAACACCTTTGTTTCCTATACATTCAGTACGTAATTTGATATATGACATCAGTTCGGTTTGAGGGTAGAGACTGTCATACCTGAGTTAACTACAGAGTGCTGTACTTGCATGGGTTCCACAAGATTAATGAAAACAAATGAATACAAATCATTTGCCTCATGTGAGCTATTTAAGTGATGGATAAGAAAATTATATTTCTCAATATAGGCAAGGTTTGCGTTTTCATTAACACATACTGTGACTATACTAGAGAACATTAGTCAATACCGATGGGGTGTCTTTCATGCCCCCCCCCCCTACAATCACCTTCTCTATCTTCTGACATTATTACCCTTCCTCCAATCTTGTCTCCTCCCCCACAGTCTTATTGTATAGTCAGCATCACGCTGTTAGATGCATCACGTAGACCCACATACCAGCATCTTCTTATGGCGTCTCTTTGTTCTCTTGCCCCTAATACGGTACGCCATCTACATGTTCATAACGAATTCAAAATTATTTTCTTACTATAATTTGTTTTGCCTATTCGGCTACCACCCCGCCCCACCATAACAACTGACTTTAAAATTTGTTTATACAGAAAAGGGAAATGTCTTGTTGATAGAAGTTTGTTTACCCCGTGATACCACACCCCCTCTCCCTATTAGCTTGCCAAATCGACCACACCAGACACGGGCAGGAACCAGTCGTACATCTTGCTATACGACATACCAGTTATCTGCGATTGAGCACGTATATAGTTAATAGTGCCTATATATTGCTCTTGATCATCTGGTGCAGTTTGATAGACCATCTGCTCGCATTACTTCCTTGCTATTATCCACGTGAGGCGCTGAAGTCACTTTGTAAATCTAGACCACCACTTAAAGATGCAACCTTAACTGGCGGTGGTCGCCATTCGATATGCCTTGATGACAGTTAATACGCACTACCGAGTGATGTGCGGGGTGATGCGTCACTGGTACTGGTAGGGTTAATGATTATACCTTGTAAATCTTTTTTCCTATCCACTCTCCTATTCTTCTTCTTCTTCTCTTCCTCTCTTCCTCTACCTGCTCTATCCTCTTCATCTTTCTCTCCCCTCTCTATCTTTCTTCCTCCACTTCCCTCTCTTACACATTTTCCTTCCTTCTTTCTCTCACCGTCGCTCTCGTTCTTATCCACTTACCGAACCCCTCCCCCTCTCTTTGGCTTTTCGTTTGCTATCCCTTAAAGTGATTATGTCCCATTTGCAGGCCCCAAAAAGAAAAGGTAAAATTCCAACGGCACTTGAAAGATAATACTAATTTAGAATTTCCCTCAAAACGAAAGGACTTGAAAAGTGTCCTTTTTTTGTCGAATCGAATTTAGGGATTGCAGTCGTTTCATTAAATATCCTGATTTTCAGACCCTTCTACCAAACGGTTGTGCGTTTTGTGCTCCGCAAAGATTCAATCAGTTTTAATTTTGTCCATTACAAGAAGTGGGTTATTAATGTAGACAAAATAATGTTCATGTACCCATTTCAGCTCATTTTATGTATGTTTTTACCAAACAAAAAAAGAAGTCACTCACTCACTCAATAGTGTCTGACAGTGAAGTTATTGAGAGAAAACGGGTTTCCTTGCATAATTTGAACACTATAGGACACTGCTAACGTTCGCATTTATATAGGACATACGTGACATATTCATAACTCCTGCAAAGTTCTACAGAATTTGATGTTGGCTGCAAAAAGGATTCACTACCTTTAAAGTTCGTCGGTTATCTTGTTTCTTTTTTCCTTTTCTTATTGTATTCCGTATCCAGTCTATTGATTATTCCAAAATAATATTCTCACATCTCTCTCTCCCCATCTTCCATTAATTCCTTCTAGCTTTTTTTATCCTATAAGCCAACTACTTATCACTACTCTTCAATTTTTTTCTCATATTCCTCTTCCTGTATTTCTTGGTGCCCTTATCTGGCTGGTTGTTGAAATGCCTTCCTTCCGTGAATGTTACCAAAAATATCCACACAGGTTAAGACTATATGAACATGCTGAAATGAAAAAGATTCACAAAAGTTCCGCCTTGCTTGGAAACGAGACTTTCATATATAATTGCACCACAAGTACCCCACCTCGACCACTTATGTTTATGTTTTTTTAACTTTAATGCTTACACTGTGCATGATACACCTACCCCCCCCCCCCCCCCATTCTCTCTCTCTCTCTCTCTCTCTCTCTCTCTCTCTCTGTCTGTCTCTCTCTGTCTCTCTCACTCTCCCTCACTCTCCCTTATCTATCTAGCTTCTATTTTTTTTCTTACTGTATTTCATAATCATACTAATTTTTTGGAAAAACCATGCTGTGTGGTTGGGACAGCGCGTTAATTTGAAGTGATATAAACGTTTTAATATAGGCCTACGTGTGACTTTGTACATGTTGTGGAACGCTTAAACCAAGTTTGTGTTGATTGCTTATGTGATGTAGTGGTGTTGTGTGTGGCCATGGTATACGGTGTACATATATCATTTGTCATAATAACTGTGACCCTAATCATGACATTTATAGGCGACTATTTAAAGTCGATTTCAATTCCGATCCTTAAAGGCCCCCGTCCACACATCCTTGGCAAAGCAGCGTTAGTAATTTAAACGCTCTATATATTCTTAGTATGTACATTATGCGATTGAGATATTAGTAGAAGTAATGTACAAGTATAAATCTGCTGGTTCACGATCATCCAAAATTTCAACAATACACTTTAATTTCTTAGCAAGTAACTTCCAGGAGATGAAGCTACTGACCTATTTCTTGGTGATAATCAATTAAGATATTTGTATGAAGATATTTATGAACAGAAAGTGGTATTGAGCGCTATATAAAAAACCGGATTATTATTATTATTATTAATCGTTTTGAAACAATATACGCTGGTATTATTATGTTGAAATTAAGCATTTGTTTTCATGTAAAAATTACCTCCTCTCTTGAAACCTTTGTAAATCATTACGCCTGTTTGTAACATTAATTAGATAAAATGTCAAGTAATTATGTTTGACGTAAACATGGATTTTGATTAATCTCCAATTAAATACTCTTTCCAAAGCTTATAAGTCTACTTTGGTGATTAAAAACAGTACATTTATCCTGTTCTGATATAATTGTAATACGCGCTTTATAAAAACTGAGTATTATTATTATTATAATTATAATTATTATATGATTACAAGATCACAACTATTACAGTATTATTACTGTTGTCATAGTCAATTAACGTGTAACCTTTGATTTTCTAGCGTTTTTTTCTTTATCATTATTGATGTGGATTTAACTATCATGTTTTTTCGTCGTTGCAACTTGAATACGTTCATGTATGATCCGTCCTGCCTCCCATAAAGAGCGTGACAAAAACCGTTCTTGGACAATTACTCTCTGACATACCAACTTCGGGCAATTATCCCCAACATCGACCGGGCCACTGGGACGATAACATGAGGATAATAACCCCTATATAGAAAAATCCCCAACAAATAGTGACTACCTAGTCGAGAAGTATCCAGATATAAATGAAGATATACATGACAATTAGAAATAGATGTCAATGTAAAAATAAACGTGAATTATACAATCAAATTGTTAATGAGTGTATATAGGAGACACAAATGAAAGTATCAAAGAACTATAGAAGAATAAATAAGTAAAACAAACATTCTCGTAAGTAATGCAAAATATGGGAGGGGGGTGGGAGGACACAAACAATGAAATATATTATCCTCGGCCCCGTTTTATAAAGAGTTGATGTGAATCTTAATTATTCACATAAGAGATAGGGGACTGCAAACTCGCGATTGATTTGGATCAATGGCAAATCTCTATAAGACGGGGCCTTGAAATATGTGTCTTATTTTATATTGCCGTGCCTTATCGTGTGTTTATGTCTTCCATGGTGTGTAACAAAAAACGATAAATGCAGTGTATGATGTGTATCATTTCAGATCTGTACTCGATATTTTAGTAGTTGTAGTCAGTTTGAAACATGTATATTTGTGTGTATTATGTAAATATAACAATACGTGAGATTATGCCAAAGACATCTAATTGTTTTGTACGATGGTGTAGATTATTACTTCGGCCGAGTGAAACATTTATGGTCACCGCAGCCACTCAGAACAGCAGCTTAAACATTTCTTGCCACATGTGTATTATATTGAAGGAGTAATTCCCCAGTTCGCAAGGTGTAATTACTTGCTATATTTATTTGAAATTATATAGATATAGAATATAAATAATATACACAAAACGCATAGAATAGTTCCAATTAGCATATTGAAAATATAGTTATGCAGTCAATCATAGACTTAATATACGGTTATTACCTTGAATTGATCATTGTGCACAGAAGAAGAGTATTTCTTTGGCAAACCAATCTACTACGAACAGGTTGAACGTAACTATCATCATCGGCTTGCAGATTAAGTGTGACACAATTGCTGAATTATTGTGTGTTATTTAAAGAGTTAAATCCTGTCAACGATCAGTGCTTATTATTTATTGTATCGATGTATTTACATATGTGAGAACACGATTCCCTTCATTAGCAAGTTTATGAGACCATCGTAGATATTAGACTTTCAGATTTTAGTACAAATGCACGTGGTCATGTTGTTCCTCTGTTTTAGGAGCAAATGATTTGTTTGTAAGTCAGGAAAATGCGGAAAGCTCTACCTGAAATTATCTCATTATTCTGCATGTATTCGACATTCCTTTGTAACAGCATATTATCCTGAAGAAGATACATTAGTGATCATATTCTTAGTTATGCATTTATGGACTATACAATGAACGGAGTGAAGAAAATCTGTTACATTGTTTATCAGATTTTTGTTAACTTAGCTCATTTTGATCAAAGAATTAACCCACGAATTATTGCTCGTTTGCAGTGCGATTTTTTTTCTTTCAATGTGGATATTTAACTTGCTGTTAGTTGCTCTTGTTTTATTTGAATATTGTTTTGCTAGATATGAACCCGTGATAAGTGTATATGCATGTCTTTTTATTCGTATATGAAATGATATGAACCATGATGTAATCATCACTGAAATGAAATGTTGTGGTATAAATGTTTTTTTGATTACACAATCTGTGGCATCGTTTCTCATTTTGACGTCAATATTATACGCCTAATAACGGGCGGATTTCGTATGAAATGTCGATGTGAAATAATGATGTGAAAAATGGCGACATTTATATACACTACATGAAGATCATACAAAAGATCTGTATAATGTACAGCTTGAATGACGGAATGAGATGGAATGATTGAGAATGGCAGGACAGGAACATTTGTGAGAAAATAAAAGGTTGAAAGCAAAACGGACAGGGGATAATGATAGGGAGAAAGAGATGATTAGAAGAAATGGGAGGACTTTGGAAACGGGACCTAATAAGTGTGTTTGCCAATAATAAAACGATAGAGAACAAAAGAAGGTGGAGATTGAATGACATGTTGAAAAAGACAAAGACAAAGAAATTTAGAGTAAATAATAAGGGGAAGAGAGATAGATATAATATATATATAACGTGGACTAGCTAGGATGGACTAAAATAAATTGGACAACAGGAAGAGAGAAAAGGAGGATTGTCGGCATGTGGCATCCGCAGAATAATGCACATGTAGACCTGTATATCACTTTCTTTTCTTAATATATTTAGCACGAGAAAAAATAAAGACCGATGTGTTCTAAACATTGAATTGATACAAGCGTATTCATCAAGAGAAGATTCACGGTGAAACTGAGAATACACGTAGGCCTACTTTTAAAAAGAAAGGTTTGCATTCTAGAAAAATATAATTTCCACAACTACAATCATCAAAATGAAGAGGAAACACATTTTTGTTATAATCCGGTTTGTCTTCAAAACATGGACTTCTGTATCCGTGCTTCAAATTCAGAGTAAAAAATGAACAGAAATGACAAGAATCAAACCAAGGAATTTCAGCAATCCAGACATTTTACACTTGTCAAATAATCGGCTCTCTCATGACCACTTTCGGACGAATCATAAAATTAACACAACACCATGTATACAGACAGACCTCTTTTCGTCACATCAATAGTTTCACGACAAACTTCATTTGTTGTTAATACATGTATAGGACAAGTGTCAATTGTTCCTGTATCAAGAGAGACATGTATAAAGACAAACAACATTCAGAAAGCACTTCACTTCATTCACCTCCTACAGTGCACATCCATTCATACATAACATTACACATCTCTTATATTTCACTAAATATTTCTTCTTCCCAAACTAGCCAATCGTATGATATCAGAATAAAAATGCAAAGGACTCCCTAATTTTTTTTCTTTTCATATTTTATTTCAAGCAATTTTCCAATGCTTGTTATACTGTTCTGTATAGGAAATGAAACAATATAATGCAAATCATCATTTGATATTGATTTCATATTAAGTACATACCCCACCCCCCCCCCCCCAACAAAAAACAAAAAATAACGTAAAAATACGACTGTTACACGTGGCCTTGCAACAAAAATGGTCAGAGTGGGTTGTAAAAAAAAAATGATAATAATATAAAAATAGAATTTGAAACCCTTAGACCTACATGTATTATGCATTTCCCTGGATATACCATTGTTCATAACATATTTGTTTATTGGTCAAAATGAAATGTTTTAATATTATATACATATGCTATTCCTTTTTAATATAGCAATTCATTGTTTGCAATTTATAAACAATTTACTCAACTACCGGGATCATATATCATAACTTTGATAGTAGACATAAATTCAAAACCTCTCAATAAACTTACTAATAAGCGTCAACATTATGTGGAATTGCATACTAAACTTGTTAGCACAGTCCAATGACCATGCAGGCAATAAATAATCAATTAAAAATTTAAATGATTATCATAGTGTGTCATCTACAGCATATATCTGATTTATTGTAAATAATTACACATTCTTCCCAAAATCTTTCCTTGAATAGCTTGTATATTTCAGTTTCAAGTTTCATGAACCAGAATTCTAAAATCTTCAGGAAATTCTAACAAAATCCACAAGATTGCAAAATTCCAGTTACACCCCATGGACGAGGCAGACAGCATAATGTATAAATAATCAAGTTAGTCTTGTGTGTAATGATCTACAACCCGAGGGTCAAATGTAGACACAGCGCACCAACAAGGAACTGTACACTCAAATTTGGAGTTGGTCAAGTTAATACAAAAAAGCAGAAGACTTGAAAGTTTCTGTGCAGCAATACCAAGGAAAATATGACAACCATTACAATATTTGGTAGCATGCAAAGCATGAACAAAAGGTGTGTAAATGCTTATTTTTAAGGCCTTTATTTGCATCTTCACATTCAAAATGTAAGTGAAGATGCAAGCAGAAGCCTAGATAATGCAACTGCCAGTTTCATGTATTCTGTCAAATGATTATGCATCCTCAATTTTGCTATTCAATTCATGTATTCCACCAAATTATTCGGCATCCTCAATTTGGTATTCAAATCAGATCAGCTGCGATCAGCTATTACATTGTCTGCACATCAACAGAGATTACTATATGTCATAATATATTCCTTTAAGTAACCAATGTAAACAACTGGTGTTTCAATGAACATAAAAACACAATATTCTAAGATTTTAACATCTAAATGTACATGCACCAAGAAGTAAACCCGACTCATATTATGTATACAGAATAATCATTGAGGACGTCTTCAATAATGTGTATTTCATCAAGTAAAACAAAAATCCTCATAATCTATTGATAAAGATGGATTCTAATACAGGTATATAGCCATTTTTAGGGAAGGTACACGAGATACAGGTACTTGGAAGAAGGGAAAATGTACACTGTACCAGAAGACATAATATGGTCAAACCTAGATATTTCTTTTGCCTGTATTGTGAAAACTTAGTAATGATGACCTGCCAAGTTAATGTCAATATGTATTTACATTTCCATATTACTTGTACATTTACACCGTACATGCATTCAATAATTTGTCCATCACAATTTTACTTCCACCGACCATTCCCTCATGTTCTTCTCTCTCTCTCTCAATGGACTTGGACCTTCACCTATCTACACCTAGCGACATTGCAAATCATCTTCAATCACGAGATACAGCTACATGGCATTGTAACAGTGATTTCACAAGCTTACCCGATACTTTACCTGTGACTTCTTTCTACCTACTAACCTTTTCTTCACATAGTCACAGACATTCCAAGACATCACTAATCATGAGGTAAAATAGACTAGAGTAATCTACAGAAATATGTGACACCTTGAAATAACAAGAGTCTTGAAAGTGTCTGTGAGCTTCTCTTAAATGCATCTCTATTTTCCTCTCTCTCTCTCTTTTGCTTATTCACTCTTTCCCTCTTTTCACTTATTAGTCATATATTTAGTATATATATCTCTCTTATTCATAAATGTATTTCGCCTCTTATTTTTGTATCTACCCTGCAACCCCTCCCCCTCTCTCTCTCTCTCTCTCTCTCTCTTGCTTATTCACTCTTTCCCTCTTTTCACTTTTTATTAGTCTTATCTTTAGTATATCTCTCTCTTAAATGTATCTCACCTCTAATTTTTTATCTACCCTGCAACCCCTCCCTTTCTTTCTTTCTCTCTCTCTCTCTCCCCTTCTTCCCTCCCTTCATCTTTCTCACCCCCCCCCCCCCTCCTTCCCCTCGTTCCATTGTTTATTCCCTCTCTATGCTTCTAAAAACCCTTCTTGCCTCCAGTCCTCCTCTTCTCGATGTACTTCTGCTGAACCATGCTGACCATACTAATACCTATACTGAGACGGAGGAGATCTGGATCTTGATCTGCTTCTCGACTTGCGATACTTTGACCTAGAAGGAGGGGAATGATGATAACCTACAAAGAGAGGGGAGCAAAGATAAAACAAAACAAAGTTTAGAATTAAGTTATTTGGGGGGCACATATGCAGGAATATGGCACTGGCATACAATAGTCTGTAATGGAGAGAAATTTGACACATATCAGTAATTTTTCAAATTGACATGGAAATGAAGTAAATGTAGTATGAAGATTGAATGATCGTTCAATCTTCATGTGAATAAAAGGTACACCAGTAAAAAAAAGACTTCTGCTCTGAGGACAGTAACATTACCACCAACATACATGTATTGCTGAATCCTGTTGATTATAACAAGATGAACTAAAAATAACCGCCAAAGATTCTCTTCCCTCCAACATACACTAGGATGAGTTCATAAAGAGTTTTGAAATTTGTGAAGTGAAAATGCTGTTTTTGATATCAACTGAAAGCAGTTGCGTCAACATGTAACTAGCCAAGTGCTTTAATGACCTCATGCTAGTACAACCTGTAGGGTCCAGGAAAGAAAAATATATGAAGTGCCATCACACTTGACATGCACACATTGCGTGAGGCAGAGTTATCTATATAACAGTGTCTCTGTCATTTTCTTTTTACCCAATCAATGTTTAGAAGAGCAATGAGTCACTGTATTATATCATACTGGTGGATACTTTTTGTTTTTCTTTTAGATATCCCTGACTCCAGCAATTGGCAGAAATAATTCTTTTTAAATGAGAATTTGCCAAGCTAACCCCAACCTTCAAAGTGCACAATGTTTTACAATGGACTTCCTATCCCTTTTCAAATGGAGATGCAGACAGTACTCCACTAGGACTCCCTATCTTTCTTGCAAGCCTTTGTCCAATCCATGGCAATGGTAAAAAGCCTGATTCAGTATTTTCCATGTGTTTTATTTGTATATGTTTGCTTTCTCTTAAGTACACACAGATGCACTGTACTGCACTTCTGCACCCAAATGTTTTCATGCAAGTATTTTGTCCAATCCATGGAAATCTTAACATGCCTACTCTACTCTTTTCCCAGGTTTTTTTCCCCCTCTCTCTTTCTTTCCAAAGTGTAATACAGCACTTTCTACTCTCAAATTTTTCTTTGCAAGTGAGGCCCATGTCCTGGTGTCCAACTTTGAACAGTTTGAAAAAGAAAAAAGACAAATGGCCCTACTGCGTCTTGGTGGTGGGGAATAGGAACGACTCCTTGATCGTGAACGAGATTTAGAGCGCCTCCAACCATACTCCTCTCGGTCCTTTTCTTTCTTCTCCCTCTCCCTCATGCGCATCTTCCTGGCTTGCTCTTTGAGTACATGGTCTCGATCCTGCAGAGTGGATAGAGCAATGATCCATCATTAGGATACGTGAAGAATACATGTATCATCATCATTCAATTCATTATACAGAAACTGGGTCAAACAGGATTGCATCACCAAAATTGAAATTTGAAACATTCATCAGGTTTAGTGTTTTCCAACTTGTAAATACCAAAGGTGTTTTTGAAGTGTATTTACGGTGTCTGTACAGAGCCTTTAAGACGTCTGGAATATGTCTACAAGATGTCTTGCAAGTGCCTTTGAGGTACCTTCAAGGTGTCTTTGGGTGTCTTCCAGGTTTTGTTGTGCAAAAACACTCTCCCTATTCAATCATTTAATCAAGAAGAGAAAAGGTTTACCTCTTGTTCCAAAATCTTTGTATTTTTCTTGTTGTACTCTTTGACCTTATCCGCTTTATCTGTAAGAAAGAAGATTAAGAGGTAATATTATTAAGAAAATATGGTATTGATATTGAGAAGTAATAAAAGCAGAGTCAGAGGAGAAGATCATAGCCCTGTGATTCAAGTGCATACAGCCTGATGGAGAGAAACTTTCGACTGCCCGTTGTGCCAGGACAGGAACTTAATTCTAAAAAAATTCCAAGGTCAAAAGCAAATGTCTCAAAGACATTCACTAACAGCTTTTCTAGGGAATCTGATGTCATTTAGAATTTAACTAATAGAAGTTATTAGTCACAGATAGTGTGCTTCACTATTGTGATTGACAGATCTTACATAACGAGGCACAATTTTAGAAGAACTGTCCTGCAGGAAAATTCATTAACATTGATTCCCCACCCAAACCATGACCGAATGCTTTGCGAACTCTGGAAGCAAGTTCTGGGTAATTTCCCAGTTTGCAAATTTTTGTCACACATCCATCAAGTCTGGTGAAAGCAAACTGATGCATTGTACATGGAATCTCCTCAGATCTGACATTACATTTGCAAAATTATGAAATCATGCATTCAATATTTTGTCCTGAATATCTGCTGGTGAGTCGAGGCATATAAAATAGAAACAGTTGGATTGAGAAAAAGAAATCTAAGGAAGTGCAATTGATACAGATAGAGAGAAACAAACAGTGTAAAATGAAAGAAATGAGAGAAAGGGAAAAGAACCGAGACAGAAAAATGGGGGAGAAAGGCAACAGCATAATTTTATCGTGACTTTTTTTGTACATTAGTACAGGTTATACTGTAAACTTCATTATGGAATTCAACAGAAGAAAAAAGGGACTTGCATAGCACTACACAAAGTATCACATATGGCAAGATGGATGTCATTTGCTCAATGTTGCCCACTAACTACCTTGCAAAATTCAGAGACGTGCTATGAAATAAATACAGAATCTGATTATATAAACAAAATAATAACTACATGATTTGTGCTCTGTTATGCGGCCCTTGCCACTGAATCAGATCGGATTCGATTTATTTTCAAAATTGCCCAAGCAGGATCATACTTAACAATAAAAATATTACACAACTTCACACCATGCAAGGTTATAGCATTCTGCATGGTTACAAGGTTTTACAACAGAGGTTTTTGTTTAAGGTTAACATTTTTATTGGCCTATTTTAAGAGACATGGACATTCTTATAAAGTGAATAAAAGCATGAAGTATGAAGGATAACGTTAGTTGATAATTCTATTCTACGATAATGGGCCATAACCAATCAATGTACTTGATATATTCATTAGCAATACCCAATGACATGAAAGAAGATGAAAGTTGGAGAGATGGAAGGAACCAGACCAACAACAAAAAAACTAGGCATATAGCAACAGAATAGAGAGACTGGCACAGAGATAGAAGATATTGCATAACGAGATGAGCTGATAAAGAAAACCAGGCATTTTGATTCAGTAAAAGATTTGAGCCAGTAAAAGAAGAGATGGAGGGAAGGAGGCGGAAAAGATGGAGGAAAGGAGGAGGAAAATATAAAGGGAGAGGGAAGAGATAGACACACAAACACATCCTCACACATAGACAGTCAGGGGATGGCAGAGTTAGGTATACCACAATTACATCTTACATCCACAAGTATACACCCTTACACAAATGAGGTGGGGAACATATCAAAAGACCATGCTAATAACAAGATTGAGTCCATTCCTGCATTCATACAAACCAGTGTGTAGCTTGTTTCTGGGTATACAGGTAGATCTGGAGGTGATTGGCAAAACTTAGACGTTCTAATTACTTACGTTGTTTGTTTAGGGCCTTCTGCATTTTCAGTTTCAGTTTCTCACGCTGAGTCAGTTTGGGCTGTGGAATGCAGCAACATTGGTTAATACAACATATTCCATTTCAAAACTTAGGTAACCCCTAAAATGTTTCTTCATATGCTAGCTGGTCAAGACTATGGCTAAAAGATCTTGTGCTGAAATAGTTTTCTTCTCTATCATATATTCTTCTACTTCTATATCATATATGCACCCCTTATAAATCCTCTCCTTAGAAACAATGAAATATCAATTATTGCTGAAGATTGGTCCAGACATTGTATGGATGCTACAATTTCTTTTGTTCAATATTGGTCAACATTATATGCTTATCTGATACCAAAATAAATTTACATTCTCTCTGTTGTCATGATTTACATTTTAAATTCCATTAAATTAGTATCAGCGTAGGGTGTTTCTGCAATGTTTGTAATACAAAACATAAAACAAAATTTAGAAAATTAATACTACTACTAATAATACATAATAATAATAAAACCTACCACCTTGGCATCAATTAGTTACATTTATATGAAGAAAATAAGGCTGAAGCAGGATTTGAACTTGCGACCTTCGGGGGTAACACCCCCCCCCCCCCCATGCCCTATCAACTGAGCTATTCTAGCCCCATGTTGGTGATTCACTGTTCAGCAAAATAAAAACGAAAGTTGAATGCATTTGACAACTGCGTTCCAATCGTCTAAAGATATCAAAGATATCAAATGTGAAAGTCTTTCCTTACTTTCCATGTAAAATCATACTCAGTATTGAAATAATCGGTTGATATAAATACAAAGTTATGACACATTTCTTTTTTAATATGGCTTGTGAATGCCAGAATGGGAAAGTAAAATTCATCCAGGTTTATATGCATTGAATATAGGGATGCTTTACCGAAGAATTCTTTACGGAGAGATGATTATTTTGCCGTTTTGAGATTGACTGCACATTTTGTATCTTTTAAATTGTACTTGTAGATCATGCAGTCAATCTTTAACACTGAGGAAAGACAGAAGATCTTAAGAACTCTGAATTTATCATACCTTATTTTCCCAATATTATATTTTAAAATGGTTCTCAAGCAAGAATCTCAGAAAAGGTATTTAAGATGGCAAATAAAATCTTAATTTTAAGCCAAACTCTCATATAAGTCTCTTCATTAAGTATTGCCTCAGAGCACTTTTGTCAATATATATGATGGGGGATATTTGTTAGCTATATATACTGACTTTGTTGGGGGTAGAAGCTGCTTTTGCTTTTGCTTTAGCAATACTTTTCTCTTCACTTTCTTGCCTGCAAAGAAAGAAAAAAGGGAAGAAAAATGATGCGAGATGTCATAAAAATGAATATACACACTTTTTCTTCTTGAGTATTCTTGTAGCATAAATTTTTATATAGTTATAACATAAATATGTATAATTGCAATGGAAAAAATTTAGTCACTTGTAAGAGAGCATGTCCAAGGTATGTGCCATACGTTACCAGGCATTACTGAAATATATCATAGAATAATGTACATCAATTGAAATTAAAAAATACATGTATGCTATTTGATGTTTTGTCAGATTCAAGTTCTAGCTTGATGCAGTCATGAGAAATACTGTAAACTTAGATATGGTTGGTAGCGTATTAGACAAAATAGCTTGGACTTGGCAACATCCATCTGTAGTGATAAATATAACCAATCACTGAAATATATGTAGAAGAAATAATAAATCATTCAAGATCATGGGTTCTGGTAACGATATGACGTTAAATTGTACAGAGTCAAAGACAAGGGAGAAATTAAGAAAACATGCTAGTCGTCCTGACCATTTTCACGACACAGTTTAGTTTGTGTAAACACGACTTGTGCTTTTTTAGACCTGTTCACATGATCAACTCCTCTATGGCACAGTTAATAAATCAGAGTTACAGCAATTTAAGCCGGTTTCCCTCAAATGAAATTTCCAGAAGTCATAAATAACCCTTAACTTAACTTGGACTCTATCTTACCTTAAAGAGCTCAGAGTAGACATCATAGCATAGCGTTGTGGAGGGGGAGATTTGCTTCTTGACCTTGATCTTGACCTGGATCTTGACCTGGATCTTGACCTTGATCTACGATGATAGGGCTGATGGCCGCTGCGTGAAGTTGACCTTGAGCGCGAGCGTGGGCTTCGCTGATAACTGTAAGAATGCCGCCTATCCCTAGAACCAGACCGCGACCTCCAATTTCGGTCACGTGATCTGGAGCGAGACCTGGAGTCACTTCTAGAGCGTGCCCCTCGTCTGTATCTGGAGGAGGCATTTGAATCGGAAGGAGATCTCCCTCTGTGCCGGTGGTCGTCATACCTGTAGGAGCTGCCTCTGTCTCTTGATCGGGATCGTGAGCGAGATCGGGATCGTGTGGAAGACCTTCGTGAATCCTTGTGCCTGAAAGAAGGCAAAAATTACTGTGACAGGTTTCGCTCTTACAGTTTGACATCAGCTTCTATTGTATAGGTAAACATGTACACACAGATACAACAGTGTAATAACCAAGTAAAGGGCTTTTGTCATTATTTTTCGGTACTAGCAATGAAAGTATATAACCAATTTTAAAAAGCAAAGAATTATCAAGTATGTGATGCTCCTTAGCAATACTTACCTTCTCTCTCTCTCTGAAACGTCAATACAAAATCACATATATCACATTACGTAATTCATTAAATACACATACACAACAGGCATATATCCTTGTCTGTAACTTATAAACCTGTAAAATAATTTTACCCCAGGAACCAAAATTGAAAATACCATACTGCCTTGAGTAAAGACACCAAAATCAATCCTCATTTTGAACGACATCATACTTCAAAAGAAAAATCAAGTGGTATTCAATACATCAGGAGTGCTTTCTTCTTGTATTTTTTTATTTTTTTTTAAAATTATTTTTTTTTTATTATTTTTTTTTTGGGGGGGATATATAATTTTGCTTTTGTTCTATCAGATTATATCTTTTTGTTTAAATCTCTCAATCTCTCTTTTGCCAAGAAGAAGTTCAAATGGAATGAGACCGACCATGACTTGGAGTGTGAGTCAGTGCTACGAGTGAGTGATGAAGAGGAGAAGCCTGGACGGTTTTTTGAAGAAGAAGAGGATGACGGAGCAGACGTTGACTTCTTGTCTTTGTTTGCTTTGCTATTGCTGCTGTCGTTGTCGTCTTCTTCGCCTCCGAAGCTGGTGATGAAGGTGACCTTGCCCGGTTGCTCTGGGGAGTTGTCACGGCTACTGGAGGATGACCTGGAAGAGCTCCTACCTGGATAAGGGTCGTAGGTCGGACTACCACGTGCAGCATAGCTGATGAGAAATAAACACATGGGTGTTTAGAATGATCACAAATATAGCTCACTGCTGTCATGGTTATCTACACAAAGTTAAATTTTCTTTTATTTCTTGACAAGTTTAAGGTCATTTACATCACAACCAAATATTATTCTAATTTTATAATACACTTAACTTGAATTTTATTTTCCTTTCTTAACAAATGACATGTAATAGATGTCAGAGGGGCTAGTATCAAATTTAATCCTATTATGTGTATAATGTACATGGGTGGGCTTATATCACTTTTATTGCTGATAAGTACACAGCTCAATTTTACTTTCCTATCATAACAATTGCAAGAATATTTATATCAGAGGCTCTAGTTGGACAGTCTGGAATATCTCAAGTCTTTATTTCACAAGGATATACTATACAGCCCCAAACCAGGCAATATTCTGCTCTGATATTCAAGCCAAGTTACCTTGGTGGACTATTTCCAGCAGTCTTCCTTTCCCGAAGCTTTCTCTCAATGATAGCTCTTCTCTCTCTGCGAGATTTCCTTCCCTGTGACAATGCAGGAGAGAAATAATAAAACAATGCTGATATGATTCACTCAAAGGTAACTGCACATTTTGTAAGACCAAAACCTCTGAACTTCGGTCTGACGATACATGTAATGAGAAAAATTACTTCATTGCATAATAGGAACGTTTCAAGTTGGCAGCAAAACAATGTTAATATATTTTAAACCACATATCATAATTTCATTGTGTAAATATTGTTGCATTTAAAAAAATTGAATCTCATAATTTTTTCTCAACTTCAAAGGAATAATTTACAAATACTATATACAGATCTGAGCAAAATTTGTCCTGCTCTTATAATTACAGCCTAAAACCGTCATATCTTGAATTGAAAAGGCTCTGAATACGTAACATTTTGATGATGGTATTGCATACACAATTATATTGTTTCACTTTTATCTGTAATGAGTGAAAACAATAATCAACCAGCTACAGAGAAATATGACAAGATCAAATCAAAATTTGGATACATTGAAACTTACAGAAAACATGGCTTTTTCTTCCTCATCCTCTTTGGCTTGCCTCATGTCATCAGCTTCAATCTTTTCTTTATTAAGCATTCTGAAACCAGCAAAAAAGGATGAAATACATATACATTTAATTTGGTACTCATAAAAAGCGGAAAAGAAATTAGTGTAGGTTCAAACCATATGTACAGAGAGCTAGTGCACTGGTGTATTGAGTGCAAAGTGTTAATTTCATTTCTATTTTTTAAAAACAAATTCTCTTCAATTCTGAAAGTAAACAAAGAAACAATAGAAAACATGTTCTCATGAAATCAATTTCTTTTCCATCTGATTCACTAAATTTAACTATCACTTATCTATAACAAAGTCTATAAAGTAAATGTCAAATTAAAAAAAAAAACCCTCTTTTGTCTTTCTAAGTCAACTGAGGCATGTCTAAAGTATGAACTCTAGTCAATGGAGAGGGGGAAAAAAACAAATGATGCTCACTTTATGAATGCCTCTGGAGCCATACCATACTTTTCTCCAACCACATTGAGTTGAGTCTTGCTTTCCTTTGTCAACTCTTCTACATCAATGACAACATCTGCATTATGAAGAGACAAGGTGAACGATGAGAAATCAATATATCTTGGCATCAAAACACAAGTTATCCAAAATATTCATATTGCAAGATTAATGGCATGAATCGTAGGTGAAACACAAGAATGGCATACATGATTGTAAACTGCACACAAAAATGGTCATATAACTTCATTGTACTTATGCACACATACAGCTAACTAACAAGCACTTTCAACAATAAGAGCAACTATATGTGCTCAAAATTGCTGCAAACCTCCTACATATATTTGTTACATGTACTAAAGACTATATATGCATTGATAGTTATCCAAACATTCAGTGGTGGACACATGTAATTTAATGTCATTTCTGTTAACACATGTAAAAACTATCATTTCAAGGACAAAATATAGACAGTATGCACAAATAGGAAAACATAAAGAACAACAAAGTTTTCAACCTGTAGAGTAGAACTCCACCCACTTTGAGGTGCAAAAATCAATGATGCATGTGCTGACATTGCTCTTTGAGCAATTCACATAATCAACTATCCAAAAGTATTAGACAATGGCTCAAACCAAAAGAGATTTATCATTATCATAAATTTAAACTTCCATAAGCCTAGTACATGCATCTCCTCATATCCAATGGGCAAGCAAAAATATACTTGCTTATACATGTACCGTATACACATATTTTAGGGCATCGTGGAGGTTGAACGCATGTTTTCTAACTTCCTTCTGTGAATTGAAGCTAAACGTTACAGAAATGTTACCTAGATCAATCTCTGAGAAGCTGACATCAGAGTCACTGTCACTGTCAATGTCTTCCTCCTCTTCCTCCTTTGCAGCACTTTTGCCTTCCACGGATAGACTTGAGTTTTCACTCACATCATAAGTAAAACCTATGGCAGCTCTCATGGCAGATAACCTTCATCGTAAATGACAGATAATAGGTAATTTGTATGATCATTGATGTAATTTAAAATACATTTGTGTGTCATTGCTTTTTTTTTTTTAAATCGGTAGTATGGATATATTCTCAACTTCCACTTCAGAAACTCCTACCCAACATTAATCATTATGTATAAACTTATTTAGTAAGTAATTAAGTACATAATAAACAGGAAAGTCACTCTATGTGCTTTACTAGGTAAATACAACAAAAAGAGACCTGTAATAAAATTTCATGCTGACAACTTTCAACTCATGTTCTATAAAAGAAAAGCATGATGCACTATATTATGATAATGAAACAAATCAAATCATAATATATATCATATTGTAACTGCATGGATAAAACTCACTTTTCTTTCTCATCCCCTGGTCTTTTCTGAATATCCGGAAACATTTCCTCCACATGAATTTGATGAAGACATTGCTCCTCGGAAACTGCAGAATAGAGAAGATTTATCATGTTACATCATAATGCTGTGAGAACATTCAGAAATTGACAATGCTCATGTTTTTTTTTTTTACTATTATCTCTAATGTAAGATTGGAATACTTCTATCATTGTACTTACATTTTCATACCGACTTGAGATTTCCACAAAACCTTTCTTTAAATCAATCTTTAAATTAAAGATAATTCCGTGATCACACTTGAAAAATCCTGAAAATTCAATGTGCTTTTTGTGGCCACCAGTTTGATATGATTTTAGTTAATGCCTAAATAAACTTAATAATTAAGTGTGTTTTCGGACTACTACATGTACTACTGCCACCAACAAAAATGTGTTGTTCACCAATTCACTCAATCTCAGTACAATCAAAACTATATTTCAAATCAACTCTCTTTCATCATTGCTCACCATCTCCTATGAAAATTGACCATCATCTCCCCCTCCCCCTAAAAAAGTTACAACATCCAAATGAAAGAAATAGAATAAACTCTCTGTCCCTGCTATGATGGTGAGAACTGATCAACACCAGGGAGTGTTTCACAAAGATCCTAAGTTGAACTTATCTCTAAGTTGGTCTTAACAATTATGGAAAGCCGTAAGCATCTATGAAAATATTTTGTAAAAGTTATTTTTAAAAATGTTGATTCAAATCATTCAAATTTTCTAATATCATGGAGATTCCATGTTCTTGATGTGGAATTTATAAAAAGTCTAAAATACTTAATTTTCGCTTTTGAACATATATTTTTTTAAGGCTACTAATGGCTCTCCATAATTTTTAAGACCAACTTAGAGATAAGTTCAACTTAGGATCTTTGTGAAACACCCCCAAGTAATAATAGAGACATACTCTCAGCATGGTCATTGTGAACGAGAGTGCGATACCGCTCATAGTTGCATTTCTGTTCTTCTCTGATCTCATCCAGTGTGGGGAGTGATGGTGGTCGCTGGGGGATGTGATCCAAGTGAGCTCGCACATCAAAGCGATCAATCATGTGACTCGAATCACCCTGCCATGGCATCCTGGATGTGAGGAAACATAAAAGGGTTGAGTGTCATTCTTAGTTGACATTCACTGGAATTAAGACATGCAGCTCTAAGCTAAAACCCAACAGGTATTAAGTTAGAATTTATCAGAGGGCCTGAAAATCACCTAGAATGAGCTGTTTTGAACACAAAAAAAGCCTAAACTATGGTTTGAAAATAACTTGCAAAGGCTTGAATTTAGGCTATTGCCTGAAAACTGGCATCCCTGTAAGTTCATTTTGTCCTGTCTCAGACATGCCAATAGGCTCATTTACTGATTTGATATCATTGTCTATTCTGAATTATTATGGGGATCAATGATACACATGTGCCAAAGGGTGCATACATCACATGTACACATATAGCAGAAAACAATGACTAGAAAGTGCCTTGTAAAAGGCTCACATTTATTTGCATCTACCACAAAATGACCCAAAGTGTTTGAGTAACAGTTTAGGGAATTGGTAACATTGTTCAGATGAGAGAAAGTGGTGCTAAGGTAGTCCCTTCAATACTAGATGTACAATTAAAGATAATCTGAAAATTTGAGTGAAAACGGACCATTATTAATGATACAAATTGGGAAAAACTGATCTGATCGATTCCTTAATTCTCCCACCTATATTATTACAAATTACATTTTCGGTGAATGTAAAGCGTCACAAAGCAATAAATTGGCTCTACATACCATTACAGACTTTTAAGTGTTGAAAGATTTTTAATAGCCTGTTTTATGTGTTTTTTTCATGGAAAAATGGTTGGGAAAATTAAAAAATGGTTGGGAGAATTTACTGTTAATCACTGTTAGAGGGCATCGCACAGTGACGCCTTCAAAGAAAACCATAGATATCTTTGTGGTTTGAGAATTTTTTCAGGAATTTTTGCATGTCAGAGGGTTAGTACAGTAGAAGGTATATAATAAGTAAAATTTTGTACAAAAATTAAGCAATTTTTTCATCAACCTTCAACAATGTTACTGAGTCACTTTAACCTTTGGTTGTACATACATGGTAAGGGGACTCTCAGCTGCTGCAGCTACTGCTGGATCAAGATTAATCTTGGAAGCTCTGGCATGAATTCGTAGAAATTGAGTAGGGTCTAGTTTCTAAAATAAAGTAAGGAAAAAGGACATATAAGACAAAATTATGTGATGCATATGCCTAGTGTCAATAGCCTATTGAGATGCTTAGAGAATATTAACATGTTACAAGTTATCCCTAGTGTAGTAGTGGTTGTATTATGAATAAACCTATATAAAGACAGAGGGATCTTCTACATTACAGGAAATCAAGGGGACCAATGAAGGTATGTACATCAATATTAAACAGATGATTATATTTTTCAGGATTGTTTCTCTTTTGAAACAATAACAATATGATTAAGAAACAAGTGAAAATAATGTTTGAACGAAATGAGAGTCCTGGATTTCGTTGTATCTAAGGCACATGCACGGAGTTGGCTGATTTTAACAAACTCCCTGCACACGCGACTTTTTTTACACTCATTACTATCATCATATTCATAGTGTTTTGCAAGTATCAAATTGGCAATGTGAAAACAGTTTTTATTGTGTTGTCGTAAAACTCTCACAAAGTTCTACAAGTTGCGCTTAAGTAAAGTAGGCCCTCTCTCACTTAAATTTGAAGCCACACGAGCAGATCGGCCAATGAGTGATTTCAAGTTCGGTGTTGACAGCTGGTGTTGGTGTTGAGAGAACACCAACACCAGCTACAACACCGAACTTGAAATCAGGCTGGTGTTGGGATTGACCTCAGGAAATATGACGTATTTCCGCTAGTCTGTGTTGAGGGCTGGTGTTGAAAGTCGTCTGCTGAACAGAGTATCACGGTCGGTGTTGACGATTTACGTTGTAACAAATCAGTGTTTTAGTATTGGACGAAGGTTAAGCATTTTCTGTTGTACGAGCATGCGCTATAGCAATATGGTGCATCGTTGATTTAGCAATTATCAAACTGAAGGAAAATGAGCATAAATTACATATTTTGATCATGTTGGTGCAATTATCATGTTTCTTTTGGGGATATTACTTGTATAGTAGTGATCTAATCAGGAATAAGGGGTTATACTGAAGATTATATGTGAAGATTTTATGGGATTAGCAGAAATATTGTGTTGAAGTATTGTTTTACTAACGAGGACATAATTGTTCTTTTACACGTTTATGTATTGGGAAATTATTAGCATGACCAGGGTTGTGCATCTAGGGCTTTCCACTGCACTGTATCCGATACAGGCCAGCCTCACCGAGGCTGGCCTGATAGTTGGCCTGATAGTTGGCCTGATAGTTGGCCTGATAGTTGGCCTGGCCTAAGCCTCTAAGCTAAGTTTCACATAGTTTGCACTGTACTTGTACTGAGTTTACCCGATTGTTGAATGGATCGCAATAAAGACTTTCAACCTACACATCATGATTGGTTTGATTTCTTGGAGCAGTGAAACCAAGGGACGAGAACCTGTGACAAGTGTTGACAAGGGAAATTGATTGTTCGAAGGATGCTCAATTGATTGATGCTGTGAACGAGACGTTTAGGTGACCGATTGTAGTCGATGGACGAATGATTGTTGAGATACGTGTGAGCAGTTAATAACTCCAGCCATTAAGCTACGGGCATATATTTTGTCCAAACGGACGGAGAGCGCCTGGCCGACACGGGGCATCCTGACAAATATTCCGTGTCAAGCCAAGGTGGCGAATGCGTGTCCGCTACACATGGTGTCAGAAGTGGGATAGCTGATGGTGTGGAGTGGTCGAGCTGACGGAGCTGGGGGACGACGACAGTAGCACTAACGGAGTTGGGGGACCATGGGCAGTAAGTCTGACAGGCGTCACAAGCTGGTAGAGCTGACGGAGCTGGGGGACGACAGGCAGTAAGGCTGACGGCGTCACAGCTGGTTGAGCTGGGGGACGACGGGCAGTAGGTCTGACGATGTCACAAGCTGGTAGAGCTGACGGAGCTGGGGGACGACGGGCAGAAGGCCTGACGGCGTCACAAGCTGGTAGAGCTGACGGAGCTGGGGGACGACGAAGGGCAGTAGGTCGTACGGCGTCACAGCTGGTCGAGCTGATAAAGCTTGGGGGCGACGTGCAGTGAGACTGCCGCGTCACAGCTGGTCGAGCTGAAGGAGCTTGGGGACAACGGGCAGTAAGACTGACTGCGTCACAGCTGGTCGAGCTAACGGAGCTTGGGGACGACGGGAGGTAGCATTGACGGTGTTGCAGCTGGTCGAGTTGACGGAAGTGCGGAACGACAATGGAGAGAAAGAACAATGAGCCCAGGGATGCCTAGATCTAGAAGGAAAGGAAACGAACTAACTTTTGAACAGTTGAACACTTTTGGAAAAGAGCCATTTTGAACTGTCAGAAAAGACTTGGATTTTAGTTTTGATTTGTTTTGTTGTTGTTGCATAAGTTATAGATAAGTTAGCTTGGGGACCAAGCTTGGGAGGGAAGGGAATCGTGTAACAAATCAGTGTTTTAGTATTGGACGAAGGTTAAGCATTTTCTGTTGTACGAGCATGCGCTATAGCAATATGGTGCATCGTTGATTTAGCAATTATCAAACTGAAGGAAAATGAGCATAAATTACATATTTTGATCATGTTGGTGCAATTATCATGTTTCTTTTGGGGATATTACTTGTATAGTAGTGATCTAATCAGGAATAAGGGGTTATACTGAAGATTATATGTGAAGATTTTATGGGATTAGCAGAAATATTGTGTTGAAGTATTGTTTTACTAACGAGGACATAATTGTTCTTTTACACGTTTATGTATTGGGAAATTATTAGCATGACCAGGGTTGTGCATCTAGGGCTTTCCACTGCACTGTATCCGATACAGGCCAGCCTCACCGAGGCTGGCCTGATAGTTGGCCTGATAGTTGGCCTGATAGTTGGCCTGATAGTTGGCCTGGCCTAAGCCTCTAAGCTAAGTTTCACATAGTTTGCACTGTACTTGTACTGAGTTTACCCGATTGTTGAATGGATCGCAATAAAGACTTTCAACCTACACATCATGATTGGTTTGATTTCTTGGAGCAGTGAAACCAAGGGACGAGAACCTGTGACAAGTGTTGACAAGGGAAATTGATTGTTCGAAGGATGCTCAATTGATTGATGCTGTGAACGAGACGTTTAGGTGACCGATTGTAGTCGATGGACGAATGATTGTTGAGATACGTGTGAGCAGTTAATAACTCCAGCCATTAAGCTACGGGCATATATTTTGTCCAAACGGACGGAGAGCGCCTGGCCGACACGGGGCATCCTGACAAATATTCCGTGTCAAGCCAAGGTGGCGAATGCGTGTCCGCTACAACGTGTTATTTTCCCATTCACCAACACCAGCCCCTCGGGATTGGGAAATTCATGATTTCAAGTTCGGTGTTGGTGTTGCAGTATACCGCAGGTAACTATGCGGACATCTGGAACGAATCTCATGATCATGCCAAGGTAAAATTCAATTGTACAGTCAAAACGGCTGTAAATCCTGGGAGCTATTATGTATTTCAAGAGAAATGATATTTTATCTATTGATTTTTTAATATGACTTTACATTTGATATTCAACATGGTGTTATTTATTGGAATTTCTGAATGGATTATGCTTTTATCGCAAGACTTTTCGCCTGTAAAGTAGGACGTCACTCAGCGTTGATGCTGGTGTTGAGCTATCGATAACACGCGCGCACGTGTGATCGGTATCGTCCTTCTAAATTGACCGTCGGTGTTGGAGCTCGGTTTAGCAGCCTTTCCAAGCTCTCAACACCAACACCAACACCGAACGCACCGAACTTGAAATCACTCAATGAGAGCGCGTAAAATCAGTACTAACAGTTAGTAGAGGTCTAGGGTCTACTAGGTCTAGACTAGACCTAACTTAGTGCACAAACTGCACATCGCTCCAAGTTTTTTCGTGCACTAGACTAGATCTAGTCTAGTCTAGATCTACTGACCTGTTGTGAATTTTATTAAATTTGAGATTAGAACTAGATCTAGTATACGATACACAAAATAAAGTTCATCCCACCCCTACCGCCCCCTCTCCCATCCCCCCCCCCCCCCCCTGATGCGATGGCGATGGACGATGCAGCCTAGCCCCTAAGCAAACGGGGCGGAGGGCGGTGGAGTCCACCCTGTGCAGAGCCTAGGGATGGCAATCTCATCGAGATTGCTCCATCGTACACGACTACTTACGATCTTTTCATAATATTCTCGACGCCTCTCTGCCCTTTTCTTGTAATCTACCATCATTCCACGGATTAACCGTTCTTGTCTTCTTGCTTCGTGCCACATGTTGAATTCTATGGAGCTTCAAGGGAGCCGAAATAACTCTCAATAATCATCTGACAAGCGATTTAAGACAACTTTTTTTTACAAAGACAATCAAAAGCTCAGCTTGTCGCCGCCATCATAAAATCTTGTCATATCTCTACTTACTTTCCCAAATATAGTCGTAGATGGCGCTAAACTCTTCTTCCATATCATTATTCTCCAACTAGCAAGCTGTAGAGAAATCAAAAAAAGTTGAATATAAAAGGACAAATTGCCAAAACACTATAAAAAATGGAAAAATTTTACCCCTGAAGGCAGGGGAGCTGATTGTTTATATATAACTTTTTAAATTATTTTTTTAGTATCTGTTTTAATTATTTTTTAATTCCTGCTCACCCACTCACTTTCTAGCTCATCGATCCTGACACTAATCTATTATCGTTGTTTGCTTGTATTGTTAATTTTTTTTTTTTTAAATAACGGTATATATTTACAGAACTCCACTGATACAAGACCCTCATGTAATATTATAATAATATAATCTAGGAGTTGAAAAAAATGCACCATGTCATTCTATGTAAATATGACAAATTGGTGTTATGAAGCAGCACTTTCACCTTATATTTTTTGTTTATATAAGAAGATCTTTATTCAAATTGCTTATTTATATTGAACTAATTGATTTGCATAGAAGATGTGTTTAGGCTGTAAAAATTGTTCCTTTTCATAATATTGCATCCGAACATATTAATATGAAGTATTACCGTCACCTTTTCCTTTTTTATGTTGAAAAATCTAATCTTTCTCCCAACTTGCAGAATTGTACCACAATTTTTACAGGCTTGGTTGAATATGTACTATATTAGTTTGGATACTAAATGGAAGAAAAAATATGTCTGTGTTTATAATGTATGAGACAATCAGGGGTGGATCCAGAATAAACATAGTACATAGGAAATAAGCTCTCGAAATAAGCTCTCGAGCTTTCGTGGGTTATCCTGTTTAAGCTGACTTATTTTTGATCTGTTATTATTGTATATTGTTGTATGTTGGAAGCCGCTGTTGAATCAAAATCAAGTTTTAGTCTAGGGACGGATCCGGGGGGGGGGCACAGGAGGCACATGCCCCCCGGCCAAACAAAAATAATAAGTGCTCACTACCCCCCCCCCCCCACCGAGCGAATTTGCGGCCGACGCGATTTTCAAATTTTCGGGATCAAAAAAAAAAAATGTGCCCTATGACCCCCCCCCCCCCGCCACTTATTCAGCGGCTGGCTGAGTCGTTGCGATTTAGGGGGACCAAACAAAAGTTATATATATGTCCTATTAGCGGTAAGAGGACATATATATATATTTAGAGCACCGTTATTTTTTCTTTTTTTTTCAGGATCCCGAAAATTTGAAAAAAGCCGTCGGCCGCAAATTCGCTCGGTGGGGGGGGGGGGGGGGGGGAGGTAGTGAGCACTTATTATTTTTGTTTGTTTGTGCCCCCTGTGCCCCCCCCCCCTGGATCCGTCCCTATGTACTATGTTTATACTGGATTTGTACTTCATCAAAACTGCTCTTCAACAAATAACCTGTCAACCGCAGCCCTTATTGTTGATAATAGTTATGGATTTGAGATAGTCAAGAGAATCTCCTTACCTCTCTCTCTCTCTATCTCTCTCCTCTCTCTCTCTCTCTCTCTCTCTCTCTCTCTCGCTCTCTCTGTTTTTTAATTTTCAATTATTCGGAGGGGATGCTCATGTAGGCTACAACTAGTACTTGAGTACTAGGCCCATGCACACAATAACAAATTAGGTAATGAGCATCGATCGCCGATAATACTAGTATAATAATTAAAAGCAGTATAGCAGAAGGGCAAAGACAACAAAAGACTATGATAATCATCAAGTAGGCTATTCCAAAGGCGTAAAATCAGTAAATCAGCCATGTTTTGGTAATGTCATTGATATCAGAAAGTGTTAACATGTAGGAGCGAAATAATAGCGGTGAGGCAAAGTGGTCATATGGATGAGCCATCACTTCGAAATGTAAAGAAAATGTGGTTGATTCCCAGCTACTGCTTTATCTTTTTTTTATTCATTTTTAGTTTATAATATTTACTTGACAGAACTGAATGATGGGGGTAGTGAGAGTCAGTGAGAGAGAGAGAGAGAGAGAGAGAGAAAGAAAGATAGATAGAGAGGGAGAGAGGGGGCACTACCGTATAATAGATACAACTTGAAGAAGATCCAATCTTGATACCCCATAAAACAAAAAGCCAGTATTATGAGTAAAACGAGAAACTCGACCCACAATTTTATTGCCCCATGCTAAAAAAAAAAATTCCCCCTTCATGCAATTCCGCCTGTTATATCATAATCATTGTTTTCTAAAGCATACCGTACAAGAATCATGAGAACACCCCCCCCCCTTTTTGTGGATGCTGTTGTTATCTTGTCTACTTTTTCAGAAGGCATGAATTTCGCTTAAGTGAATAGACCCAATTTAATGAGTTTAAAACAAGGCCTTATGTACGATTGGTTTTGCGAAGATAAAACAAAATGGAACAATTATGATCCGAAGGTATCATTCTTATTCTTTCTTCGTTCTTCTTTTCTTATTTGTTTCCCTTTCTTTTCCTATTTCAGTCCCGCCCCCCCCCCCCCCACTCAGTGTTATTTAGGGTACGCATAATTATGTTCCCTCCGAACACCCCCTAAGTTCGGTGTGTAAAGGCAATACGGGCCGGATTTTTGTGTACCGTACTAGCCGGACTTTTTACCCCTTTACCGGACATTCTGGGAACACGCATGGTATCCCTGCGATCACGGATCGGGGGCTAGTGGGGGGGGGGGGGGGGGGAGGGGGCGGGATTTCAGTTTCTGCACTTTTTGATGGAAAATTTGGCGAGGGACAGCAGCCTCCCCCCCCCCCCCCCGGCAGTAAGCCTTTAAACTCATGTGCTGCTTCTATGGTAGATTTTTATTTGTAACTTGATGAAGGTGGAGTATTTCTTCTTCCTCTTCTTTCCGAAATAACACGACCCTCGCGGAACCCTTGATTTCCTAAAAATTGGCAGCTAGCTCTGGCGCTCTGCATGGGATATATAGGATATATATATGCATTACGTACATAAGCACATTATGCGATATGCGCGCGTGCACGTCGAGCGAGTCGCACGCGCGCAAAGGCCGCACGTCACACATAAATTAAAGATTCCTCAACGCACTCCCTGATCTACTTGACTTTTTATCACGATTCCGGCTTAAAATCACAGAAAATCATCATATTTTACAGCTGAGAGTTGTCCCCAAAACATTCATCCAGGTGAGTTCTGCACTTTTAATTACAAAATAAGAGATAATTTAAAGCCTAGACGGTAAGATCAGATCTTCTTAAAGTTATTCTAGATCTACCACAGATGACACGAAAGGGAAATTTGTGTCCAAAACTAATAAATCAATGAATGTGTGAATGTCATGTGATGTGAGGCCCGGCAGCGCCCCAGACTAGGCATCCCCATCCCTTTGACCCTGACCTGGGATTTCTGATCCTATTCATAGGCTAGTAAAGAGGCATAGGTCTAGACCCAATTGAAGAAGGAAGAAAAAGCATTTTATAGCACGTTAATTTTAAACAATAAAATTGAGAGAGATGACAAGAATCTAGATCTATCCCTAATAATATAAATAAGGCTAAATATAGAAGGTCTAGACTAAACTATTTAGGCCTATTTGTGGGTGGGAGGGATGTTGTAGTTTGTACCCAAATATTATGGTATTCCAACAAGTAATATAAAACTTTTAAATTTTAATCTATTTTCAGCACATTACGCTGTTCCTACTCGTGAGGATACTAGAACAGCACATCACTGCCGAGGACGAGAGCTGTGAACACTAAACTATCCTCTGCAGCAATGGCAGGTCCCGGTGAGATTTATTCTGTTCCAGATTTGTATTGCTTTGAAGATCTACCAGATTTTGAGCTTGGGACAAATAGTCACCTCTATGATGACCCAACATCTACCAAAGATAGCTCTGTCAGTCTTAATTTGGATTCAAATTCACAATGCGCTGTGTGCTCTAGTTCGCTATGTGATGATCGTCAAAGCGAATCATCCATCCATCAGCGAAATACCCCTCGGTCACAATGGGATATAAATGGCGGTGTAAGTTACCACGATATCTGGTGTGATGATAGTTCTTGGAAGTTCACTTCTTCCAGTGAAGAGGAAGATTCTCAGGCCACCCAGTGCAGTTCCTTATCTTCAAGCACACCCTTACATTCATCAGTACCACATGATGTTACAGGTATTAATGATGCCCAACACCAAGCTGTAAGTAGTGGTGCAAGTCCACAGGATGCAGTGGAATCACATAATGAATCCTCTGAAAACTTTGAGATGTCTGATGAAGATATATTTGCTGATAGCCCTTCCGCCACACCAAGGCCTGTGCCCGATAGATTTGATGACATTGAAGATTTTGCTTTGTGGGAGTTGTCTCAGATGAGCTCACAGTCCAGTCAGTCAAGTGCCTTTGCAGATGATCTTGAAGACTCTCGCTTAGTCCCAACTCTGCAGACCATCCTACAGCATCACAGGCATTCAGCTGGTGATCAGGTTGCTGCATCATTGGAAACAGATGATACTTCTGAAAATGAAGAAAGACAGAGAAATGGACTTCTCTTCAATTCAACATGTGCAGCAGCAGAACAGGTTGTTCCAAACTGGCACACAGAAGAATGAATTTATTATTGTTGTTAGTTTGTTACCACTTTGGTGATACGTATTTCCCCCTCAATAGACATTCACAAACACAGGAACTACATTTTGTACATGTATAAAACTAGGGTTGTATTACTACTAGTAGACATATATTACCTTTACTTGTAATTTTTAAGGGGAACCAAACACTATATACGTGTTTGCTCTGTATGTGTTGGGCTCCATGTTGGTATGCTATATTCACAATATCAGCTTTAAATATTGTGTAAGGAGATAATACAAGTTTATATGCACTCTAAATCGGGAGTTTGAATGAAGATAAGAAGTGACTCTTGGATTGACTGGTTTACCGGTAGTCAGTGCATGGATATGTACACATTCGCTTGTGCACAGAAGTTCTCTCCAAGTTAAATTTTGTGCTGGCCTTTGAAATAATCAATTCCTCATTTGCTATTTAGTCTATGAACTATCTTAAAGAATTGTATAGATTTCATGTCTGCGTATCATACAATATTTTTAGTTGTGTGTGTGTGTGATTGTTCCCCATTAAATGTAAAATGTCTCAAAGTTTATTTGTCATTGTTTACATAAATATGTGTATATTTGTACCAAGAGTAATATACAATTGTACATATAGCTTACTCACTAATTTATTCAATTTCAAAGATACCAATTATTGTACAATCTATTTATTTCAATTTAACATGTCATTGTTCAAACTTGTATACAGTGTATATAAAAATATTATAATTCAATTGCTACCGTAATTTATAATCTATATCCCCCTCCCCCATTGATATAAGTGTGCTTTTAGTAATTCTGACAAGTAACAACACTTATTAAGAAGAAAATTGTGGGCAATATGATTGTGGTACTGTTTGATGAACTATCATTTTTCCTCAAGGCTGTAATCAAAATTGTTTCAAGTTCAAGTTTCAAGTTTCAATTTATTCATGTTTCCAACAAAACATTACAAATCAATTATAAGCATTTAAAACAAATGTAGAAATACATGCTGGAAACAGAGGGGTCCTCTAAAAAAGCAATGCTTGTACAAGTGTGAGTACCTCAAATGATACTTAGGAATAATGAGTAATTAAATTAAATTATCAATAGTCTGTTGTTAATTTGTTATGTTCTCAAATTGAAACAAAATTCAGACAGCTTACATTAAAACATTTCTCCAGAATTGCTAACTTAGAGATTTTGTCGTTAGGAGCAATGGGAAGAGCTTTTCCTTTTCCCTCTGTGATGTACCAGCTCACCAATTTGACAGTTTTATATTCATCTACCTGTAGTCATATTATACATCTAGATTTGTTCAAATTGTCATCAATCTGTAAGATCTTTCATCCAGAGCAAGTTGCTATCAAGGTTGGATTGCTCTTTAATCGTGGTTTATTTGCCACCCACAGCACACAAGAGGGCGATGTGTGGCAAATTAATACAAAATGTGTTATCTTTATTGATCTCTATCACACGCATGGTATTATTCCAAATACACAGTTTCTCTATGCAAAACGAAAGTATAATGACATAATTATAAAGCTTCACTCTAAAAACTAATATGTTAAATCATCATTTAAAAGGGCCGAGGTGGTGACTCTTATTTTATAATGGTATATTAACACTTTGAACATGCTGATTCCAACACCCGAAAGGTTGGATCTAGCAGGTTAAAAATGGTTAATTTGGCATTTTGAATACTAGGTAGAGATTTAACATTTGAGTTATGGGTATGTAAATTTATATTCTTACTTGTGTTTTCTTTCATAAAGTGTTTATAGAATGTTCAAGCAAAGGGTTTTTTGAAGACATAAACATATTCAATGGATGATGAAATATTTCAAATGCTGCATGGGTGATATAATTTTAATAACTTGTATATATACACGATTTGCTCAATAAAGTTGTGTTATAAAATTACCTTCCTTCTTGCAAAAAGTTGCTGTAACTGTTTACGCTTACATATTGTTTCCTATACTTCTTTTTTTTAGATGTCAAGTAGTGTGTATGGTCTGGTTGAATTAACTAGGATGTAATTTTGAAATTCTCTCATTCCTTGGTCATTTTGATTTTTTTGATGAATCTCGATTAAAAAAAACTAAATCGTCTAGTTATTTGCCAAATATTGTAAGAATAGTAAACGAGTCGCTCCGTGGCTCTGCTCGTGCGAGGCCATTAACTTTTTTTCTTCCTGCACAACCGTAAGGCCCCCCCAAAAAATTGTTTGGTTGTCCTCGATTGCTTTTCTGGAGTAGGGGCGGGCGGGCGGATTTTTTTTTTTTTCCAAAAAAAAAAAAAAAAAAAAAAAAAAAAAAGAATCATTGGGATTGTCAAGCATTTAAACAAACAAAGTCTATAAAACATTTTAATATGGTAAAAGACTAGTTTCATGTACAATGAATATCAAGACCAACACAGAAAGTATTTTGGGCTTTGAAATCTCCATTGTACTACTTATAGCTACTTGAGCCCTCTATGCAGCAAACAATGCCTAATCGGTGACCATTGGTCCCCCATGATCCTCTTTATCTTATATTAACTGAGAGCTGATTTGACGAGATAACCACCTGTCCAGTGACCTTGCAGGGTGGTCTAATCCCTCCTGTAAACTAGTACAGATGGGCTTTAAAATGAGTTTAAGAATGCTCAGAACCTGATTTGAATGAACGGCATTTTGACATAGAAAAATAAAAATGGCAAGTTTAATAAATACCTAATTGCGTACTGAAAAGACAAAACTGGCAACGGGACGCATTTTGATCCTTGCAAATGCATAAAATGGAATGTTTGGCAGTTTAGATTGCTCCCCCCAAAAAATTGAATTAAAAAAAAAAAAAAAAAAAATGAATAATAAAAATATATATATATATAAAAAAAAAAAAACTTACGAGCGGGCGGTCGAGGACAACCAAATGATTTTTTGTTGTTGGCCTAATTAAGGAAAAACCCTGAAACACCTGTCACACAAAGAAAGCTTTTTTCTAGACTAAAATTAGAAAAATTATTGCGTGAATGTCAAGTTGATTATAAATGTACTAACCGGTTCTATATGTCAATTACCTACTGCCGGACAATCGCCCCCGGCCAATTACCAGCGGGACTAACCCCCCCCCCCCCCCGAAAATAACCCCCTTGTACGATTAAAATGCATGGCATCTCGCCACCCTTTCTTGGTTTTCTTGCAAGAGTTATAGTATAGATGCCATGCATAACCCCCAAAACGCCATGGAATCTTCTTCTAGAGCCTTTTTTTTTAGAGGGGGGGGGGGGGGGGTAGGCTATATAATTAACCGTCCTGATACGCTGTTTTACCTTTAGGCTTGAGTGTTATAGCGGGCGCGCTCATCACCAAGACGTACGGACAGAGACCAATCCAGGCAATGGAATATGTCTATGGAAGTTCATAAAAACCATAACAAAATGTAAGTTAACCTCCTTATTTTATGGCGAAACCGTCGTACCTTCTCGCAAAGACATATCGTTATCAGGCAAAATATGTGGGTTACAAGTATCTGTTATACTGAGCAAAAGGTATTTGGAGAATACGTGAACAAATGCATTAATATCAATCATTATGACATCACATAATTATGAAAAAATGTAAATGGGACTTTTATCTCTAACTTCCACTCATTTGTTTCTTTCGATGGATTCCATACAAGTTCTTCTTTATCCCAGTGTACATGTTTGTGTATGTGTGGTGCTGCGCCCCCGGTGCGCCCCATTATAGTTAGTGCGTCTCCTTCTGAACCCGTCCCTTTCGATTTCCTTCCAAAGTAGACTATGACAGAAGTATACAGTAGAAGAGCTATTGCCAAGAGAGGCTGAATAGGGTTATAAAGTTCTAGTGTCTATGAATTTATTTCTCTTCCTTATATTTATGAGAAAATTACATAGGCCTACAGACCCCGCTTTGATAGTAACACATAATTGGATTTGCCAGCTCGCATTTCAAATATTATTATTTTCGATTTTCTACATAAAGAAAATGAAAATATTTCTTCAGTAAATTTTCGACAGATTCCGCTCATATCCGTTTTTTCTTTGTAGGCCCTGCTAATTGCTGTCCGCAAGGCACTTGATTATAAACATTTTGAAGTGCTTTCCTTTCGGCATTTTAACTTTGTGTATATTGAATTTTTTAAAATTGAATTGAACTTTATTTCATTCATCATAAAAACATCGTAACAAACATATAAAATACAAAACATAGCGTACAAGTTAAAGAGAAACATTTACAATACAATACAACAACAAAAATATATATGAATGTGGAGACAGCTAGGAAAGCCAAAGGCTTTATTGGTGCTGCCACCAAAACAGTAATAAAGTATTATATTGTTGTTTGAGAGGGTGATTTAAAAAAAAAAAAAAAAAAAGAAGCCTACTAGAGGGGGGGGGGGGGAGGGGGGGGGTGACAAAAACAAACCCAAACCAAAAACCAGACCGTGTACATAATCAATCTTTATTTATTTTGTTGGATTAAAAATGATTTATATAATTATATAACTTGACATCAGTTTTCAAATAAACGAAACTTAGTCAAAATGAAAATGTTATTAATGAACTAATTCTATAGTATTAGCCTGAAATACCAGAAAGCCTAATACCCGGGATTTTTTAATTTGATATAGGCTGTATACCATAATTCCTCGATCGCGTTATTGTTTGAGTAAAATATTCTCTTTGCCTTGTTTTCTCTATCAGTCGGACAATCGCGCATCTAACAGAACTCGATCATTTAATAGGCTTTATTTTTACTCTTTCCAGACCCTGATAATTCTCGACAGGACTATATCTATATCGAATGTATTTGTATGTTTCTCCGTAGCTGTACGGATATTATAAATCCGGGATTAAAATGGAGGTCACGCTTTGCATTCCTGTGACCCCTATAAATAGCCCTCACGAACCGATATGGTTATTGTTTCCTTGACCATGCTCGATCTTGGCTGCTCGTGGACAAACGAAAAACCGGGGGTGCCCATCTCGAGTAAATCATACATAATTTTTAAAGCGTATTTCAGAAGTTGTTCTCGGACTCTTTTTCAAGCGATTGCAATGTGTCAAGTGTTTGTTATCCATGATAAGATTATCTGATGATATATCAATAAAACAACTAGAAATTCCAGAAATATGCTTGGCTATAGGTTTCAGTCTAATATCTGTCCCAAACTCCATTTCTGAAAAATAGAGATAAGGGGACGTGTTTACCCCGCTGTTTTCACATAAAAATTATTAAATAGGTCTCCCTCTTTATTTACCATGATGAGGCAATCGTATCTCAGTGAATGTACAAAGAGTTTGTTGCGGGGATATATAATTCAAGGGAAAAGTGTGCATATGTTTTAGTATATCGTAATAGTACTGTAAATTTATATTTTAGTTGTTATGCTTGTTTTGTGTATGGTGTGTAACATGGTGAGGGGTGCCAATGAGTGTGTGCACCCGGCCATGTATGGACGTCAACACGTTATATATCGCATCTACACAAAAGAATACACATCTACAGGGAACCCTCATTTATACACATTGCAAATTGTGCAGCGACTTGGGCCGCGCCGTGTGTACATATTGCATTCAAACTGCATCTAATGTATTTGTGTATACGCGCGCGTACTACGTACGTGCACAGACAAAGCGCTGAAGAGAAACACCGTTCACTGTTGTGGTAATCGGCGTTCCCGAGCATTAAGTTTACTCTTTAAAAAATCGCCAAATTTCAAGGTATTAGAAGAAACATTACCAGTGGGACATTTTGAACGGATTTCCCGACCAAAATGGGGGTAGTAGACAAGAACAGCAATTCTAACTCTGAACATAATCATCGTTCGAATGGATCAAATTCCGGGGGTGCCAACTCAAATGGTCACCCGTCGGAGGAAAGCGGGACGAGTAGCTCTGGAGAAGATGATAATGGTACGTATCATAAAGTAACTTTATTTCATTTTTTCAGAATTTGTTTCCACATTGTTAAAGATGATTGCATACTTTGACAATTTTTCTACATGTTCTCCTTACAGAGCCCGGAATGCGTGTTGGTTCTGAATATCAAGCTACTGTTCCCGAACTCCAACCTGGTAAGTTTACTTTTTTATGAGCGGTCTTGGATTTAATGTGGATAGAACTGTGTGAAGTGACAAATGACTCAAACTAATAGCAAACTGTTTTATTTGTTTAATTTACCTTTTTCATCACATCTGGATGTAATTGAAAGTTTGATAACGATAGCTGGGACAAAATTTCTTTTATAGCAGGTTAAAATTGTTTTTTGGGGGTAAAAAATTAAATATGTATTCATACTTGTAACATATGAGGGGACCCCCGGTTGAAAAACGAGCACAACGCAAGGTTCCGGGGGTGCTCAAGATATAACTGATCATGTCTAAAATAATTATTTTGACTGTTCTATCCCTTTGATTTTCCTCACTTACCATGTGATTTTTATAATTTATGAAACTTGAGTACTATTTCACATTGTATACTCTTTTCAATTTAAACTAAATCTGCAAGGTGAGCATTTTGCTATGTTTATGAATATCACATTTCATTAATAGGTCGTACACCCCTCAATGCCTTGCTAGAGAGCATGCAATGTTATATACGGCTGGAGAAAGAATGAGGCATTAATTGAGGGGAATCAATAACATAAACCCTCATTTGTGTATTGAAACTACATGTGTGAAAATAAAGATGTTTCAGATTTAGTCATGCATCAATTTTTTTACATTCAATTTTTTTACATTCAATATTGCTTCAGTAGACTCTAGATCTATATGAATGATTTCATTTTTTGTTGGGATTTTTATTTTTTTAATTTTAATATTGGGGAGGGGGTATTTTTTTTAAATTGTTGTTGGGTGGTTTGTTGGGTTAAAAAAAAAAATCTTGTCATTTTTTGGGGTGACCTTTTAGTGGCACTTTTCAATCAGTGTAAAATAGACATGTACATGTATGTATGCCAATTCATTTTCTTCTGAAAAATCCCTAAAGAAAATACTATTTCAAGTTGATCAGGGAGGTGCCTCTCTGATATTGACAATTGATAACTTACAAGAAACTACTAATTGATCAATTAACATTGATAACCTACAAGAAACTTGCTAATAACAGTTCAGGCCTATAGTCATACAAATGGCGATGGATATGAGTGTAATATCAGTTTAAAAACATACATTTTTGTTTGCTGAGCCTTTTTTCTTCATTTTTCTTCTCTTTTCATAAAAGGAGATTTTAATCTAGAAGCATTTTATTACGTGTTTTGTTTTTGTTTTTTAAAATTAAAAATAGTTGTTTAGTCCCGGGGGGGGGGGGGGGGGGGGGTATTGATAATAGATAAGCTGAAAGTAAGCTTAAAGGTAAAGACCAGTTTTGGAAACGCCCCAATTTCAAAAAATGAAATGGAAGCTCCTAATTACCGATCATGTGAAAGAATATGTTTTAACTATAAATACATGATGATAAAAATTTTGCCGGGAAAACCGCCTACTAATTGATATATTCGGTTATGTGAGAGAAAAACGCACGTGTGCGTAGTTCCATATACAGTCAAACCTGTCTATAGCGACCACCCACGGGAAACACAAAAAGGGGCCTTATAGACAGGTGGTCTTTGTAGACAGGTTCCTTTAGTACATGATTCAATGAGAAACCATTTTCAAGGGAAACAACAAATGTGGCCTTTGAAGACAGGTGGTCACTAAAGCAGGTTTGACTACATCTTTCTGTGTACAGTGCTTGTAACTTTATGAAGACTGGGCCAGATTTCTTATCATTTTGATGATTCCAGAACCTTGCAGTACACACCATGCTAGATGATCAACCTTTTCTGATCGATTCCACAATGTTTCTTTCACAATGCAATCGCATGACCATAACTGGTCTTTATCTTTAAGACACAGATGAAGTGTGTAGGCCTACTTGTAATAGACAAGCATAGAATTTCATTTTTGAAGGACAGGAAATAATTGTATTAAAAATCATCCTCAGGGTTCAAAGATACATGTAGAATAGTTTTATGACATGGTCTGAATTGCTGAACAAGAGAGCGGAACAAATACATGTATGTGAATGGCATGACATGTACTCCATAGTACACACATGTACATGTACCGTAAGTTTCCATGGTGAGTGAACTGAGTGAACTGAGTACTGTTAAATATTAAAGTGTGAATTGTGAAATTGTTAACATGCATTTAATAAATAAATAAACTATACCCATCAAGCTGAGCTTAAAGCAAGCTCACCCAAAATGAACGATTGAAAGAGAGATATTAGAGAGAGAAAAAAAAATGATGATAGGACTCTTTAACTTTTTGTTTGGTGTGCTGCCCTGCTGCCTACTCATCCCCTGTAATAATAGTCTGACAGTAAGTGTGACTGTAAACCTTGTATTTTTGTTTTTATGTCGAGGAGACTTGAGACTGTAAGAGAAATAATCACAAAAGGATATTATGGGCTGTGAATAAAAAGAGCTTAAATTTCAACCTTTTGTTTGATTAAGTCACATTGATTTTATAGCCATCAACAGTTTAGTCATACATGTAGTTGTCAAACTTGTCATACCGTTTTGGAATTGATGTCATATACATTTACATGTTTTGCACGTACCGATAAGCAAATTGATGAAAAGGATAAGAAGTTTGTCCACCACCACCACATATGATTTGATTTATGACTGGATGTAGAAGTAAATGTTATTGGAGGGGGAAAATAATAATGCAATATTATGCTTCCCACTCAATTTCAATGATTTCTTATTATCGTGTGTCCATACTGAGTATATACTCATGTATCAACATTTGCTTTGCGAACCATGGAAATTGTATCTAGCTTTTTGCGAATGTTAACAAGTTATGCACAATTATGGCTAGATTTAGAAATGGTAGCCTACTGATCACTTAAAGAAACTTTGTGGGGTTTCACAAATGTGTACTCCAGTGGACTACCATAGAGAAAATTTCAAGGAAGCATTTTTTTTCTTCTTCAAACGTCTTATGGGAAGTTGAATACAGTTTTGCAGAAGTTTTCAGAAATTACTCCTGAAAAAAATGCAGGAAGTAAATTTCTAGTGCAAAATCATACTTCATGTACATAACTACATATGTCCTTTTAGAAATTAGAAGGAACACCTTGGAATAGATCATCATCACTTCAGTTTAGTTCTTTAGTTACAAAGGTTTGGCCCTCATCAAATGTCTGAACATTTATTTATTGATGATTGTCCATAAAAATACATCAATTTATGTATCACGCCTTTTTTTTTTTTTTTTTTTGACCAGTTCAAAAGTGTACCACATAAAATTTAAGATATTTGTTGTTGCGAGATGCGGATGAGCGCTATGTCATTGACGTTCTGGTTTATCATGTTGAATTGCGTTATGCAGGCGAGACCGCCGAGAGCGTTTCCCTTGCTTTATAAATGCGATATTGTTATCCAGATTGCAAACCCCTTTCACTGTGCAATGATTCTTTATAAATGCAAGTTTTGCTAATTGTTTAACAAGTAATACACTGTACATGTGTCATAAAAACAAAATCAAGAAATTGTCAAAATTTACACAGGATCTTTTTTTAAATCCGAATTTAATACCAGAATTTAAAGGCACACTGCACTACTTGTAGCTACTTGCGCCCTCTATATAACAAACAATGCCTAATCGGTGACCATTGGTCCCCCATGATCCTCTTTTTCTTATGTTAATTGAGAGCTGAGTTGATGAGATAACCAGTATAATGCCTCCTGTAGACTATGGCAGATAAGCTTTAATACCATAATACAAGAATAGACAATCATTGTTTTGCGAATAAACTTTTGCAATGGGATTACAAGAAATATAGGCATCAAACAGAATAGCCATCATGATTATTCGTTGATGATTCTTTCCATCATAACTTTTTTAATTTTCTCAACATTACATGAAAACTTGTTCAATGTACTATTTGCAATCATCTGCCCATAATATCTGAGTATAGTAGTAGTAGTAGTTGTAAAATAATAATACAATACACTATAATAATTATGATCATGATGATAATAATATTAAAGACAATAAGTATATTAATGATAAAAATTAATCATCATAATTGTATCAATTGTTATTGAAACTTTGACAGTTATTAAAATTAGAACAGGATTGAGGCAGCATGTTCCCAGGAGCAGGCCCAATACTAACGCTACATGTAGTGGTAGTGCACTAGGGGGGCTAGAGGCAATTTTTTTTTTCTCTTTTTTTCAGTAGTACCTTAGATAATTCTACCTCCAAATGATTTAACAAAATATACTTGTCAATTATTGTTGTGACTTGAACTTCTTTAAAGATCGTTTGAAAATTGTATACATGTACCTTTGGCTTTTGCTTCGTAATGTATCAATTACTAAACAGGATCAAATTTTCAATGACTTGTGTGTCACTGTATTACAGTGCAATTGGATATCAGTTAGTGGCTCATACCGTATAAACCACATTTAAGGTCAAAGCCTTACAGAGGTCAAAATGGATCTGCTGTGTAAAAAGGTCTCTATTGATATAAAAAATTAAAAATCTATGATTCTTCTAAAACGTAAAAGCAAAATTTGTAAACAGTTGAGAAAGTAAACAAACATCTTACCGGTATACATACATCTACATTGTATGTACTTGGTTTGTAAAAAAAAAAAAAAAAAAAAAACCCAACAAATTAACATTTATAAAACACAAATTAAAAATCAATTGCATTTGTTCTGGATTCTCAAAAGAGATAATGTAATTAACAATCTGGTGTCTTTGGGGTACATTTTTTACTTGTTTCAGCAACAAACAAGTCGATAAACAAATATATGTTGGAGCTGTGAGCAGTGTAAACATGACTTAGTTGTGTACAGACTAAGATACACTACATTTTATAACTTTCGGTATGCCTCGGCTCAATTGCTCTTTGCTTTTATTGTATTTTGAATACCAGGAGCAGTGAGCTGTGCTAAAAACTCTAATGAAACAAATGTTTGCTCTCTTTTAAAAAGACAATTTCAATAGAGCTTTTTTAACAGGAAAATTATTTACACAGTGACTAGTGTTGCATGAAAAAAAAAATCTTGAAAAGTATTTATACGTGGATAGATATTTCAATGTACAAACAAAATTCCAGGAAAAGGATATTGAGTCATTTGTTTTTTTTACAGATGTCTTGATGATATCAATTGTCACAAAATGACCGTACCTGTTTATGTCATTTTTGGATCTTTTAAAAACTTTTAAAAGCAGTCAAATGTGACGATTAATTTTGTTCCCTTTTAATTATTTTAAATTCTCTTTAAGAGTAAAATATGCTCACAATTGACATGAATGTGTATTGCTACTGATTTAATTACTGCCCCAGGCCCCAACTTGATCAGAAATTTCTCACCAATTTCTTATCTTTGACTTTGAGCATCAACAGAATACTATTCAGGTCTTGGTATATTTAATATGCAAAAAAGAAAAAATAAGAGAGAAAAATTTATCTTCAATTTTTCATGTATTTCAAAATTGTTGCCTTAGATGTTCCTGTCGGTCGCCGTGGAGACAGCAGGCCAGAGGCTCTGCTTGTGTGGACGCCGAGCCCGGAAATTCCAGATCCAAAATGTAAGTAGCTCTTGTTTACATCTTTGTACCATAAATAAACCCATAGTATTATGCAAATGTACATCAGGCTTACATGTACGTCTTGATTTGTTTATGGAAGTGTTTAGACATAGTTCATGCTTTTGATTAGAATTCATAGATTAGCAGTTTATAATACAGAATTACAGATGTACATGTAGATTACTTAATTGTTTTGTAAAGTTTTGACCAAATGTTCTGATATTCTGAAAATTGGCTTCATCATCCTTTGACTCAATGAGACTTTACTGAACTAGTATACACATATTTTTTAAGGTGCCACATTCTTGAACTATTTTAAAACTCCATCCCTTCAAAGTAACTGGCACCACTTTGCTATGTAAGCTTTTAAGGAGAGCGCTTGAGAGATAAACTTGTTTATCTTAGAGGGAATGAAATAAATGAGGTCCTAATGAAATTAGTTATTGCTGTGTGAAGAGTTCAGAGTTGTAGATGGATAGAAAGAAATGACCAGGTGGTTAAAAGACTTGTAGAAACGCAATTTTATTGAAAGAATATTAATTAATTGGAACAATTTCACAGGAAATAAGTAGTAAGTAGTCCAGCAACAGAAGGTGTTCAAAAAAAGGTTTGTGAAGGTGCTATCCCCTACTTTGCCATTTAACCTTTACATTCAATCTGTTCTTCAACAAACTCTAACCAACCAGCCTACATGTACATGTACATGTATCAATCCTCATTGAACCATCTCCCTTTGTCTGGTACAGTGGATGAGTACATCAGCGTGGCTAAGGAGAAGTTTGGCTACAATACCGAACAGGCATTAGGCATGCTCTTCTGGCACAAGCACAGTGTTGAGAAGTCTCTAGCAGACCTGCCCAACTTCACACCGTTCCCTGATGAATGGACAGTGGAAGACAGGGTCCTCTTTGAGCAGGCTTTCAGCTTCCATGGCAAGAGTTTCCATCGTATCAGGCAAATGGTGAGTGTTAGTCCTCTTAACATAGAGCTTGTTCAGAAGTTTATTTATTCACAATTTTGGTAAAGAAAGACAAGTGGTTGAACTATTTGATTTTGCAATAACCTGCTTTGTTTAAAAAACACAAGTATTGCACCATATAAATGCTGTCATCGATAATGTGTCAGATTTTCTGAATGATAAGCATCAGATATTTTCTAGTAAAAAAAATTCTCACTACTTTTTAAATTCATAATATATGATTGATTTATTTGAATTTCCCTCCTCTCCCTCGGCCTTTACTGACAAACATGTAAATGATGTATACATGCTATCATTTTTATTAAATAGACTAATCCTAGTTTGGCATTGCCTGTATTTTTTGTCCTAAAATAGTATAATTCTCATGGTACATGTAATTAATGGTGATGCATTTTTCCTCATTTAGCTGCCTGACAAGTCCATTAGCAGCCTGGTCAGGTATTATTACCAATGGAAGAAGACACGAACACGCACCAGTCTCATGGACAAGAAGATTGGCAAATCTTCAGCAGCCCCCACTACTCTGAAAGAAGGAGGAACGTAAGTTAGCAGAAAGACACTACATCATATGAGAACCCTTTCTTTACCAGCTTTTAAAAGGATTTTTATGGTGGATAGCAAAGTAATCATCCATGTTTTTTATTAGGTGTAGAATGTCATTGAGACTGCTAATAGAGTAGGTTAAAGGTAAAGACCAGTTTTGGAAACGCCCCCCTCTCAAAAAGTGAAATGGAAGCTCTTATTACCAATCATGTGAAAGAATATGCTTTGACTAATACATGATGATAAAAATTTTGTCGGGAAACTCCCTAGTAATTGATATATTTGGTAAATTAGTTTAACTATTGGGATGTGATAGATATAACGCACGTGTCGCGCACGTGTGCGTAGTCCCATATACATCTTTCTGTGTATGGTGCTTGTAACTTTACCAAGACTGGGCCAAATTTCTTTTCATTTTGATGATTCCAGAACCTTGCAGTACACACCAATACTTGTATGCTAGATGATCAACCTTTTCTGATCGATTCCATAACATTTCTATCACAATGCAATCGCATGACCAGAACTGGTCTTTATCTTTAAGTCTTGGTAAACTTGTGTTCTACGTTTGTGAGTGCAGGAGTATCATGGAGCACTTATGTTCAATACCAGCATGTTTTGAAAGTCAAGTACGTTGTGTAGACCTTGTGTTAGCTTCCAGACTCATGTTCCTTTATGACTTTGCTCTTGAAAGAGTTGTCTACAATGATAGACGGAGGAAGGGATTTCTCACATGGTAGGAAAAGTAAAGATCAGTAGTGAGGGTCTATGCATCGTCATTGATTTACCATGGAATGATTACTTTGGAATCTGTGTTGCTATGTTCATCCCTAGACCTTTGTTATATTTGTAAGTTTTGTCTTATCTCTCTGCAGTGGAGGAGGAGACGAAGAGCCTCCTAAAGAAGCGGAACCAGCAGAGAGTATGGAGACTGATAAACCTGCTGAAGCTGTCAAGGTAAGCATCCATGTAATACATGAGATGTAGCTCTAGAGGGTAGGACTGTAGGTAGCTGTTTCACAGAGTCACTCTCTAACATGGGTTGTGTTTGATTGAACCTTGCCTTCAGGCAATTTCGTTGACCAGGGCTTTGTTGACAAAGGTTGTCTTCCCTTCATGCACAAAATTGGATCTCTTTACTTCTTGTACGAGTGGACTCTAATTTTAGTTCACCATAAAGTCAGATGTTTGTAATATGGAACAGGACTGAAAGGGAATGCCTGCGAAGTGTAGTTTTCTCCTGTGCCTTAACAAAAATAGTTATAATATATCGCTCATTTCCAGGTTTTTTCCCTGTCGACATGTATCGAAAGTATCAATAGTGTTTATTTGAATAATTTATTCAAGTCAGTTTTGGAAATTGGTCTTCTTTAGATCTATCTAAACTCAAAAGATCTGTGTAATCTATGGATGTGCGTCTCTACGGATTATGGGCGACTGGGTGTTCAGGACAGGGCCTTGTGTAATAAACAGTTGCAAGTCGATCAATCACAATGAGGGAAGATCTGCAACTATATGTAAATTGAAGATGTTGCAGTGCTAAAAGTCTATCCTTTAGTCAACTAATCAATTCTAGATTAAATATTCAAGATAATGGCTCATGCAATGAATGTTCTTTCTCATTTCGGTTTTAGGATGCAGCAGGAGGGACTTCAAGTAAGAGTGTGTGTGGTAACTGTGCTAGTTCAGTCACTCAGCTGCATACTACACCTAAAGGACAGTTATGTAATGCCTGCTACAGCTACTGGAGGTATGTAGACTTTCATTAATTTTTGTAAATCAATACTGCATACAAAATATCATGAGCCTTTCGTTCCACATTCAGGCTTACTTTGTTTTAAGTACTTCAAGATCTCATGTGCCATATTTAAAAAAAAATATAGCCCTAATTATTACAAACTAAACTTGTGTTTAGCATTATGATATAGATATATTTCTAATGATGCTTGTATATCTTGTAGATCACACAAAGTGGAGCAGAATTTCGTTTTTAATGAAAATTACCTTATAACATATTATGACACAAGAATCAGTAACTGTACAGTGTTCATGAATTTTCAATTCCTTTATTTTTCATAGTCTCACTTTTCTTTCAGTGTTCTACATTGCAGAGAATCATTCTCATACTTTGTACTAGATTCAATCACAATGATCTAACTCAGGATGCGAGAATTGTGTGCTACTCTTTATTTTATCAGTTTTCCCTTCACCTTGTACAATCTATACATATTCATTACTTGCAGACGCACAGGCGTGATGCGGACCCACGTGGGCCCGGTGAGAAACGAGATCCAGACCCACCATCGCCATCACCCCATGAGGATGAAGAAGAAGCCTCCACGAGGGATGTACGTGGATCGTGATGACCTCCTTGCCATGGCAACCACACAGGCCGATGCCATCTTCAAGGGCCTGGATGCAGACATTGTTAATCTAAAACGCCAGGTAGAGAGAGAGAGAGAGAGAGAGAGAGAGAGAGAGAGAGAGAGAGAGAGAGAAAGGGAGAAAGGAAAGTATGCTCGTGCAGACAGGAAGCCATAAAACTGGTTACATTTATGAGGATATACATGTAGCATTGTGTGCTAACCAGAACAACAACCTCAACTACACACTTTCATTTCCTGTTTTCAAATTTGTTCCGTGTCTCACTAATTAACCACGTTTTGCATCAGTAATTTCCTTTTTATGATTATTCATCCAAGACAGATTATCATGATGCATAGTAAATATTATTATTGGCAGACATGCTTTCTGCCATGCAAATTTTTTATATGTGTTCTTCTATTGATATTTTGTAGGTAATGGTAATGAGGAGCTATGCAAAACTGTCAAGTCTAGCTGTCTTATATATAAATGACTGACACCTATTGAACAACAATCTAAATGTTATTTGTGTGTAGTGAAATATCAAAACATGAATGTGATGTCTCAAAATGTCATATTTTAATGCATCTCATCAGAGGGACAAACATTAAAGCATTGATAATATTATCTTTGCCGCGTAAGCTTGGTGATATTGACCAAAATTATTTTTGGTTCTTTTAAGTCTGTTGCAAGATTCCCTGCTGCTTAATTCATGATCTCTGCATCTGTCAACACCAGTTTTCACGTAGTTCTTGTTTTGCAAATCTATGCATTTATCTGCAACAAATATGATCTTCATTTCATCTATAAAATGAATCAAACCCAATTATATGAGAAAGCGTTTGTCAAGATTCCCAACCATCCTAAAAAATGTGACTTTCTGGAGCTCTGAAAATGTATGTTCAATCCCGCTTCTCTTACCATATAAAAAAAAGGAAACTGTAAAGGAGTTCAGTTAATGATACTTTTTGTAAATCTCAGTATTTGACATAACATACTTTTTCTTTGTTTAATCCAATAATAGCTCCAGGGCAACAAACAAATGGTAGGTCAGCAGAAGGAGAAGATGATAGACATTGATACCCTCCGTCCCCCTGAACCTGCCCAGCGTAACAAATCAAGCTGGACCAATGATGAACAACTGCTAGCTGTACAAGGTAAACAAAGATATGTCCTGTTGTTTTTATCTACACATGTAATGGAGTTTGATGACCATCTGCTTTTATTCAACTCAAATGCCAAGGGTAGAAGGAAAACATTAGATATCTGTTATACCTCCCTTTCTTTGCCAGATTTTCTGTCCACTCAGAAAAATTGTAAATCAGAGCTTTGATTTTATGTTGTATAATCTTTACCTTCCTGCAACTATTGCCATGTAATTTCATTAACTGTCTTATTGCAGGCAGCCTTTGTAATCTTGTAAACATATAATCTATCTGTACCAATTGTTAACTGGAAAAGCAGTGTGTGTTACTTGATACAGCTGTTAGTGCCATGCATTGTCTTTAGCAGTGACCGCCCTAATGCCACTAGCCTTGATGATAATCTAGTAAATACAATACATCACTAACTGTGATTGCTTCTTGTGTTCCTTGGTACAGCCATTAGGAAGTATGGCCAGGACTTTGAGGCGGTAGCCGACGTGATTGGGAACAAGAATGCTGCACAGTGTCGTGCCTTCATGGTGACCTTCAGAAGACGGTTTAACCTTGACAAGGTCCTGGAGGAGTATGACGCAGAGAGGAAAGCTCGAGGAGATACCACTGAGGTAGGGCATTCTTAGGATGACAAGGTTAAAGATGTTAGGAACTTTTAAGGTAGAGATTTCATAAGGAATTGATTTTCTGCACACCAAGACCAAATGTGTAGGCTTTGTTGATTAGCAGTAGTCTGTTCTTGCATTATTCCTTGGATGTATTGGTATTTATCACGCAAATGCCATTATGTAGGACTTTCATTTGGTTGAATTTCAAGGAAGGTGATGAAGGATGAATTATTAATACTAGAGCATTTGTGCAATTTAAATGTAATGGTACTTGTGGAGAAAGTTCATAGACATGTATATAAAATTGACTGCTGATGAATTGAGTGAAAAAATATGTAGTTATCTCCAGTTTATCTAATTTATTTCAGTATTCATTTGTTTGTTTTATTTTTTTTATTTATTGTAGTCTTAAATACAAAATTAAAGGAGAAGTTGAGACGTAGGGAAAACTTGGAAATGCCCAAGAACTCTCTGTAACTTTGTGACACCAAAATTCTCTTCATCATAGAGTCTTCTAGGTAGTGTCTACTCACTGTAGCTATGTATCACAAATCAATGTTTGCTTTTAACTTTCTTCATCTGTTTTAATCCCTGATATATCCTTTGCAGTCGCCTGTAAGTAGCGCTATCACTCAGCCATCAGTCGTTGCCCCCCTGGCTGTACCCGTCATCTCCAGTGCCCCACCCCCTCTGCATAGACCCACGGCAGCACCGGCCCCCGTTGTAGCTCAAGCACCCGCGTCACAGAAGCCCCCACCTCTGCAAACACAACCAAGGTAAATTTCTCTTCCCCTTCCCCTTCCCCTTCCCCCACAAACTAACAAAGACTTTCACGATTGTGGATTATATACTTAGTATGATGTATTGCAAGTGGGGGTGGGGCCATTTATGTACAGATAATCAATGTTTTCTACCACAACTAGATTGAATTATGTTGATTCTATACTTCATTATTCATGTAGGGAATGTGCTGGTAGCTACTCACTATTTGCTTACTGCATTGCATTATCATGCAAAACTGTTTCATCATAAACCACCTGTGCACATCAATATGATTTAAAAGCATAAATAAATAGTGTGCATAATGATACCTAGCATTCAGTTAAATTGTATAGCTATTGAAAATTACTGAGTTGTTGCATGTATATTTAGGTCAAATATTAGAAGTTGATTTACTTTGAAATCATAGATAAACAGTAAAGACAGCTTGCAGTATTTAAATTGTAGCATAAATTTTGTAATATATTTTTTGTTCCCTTTTGTACAATTCCTAAAATTGTAGGCAATCAATAATCAAATATCCTTGATGTTGTATTATTAGTGGAATAATTCAAGAAATCCCTTTCTTTCCTTCTGACAGATTCCTGCACCCTCGAAGTGCCCTCCAGCAGCCTCCACCCCTGAGACCCAGCATCACAGCAATCTCCGGCCCCCTTGCCCGCTCCAGACCTCCCATCATGGGCCCCCTGTCGGGTCACCCTCCCACCCTGGGAGCTGCTACACAGAGGGAGCCATCACCACAATAGATCTGCCTCATGCACTAGGACCACACCCCCTTAGGGCTGCAACCGTAATTTTCTAGAATTTAGGTGATATCCTCCATTCATCTACCATACTATTTATTTGCCCCTTCTTTTTGCAAAAAAGGCTGTAGCCTCCCTATTTGCTGTATCATTTGCATTACAGCCACTTTGCTCCAATCTCAATTTATTTCTTTATGATCCATCACCAGTTGATGAACTTCATCTTTAAGAATGAAGATTATTTTTGTAGAGTAGTGTTTTTTTCAATGCAAATTGTGCTATTTTACACTTTGGTACTTTCTGTACTTCAGAGGAATGAATCTTCTGTATTGAAAGATTACAAGATGAAAAAGTTTATGGCTTAAGTTACAATTTCACCATTTTGTTCAATTTTATTTTCTGTAGACCCCAGCTCAAGTTATCTCAGGCATAGTATTCAGAGTTAATGCATTTTGTTTTTCATGTTAGGTCATGTATATTTTTTTGGAATGGTCAGTTTTGAACTGGGTGATTATCTGAGCTGTTTGTGTAGCTCAAACACACATTATCAAAATTATGATGCCCTGTCCGATTAACTTTGCTCTTTTTCTAATTCTGTGATATATATATATATATATATATGTATATTAGGATCACACTCTTTGTAGTACATGTTTACACACTATTCAACCTCTATATGGAGAGGATTTTGTATTTTCACTTTGAGTTATACTCAATTTTGAATATTTTCCTTCGAATTAGTTGATAGATAATGAGGACAATGTAATGGATCATTTTTGATTACTTCTACTTGAATTAAGTGATTTTGGAAGAGAGAATGATTATAAATGATTACTTATATAGAGTCACAAGTATTAGGGTAAATCTAAGATTGTATATAGTTATATTACCTTAATTTATCAAATGCTGAAATATAAGTGAATTAGAGCTGTTGAAACAAGATGATGATTCAGGTTTGAATCCTTACTGACAATTTCTTTGAGAACATAATGGAACAGCTGCAGATCAACCGAGTCTAGAATAGACCCTTTTTTAAACTCATATTTGTAGACTTACCACTTTTTTAGAAACTTTTCATATGAATGCCTTTTATAATTACACTGGAGGAAACCCTTGTTGAAAATGTGTTTCAAAATACAGGTAGTGTGTGCTTGTTTGGAAAGGGGTTTCATGTATTAAAAACCAGTTCTTTGTTGGTGCCTAATTCATTTGCTGATTTTGAAAGGAAATATTAACTCTGATTCCCTCAATATAATTACTTTGTGAACAATCATTTGATATTTTTGTATGAGAAGAAATTTGATTTGATACAATAGATGTAAACATGTGGACAGAGGAAGTTTATGGAGAAGAGGGTGAAGTGTAGATAAGTTGGGAGAAATTGTTTCTCCATTATTGTGTACTAGTCTATAAAGATATGAGTGATTTTTGTGTTTCTGATTATATTTGTAAATATATAAATTATGAGAGTTGTTTGTTACATACAGCCTTATGCGTTCTTACCAGGTTAGTTCTGTCAAAAAGACTTCAATATTCAGGATATATTTATGGTTGAGTGGAAGATGACAGCAAAGGTTGATTTGCAGACATATGTGTACTCCACTTTTAACACAGTTCAATTTATGACAAACAAATCTCATTTCTAATTTACAATAATAATAATACATAATATTTATTAGGCGCTTAATACTGGTGTCTCTAAGCGCACCATATTCTGACATATAAAGTTATATAATTAAGTTATATAATTTATATTATATAATTTAAGTTATATAATTTATATTATATAATTTAAGTTATATAATTTATATTATATAACTTAATTTGGCAACAGTGAATTCATCACATATAGATGTCATTCTTGATAACATTGTGGTAATTGACAAACAGAAGCTACTGAAGATATCTATGATAATGGTTCTTTTTGCTAGGATGGAATTCTGTATTTTTTTACATAAAGATTGGAGATTCAGGAGAGGGTATTTATTAAGTAGCTTCACTTCGTAGATATCAATCCTTTACATGTTAAAGCATGAGTTGGTGCTTTTTTTAAAATTTCCTTTGTATTCACTCTACAGGCATGAAGCATGCATACACATGCTAACACCCACACTTGTCAGTAGAATTTTTTTAGAAAGCACAATTTTCAAAATGTATAGGTACAGAACTGCTGCAATGAATTTCTGCTGCCCGTACTACATTTTGGGGTATAAATCAGTTCTGTTTGCCTGTACATGATTTACAAATGCATATGTAGGTTTGAGGCCGAAATTGTGCATATTTACTGTTTTTCATACTTCTGTACATGATGGTAATTTTCTAGACTCAGTAAATTTTGCAGCCTTTTCTTACAGAACAAGTTTTTGTATCATTGACGAAGAAATGTTATTTGAGATTAGACAAGTACATAACTATACCATGAAATAGCTGTACTGTAGTAATTTATTGACTAGTCATAGTCTTGATTTGTAAACATTACTATGAAGGCATTAAGTGTGAGTGGAAACACATTCCTCTTGCCAGTATTTTGACAACATGGATTTTCTATGTACAAATATCTTTAAAAGCATGGGGCTGTCTAGGCAGTCCTTTCGATATTCACTTTTGATTTTGTAGAGAGATGCATTGATATGAAAATGGTGTAATCAAATCAGATTTCATTTACATATCTGATGTGAAAGAATTGAAGTTTCTATTTGCAAGTCTTTTGTAATTATATATATATTATTGTTATTGTAAAACTTTTCCCTTGTTGTGTTTATGTTCAGTAGTGGTTGATTTCAAGAGCAGAGTAAGATGGAAAGAGATAAAGAGATATGAACAGTTTAGGGGGAGAGAAAGAGAGAGAGAGAGAGGGGGGGGGGGGGTGTGAAATGAATTTTATATTCCATCTTATGCAAATGTAGTTCAAAAGTCATCTGCTATTTCAGTAACTCAGCAAGTGATAATTTCATTAATACAGTATTCAGAGAAGGTGGAAAGAAAGTTTCTTAGGACACAATACAGCGGTAATTTCTTGTAAAGTCAAGTCTTGTAAATGCACACGTCATGAACACACTGCATACACATTTTCATTCGTCCATCTTCAATTAAACATTAAGTTAACACAAGTAAACCCTTTCATATCAACACAGAAACGAGTTTTTACTAAAGGTCAAGAAGTCATTGCAAGTGTCACAATTTTTTTAAATTGAAGATTATTAAAATGACTGCTCTGCTCAATTGATTTCCAATTAAATACCTGTACTTCTGAATCCGACAAATGGAGTTGGGATACTTGCAAATACTGGGCTTTTATCTTGCACACAACCTCATGCTCTTTGCACTATCAGACAATGACCCATACATGTTACCAACACACAGAATGACACGAGATGGAAAGGAATACATTTTTCACTTGGATTTATTGGCAATACGTGACACATACAAAATGAAGGGCTAGAGAATTTTTCATATTGGATACCTAGAGTGAGGGGGTATGGTCCTGTGTGTACATGATACCAGAATACCACAATCCTATCACTTCTACTGCTGGCCTTTAATTGTAGAAGTTTGTCTAAAAACATGGATTAAATAATCTGTCCGCTGAATACATTATAAGTTAATTTTGATTGATGATGTGATTCTTACAGCGATGGAGAATGGAATACATAATTTGAATACTACACTTCACTACACACAAATGGAATACCACAACTAAAAATCTGCAATTGGTTTAGATATCAAAAGATCTCTGTTCACCTTTCTTAACGTTACTAATAACATTTCTGAATACTACCTCTGAAACTGTCTCTCGTGTGCTTTTAACTGCAAGGTGAAAAAACAAAATGGTTCAGTTCATGTAGAGAAATTAGATCCTCTTTCAACAGGTTTAAGCATTAACCAAAAAAAAAAAGGAATTGCATTTTAAATGCACGAAGGAAGCTAAAGCTACTGTCCACTCAAATGGCACTGAATACCTTCACCTAAGAATACACACAAAAACAGAAGAATACATGTATATGCTATGAAAAAGCTGGTTATTTTCAAGTAACTGCGTAACTTAATTGAGGATTGAAAAATCTTTTTGATCTAAACACAGGAAAGCTCTTTATTACATGGTAGAGTACACCTAAGAGCACCTATATGAAGCAGTTTTTTCCATAATTGGTAAATTTTTACTGCTTAGCAGTGATATTAATCTCATTAATATTTCATCCTCATTAAAATGATACAGACAAAAAGAAATAAAAATCGTATTCCATCTACAAATATTGAGCGCTTATAAGAAAAAAATGAACACCAAACCGTATCCCTGGCAAAGCGTTTTAAATCTTTTATAGTTACTTATATGATTAAAGAAAGTGATCCGTTTACGAAGGAAAAGAAAGTATAAGATTTGAATACAACTTTTAGAAAAAACATAATGCACTATTGCAAATAATACGCACTACAATGAAAATTGCAAATAAATGATTCTACAGAATATTACAATTTTCTTAAATTTGAATACACAAGTTTACATAAATTTTGAACATGTAATAGTAAATACATAAAAGTCGCATAAGTAGGGCAGAGTAGATGAATTATATATTTCATCAAGATAGAATACATTATTATACATTTACTACTGGCAACTATTTCAGGTTTTTTAAAGTGTGACCTCTTATTTTCATCTTATCAAGCTTTATTGTTGACTGAGTAACTAAGCCAGCCCATTTCATTGAGTTCATGTTAAGTAGCCATTTTAGATTTGTAACTGGACAAGTGAAACAGGCAAAACACCTGCCCGCCTGCTATCTAGCTAAGTACAATAGAAAAAGTCAAATATTTTTTGTAGATATAAGTCACACCACTATAAGAACATTTACATACTTTTTTTTTAATGCAAGCTCTAATCATATGTTTGAGAGAAAAGACACACATAACGTTAGATGTTAATCTCAGTTTGTTTAACTAATTTCCCCTACTGCTTATTTTTCTTTGTACAATCTGCAGAAAAGAAATATGACAATTTACCACACAGAGCCCATAAAATGGACCAGGATAGTTGACTACGCTACTTTTATGATGTTTTTTCTTAATCACAACACACAACAATAGCCGATAAGATTTATACCTTTTTTTTTTCTCATTCCAGCGATGCTACACATACAGTTCATACTGTACAGCGCTTCAGATCCATGTCTAACATTAGATATACAACTATCAAGATACAACAGCAATTTGAATAATAATTGCAAGAATTAACGACTTATTATTTATACACGTTCTCTTTTAAGATGTTAAGATGCCTAACACTACAACACCAATATACTCACATACACATCATCTACATGAATATTTACCTCTGTATACATTTTGTCTACATCACATTTGATATTAAAAGACAAGTTAGTCTCAGCTATTAAATAACATAATGCAGAACACGTAGATAAGGTCTTTGCGTGCCTACTAGCTGGATAGACAAAAGTACTCCTCATCGAGGTACAAGGTAACGTCGTTTTGGGTACTGGACAATAATAACAATAATTATATCAACAGGCAGTACTGACTTGAGATACGATTCAACTACTTATCATAAGTTACAGATTGACACGCCTTCATTTCAAATAGCGACATACAAAATGTCAGATAAAAATCTCCACTACCCGAAGCTCAATGAATCTAATCTATGTGGGTAATTTTATCACCCCTAGTGACTAAAACTGGTGTTAATAGCATGTTCTGTCCAATGAAAGAATGAATCGCCTTTCTGCCTTTCTACATTTCCTTTGTCATTTCTACACACAAGGGGACTCGCAGGGAGAAAATCTATGCATATGATTTACATATGGAATGCCGCATGCACGTCTTCGATAAAAACCCTCCTCGTCTCTTATTTAAATATATTCCATAGAAAGAAAAACAAACGTCTTGACGTTAGACCTTTTCCAGCGCTGTTCATTCACAGCGCGCCGATATTCTCAAAGACATGCCTAGTTTACAAGAATTTTAACACTAACAGCCAAAAAGCCAATGAACAAACTTCCAATTTTAGTTGTGTCTATCATGAACTCACGCTACACTTTATACATATATAACATCATCACTACATCACCACATGACAGCGCAACCGTAGAATAAGAAGAAGCGGGAAAGCCTAGTTTTTCTTTCATACCGAGAGTCCAAAAGCGTTGCAGCGCGAATAGTCTTTGACATTTCTGTAAAAGTCATTAAAAAAAAGTGCACTACCAATCCAATATCTTTTCTTGTCAGTCTGATTCAATATCAATCCATGATAACCGTAATAGTACTTGAACAATTGTCATGATGTACAAGGGGGGCTATACAAGAGGAAAGTAGGAGAGGGGAGGGGGGTCACGATTGATTATCTGACCCGACCTCAGGACTCTCACTTCCGCTTGAGGGTAAAGAGGCCCTTTCCCTTGGCCTTCTTGCCCCCTGGTGAGGTGGAGTCCGCTGGGAGGGTGTGGGCTCGCTTCTGTTCTTTAGAGGCGGATTCACCAGTACCGGAGATAGCTGTGTGCAGTTGGTTTAACCAGTAGCCTAGCTCGTCACTGTCCTTAGATTGGAATAGATACTCAGACGCATCTTCCAACCTGGCAAAGAAAGAAAACAAACAAAAATCATATCATCTTCATCGCCGCCATGTTCCACATGAGAAAAGAAAACTTAGATTATATGACAGAGTGGACAAGGGCGTGAAAGACACACACCAGAAAAGGAAAGATTTCATAACAAAAATTAAGAACAAACATTACTTTGTGCTTTTTAATGACCCCTTTTTCGCCAAGCTAAATTCAACATCCATGATTTAGAGTGAAGGTAACCATTTCTTTGTATATTACTTAGCAAAACTTCACATTCCAGTCAAAGGTAAAAATACATAAAAACAATGACGAATCAAGTCAAATTCTTTGGTGTTTCAACTACAAACTTAATCTTACAGAGTACTGAATGACTGTCTACAATAAAACACAAAGCCGGGTTGGATGTTTGGACTTACTTAAGCCTGAAGACATGCTTCTTCTTGGTGTAGTCTTCTGCATATTCAGCAGTAGCCCCACTGAGATTGAGAGGATGCTCGTTGTTGAATGTGATCTCCTTCAGCTTGTTCTTAGCATCCTTGTAGAATGACAGGGATTGGCCATGGGTGATTCCATAAACATGGTTCCAAGATCTGCAATGACAGTCAGTCAGGAGAAAGGAGGATTGTTAGAACAATCTCAGTTCAAATCAATACATGTTGTAAACTGATTTTTGAAAACTAGAAGATAATGTAATCCATGCTTAGTACTGTTATTTTGTCACAGAATGGGTAATAAGAGGTCATGATATAACTTATGTTTTATGCAAGTCACTTTCATAATTTGTTCACCACGTTGCGGGAGAGACAGATGTGCTTTCTTTATTCCAGGGATGCCAGTTAGAATTGATCAGAGGGCCTGAAAATCACCTAGAATGAGCTATTTTGTACACAAAAAAGCTTTAACTATGGTTTGAAAATAACTTGCCAGGGTCTGAATTCGGGCTATTGCCTGAAAACTGGCATCCCTGCTTATCCATATCATGGAATACACAGCCTCATAAACCTCATTTACTTATTTATGCACCTTCTTAATATTGGATTCCACAGGCCTGGTGAAAAAAACAAATCACCAAGACTAATGGAAAGCTATCGGGAACAAAAGCTCAGGATAAATACAAAATCAAAATGCCAAATTAATAGGTGGCAAAGAGATTGATCATCACAAAAAATTTTGTTTAAACATAAAATGAAGAACACCATACCTGTTGGAAGCCTTCTTGCCTCCCGCCTCGAACTGGTGTTTCCTCATGAGGAATCCTTCGGCCTCGTTGGCCCCACCGAAGGCTCCTGCTGGTACGGTACCAGGTGCAGGTTCCTCCTCTCCGTTCATGGGTTCATCGTCGGTATGACCCTCTGCACCACCGTCTACCGCCGTGGCGTGCACCTCCCTCTGAGCCTCTTGGCTCACCATCTCTTGCACTTCTTCAACGTACTTGGTCGCAGCTTGCCTGAACATGCAGAGAAATTATATAAACGATAAGGCTCATGAACAACAGATGTAAAAGCATCAAGCAATTGGCCCTTATTCCAGGTAATACTTTTATCAGAAACTAATCTGTGTGAAACACTTGATTATGCACACAAATAACTGTCCGAATGAAGCTCTTCTCCTACCATCAGGTGCACACATCTTACTAATAGTCAATAACAATGAAATGTGAATCGGTGATCCACTTGCTCAATTTCAGTCATCCAAATAATTAAAACTTACTGCATAGCTGTGTTATTACTTATTTACATGAAGTGACAACTGAATAGATTACCTGAGGCATCTCATACTCGGAAGAGGCATGTTCACCCTAAATTAAGGCCATATATAAAACACCTTGAAATTAGCCAAGAGCACTTCTCTTTGACTAGTTCGTACCTGATCTCTGCCTGCTCCTGCTGCTGTTGCTCCTGCTCTGCCTCCTCATTTGCTCTTCGCTCCTTCTCCCTCTCCTCATACATGAAGTCATCAACGATCTTGTGCTTGAGAGACGGTGACTCTTTCATAGGTGGAGAATTCTCACCAGCAGCACGGCGGGCCTCGTCTTGACGTTTGCGTAGCTCTCTCAACTCGAACTACAGATGGACAACAAGCAGGTATACAGTCAGTTTGGGAACAAACAATGGCAATCAACTTAAAAGTGCTATGTTAAAAGGTGATGAGAAAGGGTAGAAGAACTGGTAAGCGTGGTTCAAAGGTTTAGGATGCATAGTGGATTGTTTTTCACTGGGTTTAGAAGGAAAATTTCAAAGCACTTATCATGTATGTGGATTGTAATTTGGGTATTTTAGGTTTTAGTATTTGGAACACGAGAGTGGAGCATACTACCTTGTATTTAATGTAACAACATCTACAAAAGATATTTTTCCAAGAAAACTCACCATTTTAAAATAAAAGAAACTACATATTACAAAATGCCAGTATTGTGTTTTACTTGAATTTCTGTTCCTTGTTCCAATGAAAAAAAATAGAATTAATTTTTGTGTTTACAAACATGGAGCATCATCATGTGCCTATTTGATGAGGCTTTAAGGCAGATCCTATGATCAGTTTACCATTCCAAAAAGCCAAACAAATTTGCATCTCATGTTCACCGTGAAACATCTTTAAATTATCCCACAAAAGCATCCCAGTAAGCAAAATCTTTCATAGGCAAAGCTGATGCACATAAATCTTGAATAGTATATTTTTAAAATCTCCCTTTTTAAGATGCAACAGCTAATACACGAGACACAGCCTATTGAATGAGAATGGTTTCTCTTTCTTCTATCATCATTTGTATGCATGAAAGATGCTGCTCCTCAGTGCATCATGAAAGGAAAGCAAGGCGCCTTCACCATGAAATAGAAGGAGAAAGTATCCATACTAGTGGTGGAAACAGTGATGAAGATAGACCCTTCACCTAGATTCAAAAAGGGTGAACTGATGGATCGTTCATAAATTTCTGATTAAATCCAGAAAAGGGAAGGATTGTGACTAAAAGTATGATTTAGGATAGAGATGAAACAGTGGAAAAGAATGCAATGTTGAATAGCAAGGATAAAAAATGCGCTCCTATAAAGCAGGCAGAGAGAAAGTGTAATCATGAAGGATTAATCGTTTCAGATGAAATTACATGATAAAAAAATAGGCATCCCATAATGCAAGCACCTATGAGGTTGGAATGTCTGCTACCAAGTAAGAAGCAAATGCTAGCTTCTCAAAAGACAGAAATAACAATGATACAAAGAAAAGCCTTGGGCTACGTCACACAGACACAAGCGGATGTAAAAATGGGGATGAGAAGGGGATTGCATATTAGAAGATATTGATATTTGCAATTGACTCTCTTCGATTGTTGCATTGGATGAAGAGATTGCTGAACCTGCATGTTGAAAATGAGGCAACTGCACTCTGCGAAGATGTTTTGCTGAAACTCAAACTGAGCAAGCGAGAGATGGCGGTCTCTCATTCATCAGTGATGTACAGAAAATATCCAAGTTAGATTCCAAGGAATCTGAAGGAGCACAACTTAGCGATTCTTTCTCTGATTATGAAGAAACACAAGTGTGTTTAAGGTGATAATATGAACAGGGATCTATTACAATTTTGTACCCTTTATTTCTCCCTGACTGAATACGCGTATTTGAAATTTCCCCAATCAGTTTGATAATCATTCTGATTTGATAGTCTTGAGTAATGCCACAGTATTTCAATGGACAACTCAAATATGTTCTTTTTGATTTTGGGATATCACACATTATTTTGAGCTAAATATTCTATTGGTAAACATGAACAGTAAATTTTGTACCATATCTTTTTTTCATATCTTAGCGCTCCATTGGAATCTCAACTTGGATATCTGATTCTGATGCAATAAAAAGTCTCCTAACGCGTTCACTCGATACTTACAGGCCCCGGTCGAAGAACTGGCTCATTTACCTACATTTTTGTGTTTAGCAAGTGACATGCAAAAGCAGGAATATGAGCATCATGAAGAGTTTGAAGTACTAGTCTACAGCTTGAAAGTCTACAAAATAATAATGACTCTAGCACTAGGTAGAGCCATGTGTTTCCTAGTGACTAGCAAATATCTATGTTTCTATCTAAAAGCAAGCTTTGATGTGCATTGAACTAAAACTCTAGGAACTAGCAGGTACAATTATACATATCCTGTAAATCCAAGTGAAGCTACACTACGTGTCATGGCAAGTTAAATATGAAGACAATTTGACAACCATTTTGGTTACATGCACGTTTACAAGACAGATAAATCCATCTCTTTTCAGGATATACGCACACAAGAAAAAAAATCTGAATTCTGAACACAGGACATTTAATTTATCATCAAAAGTGATTTTAGGAATATATAAAGTGTTAACTATACATGTACTTTAAATGAACCCAGTATAACCTGTTTATTCAGGCAATTTACAAAATCAGCTAAATAGATTTTTGCAAGCTTTTAGAGATATTATGTATGGATTTGTTCACAGAAACTTGCTTGAAAAGAAAAAGAAATGTGCATTTATTTTTTTTTGTGAGAAAAGATATTTATCAGATCCTTTTGCAGGAACAACATGCATACAGGGCAGATAATTGGCATTTGGCAAATGGGATACGATAGGTAAAATTGCTAGGTAATGTAATAAAAGTTTTGACAGACAACTGCAATATACAAGTTAACCACATATCTGGCCATGGTCATGGATTTGGTAGAGACATGTTTCTCTTGATGCATTCAAACTGTCTCAGGCCGCAACCAAAATTACAATTTTATAAATAACTTGGAATTTGCAGCTATTTATTTTCCATCAAATCCGAGAAGAATAGTCATGCTAAAATATTTACATGCAGGAATATGAAATACTACTCTATTTTCTCTCTGTCAATTCTTTTGAGACGAGGCAGCTAGCTTGCACACTTTATTTTCATTCTTTCTAATCATGATCTAAAAGGCAAACATTTATTTTTTTAAAAGCTACAATTATGAAGAATGAGGTTTAGAGAGATAAATGCATACACGGGAGTGAAGAATGGGTGGGATCGACTTACTGTTGTGAGTTTCTCAAGTGCGGTGAATCTCTCTTCCTGGCAATAGAGGGCCTTCTCAAAGGCCTCGTGCCTCTTGATCAACTTCTCTACTTCATCCAGAGAGTCCTGAAATGTAAAGCAAACTCAAATTTAGCAATGCGCTTACACTCCCTATTCCGAGTCTTCTTTCATATATGTATTTACACTTGCTTCTCCTAGTTCATTGTCTACAGTGCCTCATCAAAGAAACTAGTGATTTAACTTCAGTATAAGAGGAAAAAAGGAATTGATGACAAGTATCAATAGTTGGGGTAATAAATGTGATCGTGGGGAAAGGACTTGGATCTTACCATTTATATATACACTAGGAGTATTGAGTGTGAAATTTCACCATCTAGTGTCTGTCTGAGGGATAGGCACAGGCATAAAAACATCTTATAATACACATTACTATCGTGTCTTGTTTCAAAATGCAATAACTATCCATTAAAACTGAAAAAAAGCCATCTAAGAGGCAATGAAAATGTTAGCTCTAGGTTTACTCACCCCATAATCATCACTCCTCAGGTACTGTTCTTGGCTCATCAGCCAGGCTTCAGCAGCATGGGCATCACGGGCAAACTGGTATACCTCCAGAACTACACAAAATAATACGAAACTAGTTAGCACAGTGGCATGACATGATGGAGGCAATACCATATGGATTTCTATACTGTGTATATTACAGACCTAAAATGTTGTATTACTTACTCTTCCTACTTAACCTGTTTATGTAGTTGCTATCCCTTCATGTACATGTATTTCCCTAGAGATACAAATTACAATATCATTGGACCTAGTGATTAGATGAGTAATCATAAGTTAAACAGACTCTTGTAAAATGAGCATTGTGTGTAATTTAATACTCTTTCGCCACTTATTCCTGCAATAGTTAGCCCCATTATTACAAAAACATCAAATTTCAGTAGGAGAAAACAAAGCTTTGGGTTTCTTGTCTCTTCAAGCAAAACAGATGCATTTCATTTTACTTGTCTATGAGCAAAGTAAATTGTAGACATATACTCATAATCGTTGGGGTAAAAACTGAACTGGAAGAGAAGATACTCACTGAGCTGTAGGTATTCCCATCTGTGTTCCCAGTCAGCGATCATCTCCTGACGCTTGCCACCGACCTGCACTAGCTTGGTATGGATCTATATACATGATAGAGAGAGAGAGAGAGAGTCAAAGAAAGTGAGTGAAGAAGGAGAAGGCCCATTAAACATAGGATATCGTCATGAGAATGAAATGTTTTCATATTGTACATATTGAATGAGAGAATATCAAATGCTACCTTCATTCCATGTTGATGAACAGTTGCAGAAACTTCCCAAAATGGTCTACAAACTTTACTATTGATAACTACAAAGTAGAAAGGGATAACATTTGTTTCATCCCAAGAAATTTTCAATCTCCAGGAATTCAGCACATATACAAATGGGTAGTTTTTACTAACACAAGTTTTTCTGCAGTACAGAAAATTTTTGTTTCTCTTTTCCTCAACCCCTACTTGTAAATGCTTTCACGGCAAGCAAAATGATGTAAACTTGTATTTGAGAAAACAGAATGAAATGAAGAGACTTACGTCCTTTGATGCGTAGTGATCTCTTGCCAGCATGTCTTTACCCATGGTAAAGCATTCTGTGAAGTTACCATCCCTAGTGTCAATCTCTGCTTTGATGTTCTGATGACCGTTCATCAGAAGCTCAACACCAGATACATCCCTGTGCAATGAAAATAGAACGCAATGCTTGATAGTATATTCACACACGTGCAATTTCAAAGACATAAACTGTTTTTCATTACACGAACTCAAGCATGAGATTATCTCACACAATAATCTTAAAGCGTTTACACCACAGTTCCTATCCTTAGCAATGATATTGAATCAATTATTCTGAGTTTAAACATGCTTATGATAATTCCAAACTGTATTATCCAATTACAGAATTCAAAGTAAGCTAATATTAATCTAGCAGTAATGCATCTCTTCCTGTTGTTCTTTTCTCAAGTAAATGTACATCGTTTTCATCAACAATAGTGAATTCAATCTTTTTTACTGGGTGTAAGCCACAAATATGTTTAAATAATAGTAAATTCATCATCACTATTACTCCTAACAATCATCATCAATAATAATCAGGGCTTCCTTGCACATGTGGTGGATATCAGGCTTCTATACTATATCAAACATGTGAAGAGGATCAATACCATATGGGATGACTTCTTTCGGCCTATGGCTCATCTTCCAAAATTCATTACCTGGGACCCGTTTCACAAAGCCTTTTTTAATAATAATAATAATAGTGGGTTCTTGTATAACGCTCATGTCTGTCAGACAATGGCAAATGACAAAAATCAGTGACAAATCTGCTGATAACCAATCAAAAGCTAGGCTTTCAGTAGCTTATAACAAAAAATGTAAATTGTCACTGATAACAAGTTTTGTGAAATGAGGCCCAGAACTATTCATTGTGATCTCAACTCATCACAAGCTGTGCTGGCAAGCTTTTTATCCGAAGAACTGTCTCTTCTTCTCTAGATGCTGAGTCAGTTCTTACCTGGCCTTGTCCTGGTTGATGATCTGCAGGAGGATGTCCTCCATCCACATCATGAGCGCCCTGACAAGGTTGAGGAACCTGAAGAGCTCATCGGTCTGGTCTAGTCTCACACAGCGGAACTTGATAGAGGAGTTCAGGTTGTTCCATGCATCCACCACCTCCTGTTCTCGGGTGTCAATCTCCCTGGCCTTGTCACCAGCATAGGCGGCACGAAGACGGCCAGCCTCCTCTTGAACATCGTTGACCTGAAGGTTTGGGAAAGCATGAATCATTTAATATAGGTTTTGCTGAAGCAGTTGTAGTGAATGTTTTAGATAATAATTCATGGAATCCTCATCCAATCTTATTCTCCCCTCTAAACTTGTATACCATTATTAAAATTAAATTCAACAAAATATTCTTTTAAATTTTGACATTTTTTTTTTTTTTCAATCAAAAGAGAATATCTCTAAAAATATATATTTGACTTCTATTTTTTTTTGAAGTCCAAAAATTCACATCAAATTATATGTAATCCACAAACATAGGCCAAATTAGCATTTGAGCCTTCAAGCAGATTTTTGATCATAACATACTCATGCTTACTGTTACCTAATATCTATCACATGTTGTGCAAAATGCCCAATTTTGTTAACACATTCCTGTCCTCTTTGTACAAGTTACAAATGGGAAGACAAATGCTGACGCACTACAGTGAGAAATGAGAAGGTAAGAAAGAAGACATACCTGTTGGCCAAGAGCAGAGAGATCACTCTGGAAGGAGACATGTTTCCTCTGTAAGATGGCTACTGACTGCTGATCCTTGCCTAGCTCCTCAGACATCTCCTGTTGCTTCTCCTGTGTATCAGGAAAAATAATAACATGGAAACAGACCATTTAGAGGAGGAAATCATCTCAAAATATTGATCATTCTTAAAGCCTCTCTGCATTAACGTGACTGGGAGGGATTAGACCTCCCTGCGTGGTCACTGGCAGGTGGTTATCTCATCAAAGCAGCTCTCAATTAACATAAGAAAAAAGGGCATGGAGGGGATCAACGGGTACCACTTAGGCATAGTTGGCTGTGTAGAGGGCGCCAGTTGCTACAAGTAGTGCAGTCCTGCTTTAAATGAACTATGGAAGAGATGTTTAATGTAAAATATCACTTCTAGACGTTTATTCAAACGAATACTTCCCCACGACTTCAATCTTGTTGATCAAAGTTGCCTTCCAATCGGTAGGTATAAATGTTTCAATCAACTACACTCAATTGCATGGCACATGAAGAGTGTATTTGACAACGTTTTAGACTTACCTGGATATGAGCAAGGACATCCTTAGCATCGGAGTAGAACTTGTGTAGCTCATACGAGGCAGCCAACATCTGAACAAAAAAAAGAGAGAGACAGAGAACATTGTTAGAATTCAGTGGAAGCGTAAATCCTGGAAAGTGTTCTATCAAATTAGATTGAAACAGCCGGCAAAGATGGACAAGTTAATTTCAAAGGGTAGAAACACAATTATAGATTCATGAAGATAAAGATATTGCAAGGATTACAAAAATGTGGTATTGGACTAAAGGGACAGAGAGAAGGGATGAATGAAAAGTAGGCAGGAGGGGAAAGAAAATTTGGAAAGAGGTAAAAAAAAAAGTACATAATACAACAAAATTTCGAGACAGGGAGAGAGAGAGAGGGAGAAAAAAGGGGATGGTAGCACCAAATGAAAAGAAAAAGTAGATACGCATGGACCCATAGGATATCTATTTTAAAGGTCCAAGTGAAAAAAAGTGAAGAAACAATAAAAACAAAATGAAAACCATGCTGTCGGTCTTTGACTCACCCTGGTCCTTGTATCAATGAGTTCCAGGAGATCAGCCCATGCCTCGTTGATTTGGTCTTTCCATTCTGAGATGGTTGCAGCATCAGCATGGCCCTCGTTGATGAGTTTGTCACAGGTACGGTTGGTGTGGGCAACCTTCTCTGTGCCGATGTTGTGGGTATCGCGGCCAAACTCTGCAAACCGTTGCTGCAACATCTGAGTAACAAACAAGAAATAAACCTTACTAAATGCTGCTCTTCATGCATTTTCTCTGAACCTGATATAGAAAATCTTGTTATATGATATCTACTAGTTTTCATGGGGATGCTTTATGAATATATAATTCCTACGAAGACGTTATCTTTTTATATCAATAAGTGAGGGAAAAGACAGCTTGATACTGAAATCCAATAATTCTCTGAGAAATAAACCACACATTTATATCTCTTTCTAACATAATTTTATGCCATATTACTATCTGCTCTGACAAAAAAAAGCTTCTCTTTAAAAAGAACAAGAATATCACCAAAAACAAAAAAAGAAAAAGAAAGGGAGATGGATGAAATCCTCAATATACCGTGACATGCTCAAGGTCCTGTCCAAGTTCGTGAGACCCAGCAACGACTTCCCTCTCAGCAATCCATTGTTCGATGTCATCGACCTCTTGGTTGAGGGCAAAGAGTCTGGTGGTCTCCTGAAGGCGAGCTCTCCTCTCTTCAGCAAGATCCTTCAGACCGGCATACAGCTTGTCAATCTGAGATTGACGGATTGCAATCTGGTCACTGTTGGATGGTGAAACATAGAGAAAGAGTACATGACATGATTTTTATGCAACTCACTGGTAACATTAAGGGGCTTTCCCTTTAACATGCTTTTTGAGTTTGACAGAAAAGCCTAGAGTAGCAATAAAGATGGCTTGGATATTAAGAAGATAATTTTCTGATAAGAGTATCATAATAACATTATCAGTAGAATTTATATAATTGCTATAGGGTCAAAATGTATGAAACAAGACAAATTTGACCAATGTCCTTTAAATACATATTTTAACATATAGCCATCGTTGTTGGGAGCACGTGACCAGGTAATGGATACTTCAACACATTCTTTAGATTCATTTTTCAATGGGGAATAACAAAGTTGACAAGGTATAAGTCTTGAGAAATATTCAGTATTTCCATAAGTTCCATTAGGAAATAGAGAATACAGATCTGCTTACAGCAATGAGTACATAAATGTCCTAGTCAAACAAAACCCAGTCACACACTTACCTCTGTGGATGTGCCTCATCGATGAGCTGTTTGGCCTCATGTGAGACCTCATTGATAGTCTCAGCATAGTCTTCCACAGCACTCTCTAGGATAGCATGCTTCTTAGCCATGGTAGCAGCGCTGGCTTCATCCTTAGCACGCTCTTCACCCATCATGTACAGCTCCTGTTCACTCATCCATGCCTCAGCCTCTGCTGCGTTGAAGTAGTACTGTTCAAAGAAAAAACAAAAACATTAATCAATCAGCGTATTTATCAAGTTATTAGCACTCTCTGGACAAAATATTAAGAATACTAGAATAGTATAATGGAAAAGTTACAGGTGCTGTTCTATGTGAAAAAACAAATAGTAAAATCAAATTAATTTAAGGCTCAGCATGAGTGGTGTTACACCCCTTTAAAAGTGTTCAATATGATTATCTTTTGTACTGATCTGAGAGATGATTTAAGAGATTTCATTAGTAAAATATATGTATGTAAATCTAGGCAAAAATCTGTTAGGTAATGAACAGCGTAGTGGAGTGAGAGACATCACCATAATATACTGGCTTGGGAACTGATACATTTCAAGTACTTTGGTGAGTTTATTGTCACTGGTAAGGCCCTACATACAAAATTATTATCATTATCATTTCTGTATAATGTGAAGTCCTAAGCATGGAAAGTGTTCTTACCTGTTGTGCCTTATTGGAGTCAACCAGCTTATCTTTCCTGCCTGAGATGGCCGACTTGAGCATGATGACGTGTTCCTCCAGCTCTGTGATGCTGACCTTGATGTACTCTGACTGAGGATGGCCCTGTTCAATCATGGCCTTACCCCGCTCGATCACCTCCTCCACCTGAGGCACATGGCCGTCCACCTCGGCATTGAGAGTGTTGGTCTTCTTCTGCAGGGTCTGTACTGCCTGTAGGTTGTTGCCCACATCGTGGGATGTGGCCAGGGGCAGCTTCTCCTGGACCCAGATCTGTAGCAACAGGAGTGATCGGTATCAATAACACATTCTTCGGGTGAAGAAGTGAAGTGAAATGTAATGTTCAGGCAACGTACTGGACACTATGTGTTCCTGTAATTCTTACCAAAGAAGCCAAAGTGGAACCATAATATCATACTTATATTGCTGTTGTAAGAATGCTCATGATGAAAGCTCATGATATCAAAAAGTATTCTTATGTGTATTGCATTTATTATTGGGCTGAAAGAGACCGCTCTACTGCGATGTACACAGAACTCTCTCTATGGTGTCTGCAAGGATTTCTCATTAAAACCCACTCCTGATAGCTTACCTTCTCATCATCTAGATCCCTGAGGACTTGGTAACCCTGCTGTTGAGCCTCAAGCTCTCCTCGCCTCTTCTTGAGGGGATCTGACAGGTTGCTGAAGCGCTGGGCCATCAGTTCCTTCTTGGCTGTCACCTTCTCTATGTGTTCCACATTCTCCAGTGATGATACCTGGCATTGCAAGCTCTCAACCTCCTCTTGCTTGATCACCAGGAACTGTTCGTACACCTGAAGGATCAGACAACACTCATTTTGTCACTTATCTGCCGTTACTAAACATGTAATAATTTTTTTTCAAAATTCACTTTTAGATTAATATACCAAATAATATGGTCTAAAAGATAATTACAGAAGAAAACTTGAAACACATCATAACTGACATCAAGTTATGATTGTGTGAAGATGAAACTGAAAAAGTTTGTAAAGCCTATGGAAGGGCCTCAACCTGCGCATCAATAATGTTAACTAAGTTTACTCTTAGAAAGAGATGAGACTAAAATCACTTACAAAGTCTCACACATCCCCTACTATAACTAGCAAGCAAGGCCTCATCATATAGTAGTAACAGCATGGGTTTTTACTACCCTCAAACTGCCAAGTAATAATGGCTATACAATATTCTAAAAATTGATTGATTGTAATTTATATCGAATCACAGCTTCTTATATTTAATATTCACAACTGTACTATAAGACAGGGTTCCTACCTGTTGTTTCTTGAGCAAGTTGTTGACAGAGACGAGGTCACCAGCTGCATCAGCATGGCACAGCTCAGTCTCCAAGTCCACGATCTTCTGCTCCATGTCGTCACATGCATCGGTGAAGAGCTGTTGGCTGTTGGCTTCAAACAGAGTCTTGCCCTTGGTCTTGGTGGTGTTCTCAAGCTCGTTCCATTGCTGCTCCAGGTCTGCGATCTTGGCCTCGACCTCCTCTCTGGTCTCTGGCTTTTCCTTGATCAGTTCATCTCCATGCTGCAATCATTATAATAAATACAGGGCAATGTAAACCAATGTGTGCATCATCAAGACACTCAGAATGTAGCATAAACATTAAATCGAAATTCGTTGCTCACTGGTACAGGTGCGTTACAAACAATGTACTTATGCTTGTTTTCTCCTTTCAAAAAGTCTTCATTACCTTAGTAAGCTCATCAAGGATCACTGATGAGATGTAATTGATGGACATCGCAATCATACTTGTACAATTGCTGCAACATTCACACAAATGAAAGGGTAAGGAGATACTCATTTCATTGAAATGGACCCCTGTTTTTCTTACTTATAGTTTAAAAATGTTGTAGTACAAATAATTCTAAAAGCTAGCAAAATATTTCCCATACAAATAAATATATCATCTCTTGTGTATTAACTCTTTTTTCACCAAAGATCAAAACCCCATACTGCCACATTATTTTAGAGTATATGCACATATGAGAGGTACATGTCACCAAAGTAGACTGTGGTAGTGCTCTCTTTGTTCCTTTGGATGACCCAAGCCTAAAAAGAGTTGAGACAGGATGCATACCTCTTTGAGCTTGTCAAGACGTTCCTTGTTGGCGACCAGCTCAGCTTCAAAGGCCTGGTGTTTCTGCCATTTGCTGTGAAGGCTCCTGGCTCCATCGTATGTCTCTTCCTGAGCTACGACCATCTTCTCCACCACCCAGAGACCAAGCTCCTCAGCCTCCTGCAGGAAGGACTGCAGGAGACGGTTGTCCTTTAGCTTCTCAAGCATAGCCTCTGCAGCAAGACGGTTGGCCTTTCGTCTGTGCGTGTACAAGAACAAGGGCAAATTGCATCATTACCTGGAAAAGATTTTCTAACTGGAATGGCAAGGCATCCCTCTATGCATGCTTCTTACCAATACATAACATGCTTAGTGATTGTATTAAGCTGGAGGGACTTGGAAAGGATGAAATATCCAGGATAATTATCTACACAATAAGATATTTGAATTTGTAAAATGCACTAATCCTTCCAATACAGCATAACGTCCTCCAACTATTTGCTACAAACATAATTTATTTGATTTCCTGACCAAATACGCTGTAATGCCAGTATCTCTTTGAACTACTATAACACAAATGAGACAATGACTGTCAGACGACTTAATTCGGTATATTGCATGCAATTATACTGCAGGGTATCATATCATGCCTATGTTCTGACAGAAGACGGGTATAAGTACTGACCTCTCATCGATGTTCTCTGCCTTCTTGTTGATCTTATCTGCAGCATAGTGGTCTTCATCACAGAGCCTGTTGGCAAAGGACAAGACGGTGTTGATCTTCTCATCATTGGTAGCCATCTGGTCAATGAAGTGTTCATACTTCTTGATGGCTTCATCACAGGCTTCAAGAGAGTTCTGTCCAGAGATCAAAACATAGTAAACTCAACATGAAATAAGGATAACCAAAGGAGATACAAGATGATTTCTAAAGCTGACTTACATTCTCAAAAGGTTTTCTCAATATACATTTAAAGAAGAAAACTTGTGTAGTAATAATGAATTCAGTAATTTCATATTAAAATCTGTATAAAACATTTAAAAAGTACATATCAAGTTTAGTCTATCTGTGCACAACAGAACAAAAGCATAATATATAGGTTTAAACAGAAGTAGAACTTGTAACAGTTCAAATGTAAATGAATTTTGGCTTTCCATGATTCATTGTCAGCTTAAGAAGGAAGGAAATTTTGCCTTACCGGTTGCTCGACCTTGGTGAGGAAGTTCTCCTGTTGGTTAAGGATGCTATCAGCCTGGCGTGCGTCACGCTGGAACATCTGGTAGTTGAGAGCCTGGGAGAGCAGGAGCTGACGATTGTCCCACATCTGGTGCAGTTCCAGCCATCCATCATCCAAGGCTTGCAGACGCTGTGAACAAAAATATGAGGGGATATAGTTTGCCATGGTAACATCATACCATCCTTACAACTTATAAATCAACAGCACATGGGGCCTTCATATACATGTACAATGACATTTAATGCTAATAGCATTAAAACAAATTTATATTCATTCCTAGGTTTTCAAAGACAGCATAGACTTGTCCTAGGAGAGTCACGCTGCCTAATAAACAATACTCTGGTAAATTTAGTACCAAATTAAGCAAATAACCAAGTACAAAAAATGTAAACATTTCTAGATGAAAAAGTTTTTTTTCTTCAGGATTGGTGAGGTGTTTTTACCTGTCTGAGGAACATGTACTGTGTGTCTGTCTGTCCCTCGGTGATGCGTTCACCGTTCTCCTTCATCTTGGCGTACTTGTCTTCATAGCCGTCGATCTCATCCTTGATGGCAGCATGTTTGTTGAGGTACTTCTCAGCCTCAGCCAGGGACTCTGGGGTCTCTTCTGAAGCCACTGTGGTCATGGTCGTGGACAGCCAAGCCTGGAAGTCATCCAGGTCGCGTAAGAATTGATGGAGGTCACCGGCTTCAGCCAGAGCAGCTTCGCGAGATTTCAGCTGCAAGGGGGAGATAGATTGAGAAGCTTCAGTATTTTCAAGACAATTAGGATAACTGTCTGTGATACACCAGATAAATACGACGATTGTATATATATTTAATTCTTATGCCGCAATACTCTGGTACAATCTTCTCATCTACTTCCAAGAAGCGTCCTCCATAGACACTTTCAAGAAACATCTTAAATCTTACCTTTTAGGCAATTCTATCAGAAGTAGTCACTACGAACATGACTGACAAAGAAAGCTGACAAAATATACAGTTCCTCAGGTAGACAAAGGAACATCCCTTCACTGCTATTGTGTAAAAATGTGTAGAACCCGTGTCACATGCATATTCACCTGTTCTACACATTTTTACATAATAGCAGTGAAGGGATGTTCCTTTATCTACCTGAGCAACTGTATATTTTGTCCGCTTTCTTTCTCTGTCATATTCATAGTGAGTATTAGTGACATTTTTAATCTTTCTCTCTCTCTCTCTCTCTCTCTCTCTATCTCCTTTCAATTTTTTCCTTTATGCACTAAGAAAATGTGTATTGGGCACATTTTAACTATTATTATCAATATCTCATAATCAAGTAATTGATGAAAGTGATAATGAAAATTATATTGCAATCATTTATGACAAGCACTACAGAAGAAAATCAACTCCCTCAATGTTGAGGTGGAGGGCCAGGTGTGGCAAGTAGAGGAGGTGATCAAGCAGGGGAAGTCCAAAGACGAGCAGAGCCATCCTTACTCCTTTTCCCAACTATTTTCTATGTTTACGTCCATATAATTTGCTATTTGAGTTTCATTCTCTTCTACTATAAGTGATGTGATTTGGGTACAAATCCACAATTTCTTCATGATTTGTTATTCTTGATCCTATTCCTTCTTGTGACTTACCAGTTCCTTGAGTTCAAGCCATACAACCATGATCTCATCGTATCTCTCCTTGATGAGTTTTGCCTCCTCAGGATGCTCCTCGGCAAGCTTCTGTGCCTCGTTGTCAAGGGCTTCAAGCTAAAGAGAGAAAAAGAGAAACAAAATGAAGATATTGAAACCTGATATTACAGAAAAACAAAGAGAAGAATTTGAAACAGTGAAAGCCAGGATAAGAGGTAATCAAATAAACGAACAACAGCCCACAACTTGATGGGTTCATCAGATTCAAGTTTGTTCAAAGAAAATGTCAGAGTAGCTATGGATTTTCACGTAGATGATCGATAAACAAAAGAAATAATTATATTCAAGATAAATTTACATCCTAAAAGGGAAGACATATGTCAAGACTTTTATTGAATGGTTGAATATATGGGTGAATTGTAAAATTTGTCCAAAAAATATGTGGGATATTGCACAAAACTTGTGCAAGATTTGTTTGCAATAGAGCCGATGATTTACCTTAGCCTCGATAGCAGCCAGGTCACTCTCCATACCCTTGAGCCTGCGCTGGAGTACCATGATGCCTCCCAGGTCATTGCCAAGCTCTTCGGTGGCCTGGATGAGACGTGCCTTGTCCCTGATCCATTGGGTGGTCTCCTGGCACTCGATGTGGTAGGTCTGTACCTCTGTGACTGCCATGACGGCATCCCGCTTCTGCTGCAGAAGGGCGCGTAGATCCGCCCATCTACGGAGGGCAAACAGGAAACAGGTTTGTCGTTTATAATGAATGAATGAAAGCTGCTAAGGTTATTGCTCATATACTTACACATCAAAGACTGAGACTATACAAACTTAGCTGCATAGCTATTACACTTGAAACCATTTCTAACAGGTTCAGTATGCACAGATATTTATTGAACATAAACTATTAACACTGTGCATTGTTTTATTCCGACATTTTCTTGGCTTATCCACATAGCAATCTCTCATCAAAAGATGCCTCTCACGATCATGCATGATTGCTTACCTTGAGTTGAGCTGGTTCTGTTTTGTAGTGATCTCCGTTGAATTCGGGTGCTCTACGGCTAGCAGCTGTCTGGCCAGTTGGTTGACCAATTCCACCTTGGCTCCGTTGACCTCTACCTCTCCCTCCAGGCGGTCAAAGCGTGCTAGGATGACCTCGTTGGATTCCAGGTCCTCAGCAGGGATCAGAGCATTCAATGTGTGCTCCTAACGAAAGGAAGAAAGAACAGGAATGGTGTAGATGTGGGTTGGTTTATAGCTTCATTAAGACCATATCATATTGCATTCTCAATTATGACTGGAGCATGATCTTGGCTTTTGAACGATATAATACTTCTTGCCTGGTATATGAGACATAGCCCATTCAAGACTATTTACATGTACAAGGTCTGATGTACCTGTATTTACCTGTAGCAGAATATAAGTGCATGCCCACATGTGTATAGATATGTACATTTGTCAATAAATCTAGCTGTAGATGTATCTACCTTTCTGACAAACTTTTCTAACTAACTGCTTTTATCAAAGATTTCATTGAGTTACAAGTGAGTTTGCATTTTGCAGAATTATGACTATGAAATTGGCAACAAAACACACAAAAAGGAAAAAATAAGCATTACTTATGGATGAATGTACATGCAATATATTATTGACAGCTCGAATGAGAAGTTCAAATTGGGATTTTTTTACAAGCAAAATCAATATCAGACTACTCACAATGCAATAACTCTCATAAAATAAGTACGATACTGAAACTCTGACAAGATTTTAGAGCACAATCGATCATGTATGAAGCCTACCTTCTCATCTATCCAGGCCTCGACAGCATCAGCCTCGTTGAAGAGTTTGTAGAGGGAGAGAGCATCCAGGAGACGCTGCTTGCGAAGCTTGGCAAGCTCCAGAAGCTCCTTGTAACGTCGATCGATGGTCCCAAGACGAGTCTGCACCTCGGGAGAATCTCGGTCCTATTCAGAGGATACAAATTCAAAACTCATGTGCTTAATAACTGTAATACAAAAACACTCGCATTTTGGGCAAGTTAATGAAGTTGATGGAATAACTTTTGACTGGCCTAAATTTCTTCACTTGCTCATACTGTCTGAAACATTGTAGTTGAGATCTATTTATGAATGAGATATACCTTATCAGGTGAGTAAATGTTTATACATGTAAAGTCAATTTGGATTAATGACATACATGTACATGTACTGCTTTCAATCAAAGAAACCCCTTTTTGCATGTCACTTTTGCATGTTACTTTTACATATTATTTAAAACACTACCCCCCCCCCCCCCTGACAAGATGAAGGTAAAGATAAAACATCAGTATTGTGCGGGACAGGTTTCAATAAACAGCCAGATATGTTCAGATAAATTGTTTCATTACATTATTAAAACGGAATGTTTTGAATATTCTCTTTAAAGATCTTCACTAAATAAAGGACAATAAATTACAAATATAGAAGAAGGTAGAGTAGGCTTACCTGTTCTCCCAGTTCTTCTGCTTGCTTGTGCAGACCACTAATGATTTTCTCATAGTTCTGCAATTCTTCTGTTACATCCTGTCAAAAAGATAAAATAATTACACACATGTTATGATCATAACCAATGAAGATAAACCAGATCTTTATTAATGCCATACGTTGGTAACATATACATAACATCATTTACAGTTACATTCTCATAACAAAACAGGTTAATTGTTCTGGTTAAAGTAAAAATGCACAAGTCACATCATGCACTGAATGCTCATTTCCTAATGAAGTAATTTGTCATTACGGTTGTTTTTCATTTGAAAACTTTAAGACTTCCTTATTTTGTTTTTTACATAATAAATCAAAGAAAAAAAAATCTCATTACAATTTTAGGACAGTCTTTCAAAGTCTTATGCACTATCCTCAACACTGTTCCACATTCTCTTTTGCTTTGTTCACATTCAAAATCAGTTACTGAAAGTCTTTTTTTTTCAGTGAGATTATATATAAGTCTCTTTCAGCCACAGTACATTTCAAATATAAAGTACTTCAAGATTTCCAGCTTTTACCTGAAATATATGAATATCATCTACATGTATGTAAATTACGTCAAGTGGAAATATATCAGGTACTGGTACTAAATTTTGCCAGTAATGTATTATGTATTAGCACTCACACTTCTCACAGCAAATCACACAGCAAAGTCGTATTTTATAATGCAACATTACTTAATCATATGATGCTATCAATTTAGTAGCCAGGACCATAAAACTACCAGGGTAAATAAAGTCACTTCAATCAATATTACTATCGTGGTATTACCCTGTACCTCTCATGTAATGGATTTATAATTATACGAGTATCTCACTAGGCGTAGAGGAGAGATATACTGCATCATGTAATCACATTTGTCCCATGAGTAATGGTACACACACTACATGCAATACCAATGTACTCTCTGGTCTGTGTGTCCTTTGATCATGCTATTGACATTCCCTGTATCATTATGCAAACACATCTCCATGACTCATTCATATAGTCTACAATAAACTGTGAATAGAAACCACAAATTGAAGAAGACTCGTATCTTACAAAATTTTGAATTTTTTTTTTCGTAGTAGTGATGTAAATTTTGTTTTAAAAATAAAAGCATGGTAAAGATTCATAATGTGTATTTTCAATGTACACATATTACACAAAAAGGGAGAACTAACTGGTATATGCCTAAATTACACCTACTGTAGGTACGTTTCTGATTATAAAGATCATTGCTACAGAGGTGTACATTAGAAATATGTTCATGCAATAATCAATTAAAATCAATGAACACCTTATTAAAAAAGTTTTTTTAAAGGTTAAATCATGCTGGATAACTATCAAGCAACTTCATTCCAAAACTGAGTTATCTGGGTTATCTTCATTCTATCATTGATATTAAAAAGTGAGTTAATATAATACAGGTGTAATTCTGCTCTGTACTCCTACATCATCATGCAAACTGCATTCACACTCTGAGGAGGTTTAGTATGGGGTTTAGATTACACTAGATTACGTTGGTTCAAACCAAAAACTGCAATGTTATATTATCACACCAGTCCTAAACTCACATCCGTCTTGCCATGAATACTCTGGTTTCATATGTGAAACAGGCATGTACAAATCAACGAGAGAAAGAGATGAAGCCATGCACATATGCAACATAAAGATTAATAACAGATTCAATGTAAAACAAAACAAAATGCTGTAACCCTAACCTTGATTATTTGTCAATATTTAAGAGCAAATATTTAAGGGCAAATGTTTTCCAATATCCCATAAAACCACAGGACAAATATGTGGGAATTAACAAAAGGAATGGCCTTGATACCCAACAGAGCAAAAGATATTCCAGAATCTGATTCTTTGTTTCAACAGACATGACAAATGCATGACAAATATAGCACAAGACAGGTACACAGTTTCAGTTTGAAGGACATGTGAAATGAATTAGAAAAACAGGTACAAGAAAACAAACATATCAAATACGCAGCTTCTTTAATAAACTAAAAGCAATCATATTTGATTAAATTTATATGATTAAATTTGCTCATCATGCTATACATGTATTTTATTCAAACATTTTCCCAGATTTTTATTAACATGAAATGATAATCCCAAGACAAACTTCCAATTTATTTTGCACTCATATAAACACATTACATTTTATTTCATACACTAGAAGTTCTCTTTTAGAACTGCTGATGCCAATTCTTTCCTACAATAATCAATATATTTGACATAATCCTCAACATCTGTGGTCAAAAATATCTTAATACATATCCAAATATATAAAATGTTGATTATAGTACTGATGGCAACAAACAGATTGCTACAATTTTGCATGTATGTAAATGAACTGTATTTTCTTAATTTATTCAGACACATACTTTCTATTACACCAAACAAGATCATAACATTCAGCGAATGCATGTTGTTGGTATGGTTATCAAGGAAGAGGCACGAGTATAAGGAGGCGGGGCTTACCCTATGTTTCTTGAGTAGAGATTCGGCACTGGCTTCATCCCTTCCGACGTCCTCGCTGGAAACGAGACGGAGGGTGTCCAGCATCCAGGTGTCAACATCGTCAGCATCAGCAAAGAACTGTTGAAGGATTAAGAATGAAAAGGGTATAATAGTTGCAATAACAATCACATGCTATCATTTTACATAGATGTAAATGTTGAATGTTAATCCCAACTTTGTTTTGGGGAGAATTTCAGCAAATATTAACTTTTACATATCAGGTTTGAAGAAGTTCAAAGCACTGACATACAATATACTGTCATGCATAAATATCTAATCGATTTGCATATGTGTGAGAAAACTATGCACACCTGCATGAGACCTTGTAAGATCTCTAAAGGGGTTCCTCTGATGCAGAAGAACGAAAGGGTAGAAAAATGAGACAGATGGCAGAAATATAACGTTTGAAAGGAACGGCAAACACAGGCCTCGAATTACATCAAATTTGGGTCAAGGCCACTTTTTTGAGAGGGCACAAATCCACTGAAAGGGGCACAAATCTATCCTAAGGGGCACTAAGGCCAACGTGGAAAGTGCGCGTAAAATCACCTCACGCCATTGTTTTCAAGGTGGGGGGGGGGGGGATATGTGCACCCAGGGGCAGATCCAGGATTTCTTCCTTGGGGGGGGGGGGGCCCACTTTTTTTTTTTGTCCCAAAAAAAAATCGCAACGACTCAGCCAGCCGCTGAATAAGCAGGGGGGGGGGGGGGGGGACACTTTTTTTTTTTTTTTGGTCTCGAAATTTGAAAATTTGACATTTTGTTCCCTTTGGGGTGGGGGGGAGGGGTGGGGGGTGGTGAGGTCACCTTTCTTAGATCAGCCATTGGCATAATTTTTTTTTTTTTGTGTATTCCATTTAAAAAAAAAAAAGGGGGGGGGGGGTGGTTTGCTCCAAAATACAGACATAAAAAAAAACGAAGGGGGGGGGTTTAACACCCCAAACCCCCCCCCCCCCCCCGCGTACATGCCCGCTCGTCTGAATACAGTTCCCCTCCCTCCGCGCAAAGCGCGGAAGCTTTTACGTTTCATTAAATCATTGGAGAAAGAAGACGATTCGTTGTCCCGTTTTTTACTCTTAATCCTCGTCTAAATTCATCCCCCCCCCCTCCCCCGCAAAGCTCGGAAGCTTTTACGTTTCATTAAATCATTAGAGAAAGAAGACGATTCGTTGTCCCGTTCTCGACTCTTAATCCTCGTCTGAATTCAGTTCCCCCCCCCCCATCCGCGTGCGCAAAGCGCGAAAGCTTTTACGTTTTATTAAATCATTAGAGAAAGAAGACAATTCGTTGTATCGTTCTCGACTCTTAATCCTTGTCTAAATTCAGTTACCCCACCTCCTGCGCGATCGAAGCGCGGAAGCTTTGACATTTAATTTAATTATTAGAGAAACAAGACGATTCGTTGTACCGTTCTCGAAAATAATCCTCGCCTGCATGAATACAGTTTTCCCCTTCCCGCGCAAAGCGCGGAAGCTTTTATGTTTCATTAAATCATTAGAGAAAGAAGACGATTCGTTGTACCGTTCTCGACTCTTAATCCTTGTCTGAATTTCAAAAATGTTTTTTGTCTGCTCCTTTTTCTTCATACGTCCTCTTCCTTTTCTCTCCTCTCTTTTTTTGGCTTTTTTTTTGGGGGGGCGCCCCCACTGCCCCCCCCCCCCCCCCCGGCTACGTGCCTGCGGTCAGATGAACATCTTTTGATACCTTGTTCGCCCCCGGAAACTCATGGGTTGAAGGCAAATTACGGTCAGATAAGCATTCAGGGGCCCGCCTCAGGGCCCCTGGTGGAGTCGAGGGTGCGGAAACCCCTGAATTTCAGGGGTTTCAGGCATTTGATTACGGTCAGATGAACATATTTTTATACCTTATTTGTGACACTGGCAGGATACTGATTGGCGTGAGGTCCAGCGGGCGGAGCCCCCAGAAGCCCATGGGTTTAAAGCATTACATTACCGTCAGATTAGCATACAGTGGGGTCCAGGGGGCAGAGCCCCTGGAAGCTCAGGGGTTTAAGCATTTGATTACGGTCAGATGAACATGTTTTTATACTTTATTTGTGACACTGGCAGGACACTGATTGGCGTGAGGTCCAGCGGGCAGAGCCCCCAGAAGATCAAGGGTTTTAGGCACTAAATTGCAGTCAGATGAGTATCAAGAGGCCTGCCAAAGGGCCCTTGGTTGGGTCCCGGGGGCAGAGCCCACGGAAGCTCAGGGGTTTTAGGCGTTTAATTACGATCAGATGAGCAATTTTTGATACCTTATTTTGTTGATAAACTGGTAGTTAACTATTTTTTCTTTCTTGCTCTTTTTCTTTCTATTTCTCTTTAAAATGCTTTTCAAAAAAAAATTGGGGGGGGGGAGCTGGAGGGGGGGGGGGGGGGAGTTTCCCCCTTTGACGTTTCATTGAATTATTAGAGAAAGAAGATGATTCGTTGTACCGTTCTTGACTCTTTATCCTTTTCTGAATTCCAAGGGAATCGCGGAAGCTTAGACGTTTTTAATAAATTATTAGGGAAAGAAGACGATTCGTCTCGATCTCGACTACCGGTATTATCCTTTTCTGAACCCAATTCACACCCCTCCCGCGCGATGGGCGGAAGCTATGACGTTTTAATTAAAACGTATGGGAAAGAAGACGATTCTTTGTACCATTATCTCGATTTTCTGATTTAATTCCAGACCCTCCTCCCGAGAAAAATCCAAGTTTTTCACTGATTAAAAACTGTGAAAACACACCAAAAAAGGTCACAACGCGAAGTAAAGATGTTGAACCAACGATGGGTAAACAAAACTTCCCGATATTGATTGGTTCATAAAAAATAAAAAGGATGGATTGAAAACTAAGCCTGAGTCATTACGGTTTTTGTGCCAAACGTTTCAGTTATTTGGATGAAGACATTCTTTCATATCTCCGTATCGGCAATTAAGTCCCGCCAATTAATTTAGGAGTTCCATAGTGGAAATTAAGTCTCGCCAATAATTATTGTTTTAGATCTCCGTAGGGGCAACAAAGTCTTGCCGATTATCATTGTTTTAGATCTCCGTAGGGGCAACAAAGCCTTGCTGATAATTATTGTTTTTAGAGCTCCGTAGGGACAACAAAACCTTCCAGTAATTATTGTTTTTAGAGCTCCGGAGGGGCAACAAAACCTTGCCGACTATTATTGTTTTTAGAGCTCCGTAGGGACAACAAAACCTTCCAGTAATTATTGTTTTTAGAGCTCCGGAGGGGCAACAAAACCTTGCCGACTATTATTGTTTTTCAGAGCTCCGGAGGGGCAACAAAACCTTCCGGTAATAATTGTTTTTAGAGCTCCGTAGGCGCAACAAAACCTTCTGGTAATTAATGTTTTTAGAGCTCCGGAGGGGCAACAAAACCTTGCCGACTATTATTGTTTTTAGAGCTCCGTAGGGGCAACAAAACCTTCAGGTAATTATTGTTTTTAGAGCTCTGGAGGGGCAACAAAACCTTGCCAACTATTATTGTTTTTAGAGCTCCGGAGGGGCAACAAAACCTTCCGGTAATTATTGTTTTTAGAGCTCCGGAGGGGCAACAAAACCTTGCCGACTATAATTGTTTTTAGAGCTCCGTAGGCGCAACAAAACCTTCCGGTAATTATTGTTTTTAGAGCTCCGGAGGGGCAACAAAACCTTCCGATAATTATTGTTTTTAGAGCATCGGAGGGGCAACAAAACCTTGCCGACTATCATTGTTTTTAGAGCTCCGGAGGGGCTACAAAACCTTCCGGTAATTATTGTTTTTAGAGCTCCGGAGGGGCAACAAAACTTTGCCGACTATTATTGTTTTAGAGCCTCGGAGGGGCAACAAAACCTTGCCGACTTATCATTATTTTTAGAGCTCCGGAGGGGCAACAAAACCTTCCGATAATTATTGTTTTTAGAGCTCCAGAGGGGCAACAAAACCTTCCGGTAATTATTGTTTTTAGAGCTCCGGAGGGGCAACAAAACCTTCCGATAATTATTGTTTTTAGAGCATCGGAGGGGCAACAAAACCTTGCCGACTATCATTGTTTTTAGAGCTCCGGAGGGGCTACAAAACCTTCCGGTAATTATTGTTTTTAGAGCTCCGGAGGGGCAACAAAACTTTGCCGACTATTATTGTTTTAGAGCCTCGGAGGGGCAACAAAACCTTGCCGACTTATCATTATTTTTAGAGCTCCGGAGGGGCAACAAAACCTTCCAGTAATTATTGTTTTTAGAGCTCCGGAGGGGCAACAAAACCTTGCCGACTATTATTGTTTTTAGAGCTCCGTAGGGACAACAAAACCTTCCAGTAATTATTGTTTTTAGAGCTCCGGAGGGGCAACAAAACCTTCCGGTAATTATTGTTTTTAGAGCTCCGGAGTGGCAACAAAACCTTCCGATAATTATTGTTTTTAGAGCCTCGGAGGGGCCACAAAACCTTGCCGACTATCATTGTTTTTAGAGCTCCGGAAGGGCAACAAAACCTTCCGGTAATTATTGTTTTTAGAGCTCCGGAGGGGCAACAAAACCTTCCGGTAATTATTGTTTTTAGAGCTCCGGAGGGGCAACAAAACCTTGCCGACTATCATTGTTTTTAGAGCTCCGGAGGGGCAACAAAACCTTGCCGACTATCATTGTTTTTAGAGCTCCGTATGGGCAACAAAACCTTTTTGAACATTACAAGTCGGGTTGGCTTACGATGACTATAATGTCGGCAAAACTTTTGTGGATTAAAATATTGTGGCCGTAAACAGTTTGATTTTGAAAAGGGCATTCCGGCCAGTGAGAGGGGCATGGCGGCAAATTGCCGATGGCCGGTGGGTAATTCGAGCCCTGCAAACATATAGATGATGGGTTATTGAACAATACATTGATATCCCTAGGTTGTTAATGCCTAATTAAAAATGGGCAAACTCTTCTTACAGCATATTAAAATGACTAATCATGGTTTGGAGCAGTTCAAGGTGGCTCTTGAAACAATTTAGTTCCCTTTTCAGGAACTGTAACCCATAGAGCTGTATATGCTTTACCCTCATCTAGATGCTGAACAGGCGTTGATGAGTATTACTATAGAAGTAGAAGTAGAAGGGGAGAGGGAAGAGAAGAAAGATGTTTTCTATACCTGGTAGAGATCAACAGCCTCGAGGAGACGGGCTTTCCTCTGATCAGACAGCTCCTGTAGCCTCTGCCACATGTTCTGGACATTGGTGATGCGGTCCTGTATCTTTGGTGCTCCAAAGTGTTCCTCTGCGATCAGGTCCTCGCCCACCCGGATGTTGCTCTCCAGCTGTGCATGACGACCCGATTTCTCGGTCTCCAAAGCCTGAAAGACATGGTTTTAACAGGTTAGGATAACTTCAAGGTTTACTAGTAACTTCTAGATGACAACCACCCTCGACGATCATCGATCAACACACTGTGAATATTGTCTTTTACTCCAAATATACTTGTATAGAACAGAAGCAGACAAATAATAGAATGTGTCAGGTATTACCAATGTGTCAGGTATTACCAATATATCTACAAATCTTTTTTTCATATCTTAAAAATAACAACTCCACATGGTGTATAATTAAGTAGTTGTATGTTGATCAGTTATGGGACGTGAACATAATGGTTTACAATACAGTTTTCATTTCTGTTCACCTATTCTGTCACCAAAATGCGAAATCCTTGTTTCCAAAGTCTGCATCCACTTACCTTGTGTTTGTTGAGTAGGAGTTTGACAGTGGTGAGATCGTGTCCAATGTCCGTGGACGACACGATCTGCTGCTTCTCCTTGATCCAGTTCTCGTCATCGGCAAGATCCCAGAAGAACTGCCACAGACGGAGAGACTCGTCCAGCTTGTCACGGCGGAGACGGGCCAGTTCCTGGAGTTCATGGTAGCGCTCTTCTAGGTGGTTCATGCGACTTCCGACGATCTCGGGATCGACTGGCAGGTACCCTAAAGATAAAATCACAATGGAGAAAAAATAATGTTGGACGTAGTGATGAAATAATGCTTTGCGATTACTGTTCCTACATCAATTTATTCTCAACAAAAGATTTTTGGCTTCAGCGGATTATTTGCCACCTAAGTATTAATAGCTCAAAGATAACATACTAACAAAATATTAAAGGACATCATTTTAAACAAATAATATATCAAAGGAGCATTAAATACTAAAAATAACAGCAATCTTTACTGGAAGTTACTATAAATGTACATGGACTTGTAGATAAGCTTCAAGTTGTCCATGAGATGTACACAGTAGTCTTAGTTTAACAACTCTGACTGTTTTATGAATTCCAGGCACATGTAATTTCAATGATAATCCACCGGATAAATCAACTGCTAATTGTATATATCCTGTCATTAGCACTCAATGCTAAGAAGATCAATTAGTTCCTCAGTGGGATTCCTCAATGTTGGCTCAATTTTAATCCTGTGATACCCACATGCTTCTTAGAAACATGTTTGCAATATGTTTTTTTTTTTTTTTCCAAGTGCAAACAGTAAACCACTAAATTGAAACATTAACAAGAATATCACTACAGATACAACTTAAAGTCTAAGACTTATTAATTATAAGAAAGTGTTTGTGGTAACTGATTGAAATCAAAATCATTTACAGTCATACAAAAGCTTAATGTGGCCAGTGAGAGGTACGTAACAGAATATAGAATAATACTCGGGGAAAATACACCTTGTGCCTCAATGCAACTTTCTTCACATGTGACAGATAGCTTTTGTTCTATGTAGAGAATAAAAGTTATTTGCTTGTCACATACGTACTTCATACCAGAAATTCAACAGTTTTGGAAAACATCAATACAAGTATACAGATTTAAGATGGTTTAAATTCCATTAACATAAAATTCATACAAATGAATCCCGGTTATCTCAAGCTCAGCTATCAAATGGTGTAGATACACACATGTATATGTATATGGACAGTATGAATCAGAACTTTAAACAAAACTCTTAAAAAGAACTGGAAATTAAGCTTAACAGAAAGCCAAACACTGAACGGCAGATTGACACAGAAACATTCTGTCTTGAAAAGACTTTCTTACCTGAACCATCTGGTCCATTGGGGTCCATATACTTGGCAGCCTGGTTGTTGACGTTGGTAACTTGCTCACCGTACACCACAATGTCGGATTCCAGCATGTTGTGTTTCTGTATAAGATCCTCTACCCCCATCAAGTGCTTGCCGTAGTCCTCCGATAACAGCAGCACCTGCAAATTGAAAGTGTCATTTCGTTTGGTCACTTCACACAACCATCAAAGGTCAATATGCAATTGCAATTTTCTACCACCCCTTCAAAACTAAAACTAAAGCACCAAGATTTTCCAATAAAGGCTCTGCTACGGTGAATAGGAATGGAATTTTGCCATTCACTACCTTAGAGCTGTACTGAGTGCATATGTAAGCATAATCACCTCATGGTACCTGTACTTGTTCCACACAACATAAAGCATCTTAATATTCCAAATCATCCATGAAGAAAGATTATTCTTTGACATGAGGAAAGGAGCAGGCATCCCCATGCTGCATCAAAAGAGGCAAATCTTGCCAAGAGAACAAAAATAGACAAACGCTACAATCATCAATACAACAGCTCTCGCTGCAGGAAAACCTTGTAGCCAATATAGTCTAATCATTTATTTGACCAACACAGAATTCAATAGAACAAGAAATTCCCATCACCACCACCACTACCACCAGTTTCATAGTAATAAAGACCAATGAAGAAGCAATTGTTCAATTGATATAGACAATTTTCTTCTTGGGGCAGTGGCTTGACGTCATAAAACCCCAGAATGGAATCCACACACCGTTCCCTGAGCTCCAAGAGGATTGAAGTCAAATTGAAAGTTATGACCAATATCATCACCCAGGCCTCAATGCCAGGAGAGCGAGTATGCACAAGTAACAATATATGTACATGTATGGAGAATGTATTGGATTGCCACGACACAACCGTGTTTCTTCATTTCTCATATAAAACTTCTTTGCACAATTCATAAGTGAACTACATATGAACTACAATAGCATTATTACATTTGTGCTGGCATACCATTTAAATTACAGATGTAAAAAAATATGCATGGATTTCATCCATGAAGCCAATCCAACATGGTAAAATATATATTATGACTGAAGAATTTTCTTGTTGCCCTTCTAATAGATAAGGCAATCCTACATGTAAATGAAGGTGAATTTGGCTTGGGGCTGAGTAATATATTTCAGCAACAAAAACACTAGTATTAAGCAAAGCAACCAGCATTATATGTGCAATTCATTCAAACTATAATTCAATGGATTCTCTTCTGAGAATCCCTATAAATGCTTATTATATCAGGTAGATTCTTTCTAAATTTCCAACAAAAAGATATCGTCAGCAAGGACAAATAAGGGGGAACCCTGTGTTCTTATAAGCAATGTTTCTGGATTTGCGTGAAAAGCTTTCATGAACTGCAAGACCTGATCTTTTGCTTACCTTTGTTTCTTCCATGGAGTCGAGGAGTAGCTCCATCTCCTGGAATCGTCTCTGGATTTCGAGAGAGAGCTGGAGTCTGACACGTCTGGCCTTCAGCAGCTCTATCAGGTAATCCCACAGACGTAGGATGTTGTTTTTCCTGTAATGGAATTATCATATTTGTTAGCATGCATGTGTGAAAAAACATCAACGTAGGGCTTCTGATATCCATTCTTCATAACTTTATGAACATTTGCTCTTGATGATAAGAAAATGGGTTGCAGTCACTTTTGATGAAGTTGTCCTGAATGACTCAAACTCTCACCTTTAATGCCAAAATTTACGCTTAAATCTTTTGATAATTACTGGTAAATATTGTGATTGTATTAGATTGTTTCAATAAAACACATTAATTTTTTTTTTTAAATTACACTTAAACTGACATGACACATACCTTGCATTGATCCTTTCAATGTCATGGAACCTCTCCTCTTCCAGTTCTTGGGCAACGGCCACCACGGCAAACACTCGCTCCTGGTAGGCCTTGATGTCAGTCTCGATGGCCTCATGCTTCTTGGCAGCAGCCTCCACGGCGGGCAGGTCGAAGCCAAAGTTGTCCTGAGCTACAAGTCGCTGGTTCTCGCTCAGCCAGGTCTCACGCATGGCTGCCTTGCGGTCGAAGCGAGCGGCAAGCTGCTCCAGCTTCTCCTGGCGGATCAGCTCCTGGCGCAGCGCCAGCTCACGGCCGTGCTCAGATTTCTCCAAGTTCTCCCATGCCTGGTTAAGGTGGGTGGGTTGGGAGGCAAGGTAAGAGAGGGAGAGACGTCAGTCAACATCTCCTCATTAGAAAAACGATATGGGAATGAGATTGGAGTAGTCCAGACCATGTGTCCTTCAAAAATGTCCATGATGCAAGGATAATCAAAATTCAATTAACGGACAATACAGAACCCGAAAGCATTATGATGTCAATCATCTTTCCCCCGACCATCATAACAAACATAAAAATAAGAAAATAAGTGGACAAATATAAGGAAATACCAGATGACATTGTCTTCTTTTTTATGCAATCCTTCTCTTTAACCTTTTAAAGTTCAAAGGTGATTACAATAGCAACTAATAGGATGGATTAATAAAGTTAATCAGATAAAAAAATTACTGATCCACTCTAAAGTGTCTAATTCTCAGACTCAATACATCGTTTGTTCAAACAGGGATTTTCATTTCATAATTCCTAATGGAACAAAAGACATAGGATGCATTTTCATCTTTTCATCATGTTTAGATGGTAAACTAGATAATTGATATTTCGGAGAAGCCCCTGGGAGGAGCATTCCAGGCTATGTCACTGACCTTGTTGATTTCATGCACTAGCTTGCCTTCCTTAGGCATGAAGGGTTTCTGGTTGTTGGCTCTCATCTTACTCTGAATGGTGAACAACATCACTTCAAGGTTGCCCTTTTCAATGAATCTAGGGGTAATCAATACACAGAAGAACGCAACAGAATTAGAATGGGGGGATATGGGGAAAATACAAAAGAAGATATGAGACACACAAGGTCAAAAAAACAAAGAAGCATAGAAGTATGAGACATGAGACGCAGGAATACCATGGGATATAGACCAAGACAGAAATTTGAAAAATGCATGTAGGACGAATACAAACAAATGATGGTATCAAACAAGAAGAGAAACAGAAATGAAGAACAATGGTAAAAAATATCAATTAGAAAAGAAGAGAGTAACAGAGAAGCAAGTATGACAATAAAAATTATTGTAGACCAATAGCAAGAGAGAAAGAGAAAGAAGGAAATAAAGAAAAAAGAAAAAAAGAAAAAAAGAAAATAAAAGGAGATAAAGAGGTATGTAAGAAGAGATGATGAAGAAACAAAGGGGAAAGAGAACTAACATTTACTTTTAGATTGGATCGATTGAGTACACCGTTGTGCATGACCATGTGCTGCATGCCCATCTATTAATGTTCAGAGTGTTATTTTCTGTCTGGGGTCTGGCAATGTAAATTTGTGTCTGTGATTACTGCACAAGCAATCACACATCTCTGTTTGTTCTGAGGCACTTCAATTGGAAGTGATTTTAGGTGTGCAAGGCAAAGAAAAGAAATGTCTGCCATTCTTGCATTTATTTTTTCAAGTCAGCATACATGCATATAACACAAGTTAAAATTGCCTTAAGATTTGACATTGTATAAACTTGAATAATTACACCGTCAAAATTAAAGAATGTTAATTATTTAAGTAAAAAATAAAATGAAAACTTTCAATAATCAGAAACTTGCATATTATTAGACAAGAAAGACAGACGACTCTCAATACCAATAGCAGAGCAGTGGAACCATTACAAAGGCAAAATCCTGAAACTTATTCAAAATAATGTCTTATTTCTAGGTTCAAAACAAGAAAAGTGCATATTCACTAACATAAACAGCACTGCGTTCCCCTGAACCAATACTTTGAAGAATCATTTCTTGTTTTTCTCTGTGGTATCAATGACAGCCCTCAAAGCCTGGCATCAACCAGCAGCACATGATGTCTGGCTTATTTAATTTGTGGCCGGCTGTATGAGATTACAAGCTAGCAAGCGTTAGAGAAAGAGAGGCCGAGCACCATCCATCATGAGCCCATCATGGTGTCGTGGTGTCGAGGGTAGTCGCAACCCAAGAAAACACTTCTCCATCACGCATCCCCACGCTATTCTCAGCCGCAGCTGTCCCCACTGCTTGGCTTGCCGATAGATATAGAGATTCTTGTACGCCATGTAATTCGTGGGAACTGAACCAGGGTCTTTTATAACGCTTTCGCATAGCATTCTTTCGTTTGGTAATGTGAGGGGTGAGGCTGCATGTAGTTGACTACAAACCTTATGATTAGTATTTTGTCCTTGGATTTTTAAGAAGAATTATTGAAAAAGGATTTCTTGTGTTATTCTTTGGGGGGCATTTCCCAAAGAGCAATCTTGTAAAAACGATTGAGGTAGGCAGATCTATTCAAACCCTTCACTTGCTCATCTCATTCAGAGTCAGGGCTGATTCACATACCGAATCTAAAAATAAAAATGTTTCTGAATAAGCAGGGATTTGCTTAACATGTAGGTCTGGATATGCAATACAATCTCCTTCATCATCCCTACTGCAATGCTCTATCTTTCGTCTTCTTAGAAATGTCTTAAAAATAGCTCCTAGCCACGCACTACTCAAACGTGTAGGAGTTGAAAGTTTGCCAAACATGGAGTCTATGTTTGTTCTCGTCACCATAGAAGCATATGAGTAGATATTATGAGTGTGTGGGTAGCAGATAGTCTGCCTGGACAGACAGTTATGAAGATATTGAGACATAGTGCATGTATGCTATCTGTAGCCAGGCTTAACCGAGAAGCAAGATCACTTGTGCTTTGTTAAAGTTACTATACAAGGACTATTCATGTTTTTCGATAGCCAGGTAGGAAAGATCCATTAACGTGGATAACTTAGATTTGTAGGCCCAAAAAGAGTGCATTTCAAGTTAACAGGGCCTGGATCAGTTTAGCATATAGGGTAAATGAAAGCATGTGGAAAAAGTGCAGACTGGCAAGGCAACATATCTATTCAAAGGCTTGAAGGTGAATTAAAGGTCAACTATTTGGAAGGAAAGGTTGCATCCTGTCAGGAGCGTGAGGGGGTTTTGTTCATGAGATAGTGATCCGTAACATTGACACATACTACACCACAGAGATACACAGTCTCCTTCTATGAGTGGCTTCGGGCACCTAGCCAGCTTTGTCTTTCATTGAACGGAAGATCATCACCCGTCATGTTCCCTTATCACGTTTTGCACTCTCATTGTGGCTAAGGGAATCTGATGAAAATTTGAAACGTTAGGTCTCATCCCTGTGACATTTCCCCCCCTCAAAATGATAACTCATTTCCTCCACAAGAATTTGGACATGAATAGTGCATTTAAAAGATCATTTTTCATGTGTGTGGAAGGGCCTGCTGTACAAAAAGCTGTCTGTTTTTTGTATACATGAAATTAGTTTCCAATGTTCTTCTTCAAATTACAGTATTGTCAGGTACAATGTCAAATCCAATCCAATCCAAAAAATATTTGATATAGCGCATTTTTCTTGCGGTTACAAAGTACTGCACACACACCGCTCCACAATGTTTGGGCAACTTAAAAACAAAAGACATGAATATCTTACTTGGGAGGTTTCTCCACTGTTCTGTAGGTGTTGAATGAGAGAAGTTGCTGCTGAACGCCTTGCAACGAGTTGGCAAAGTCGCGGTCATTCAGGATCTCGACGGTCTGCCTGATCCACTTGAGGAGATCGGACGTAACCTTGTCGTACTCGGTGATGAGCTTGTCGTTGTCGATGGCGCCGTTGATGACCTTGCCGATACGCTTACCGGACACGGTCTCAGCCTTCATCTTGGAGAAGTAATGGTAGTAGGTCACCACATAGGTGATGATGGACTTCTCGTCGGGATGGTCCACAACAATATCTGTGTTAAAATAAAAACAAATGTGATGTAGAGTAATGAATACATGTAGTGCACATCGACTTCCGTCATAATTATGATATATGAATAGACCTTTAATCATTGCGATATTTATGGATAGAGAGCTTTCACTTCTCAGAATTTTTTTTTTTTAAAGAGATACATGAAAAAAAAGATTCTTGATTCAAAATTAACTTATTAATCAGTAAGTTTAACTGAATTCTTCTTAGTGGGTTTAAAACAAACATATTTTCTTTTAATACAAATAATGTATTAAAAAATTCAATACCTGTATATAGCTGTTGTGGGTTTTTCAGGAACCTGCATAGGTGATTTTGCTTATTTCTTAATGTAAAATACCAAAACAAACCTAACACCCCTAGTATGCTCAACAAAACACTAGTGTATAGCACATTAATACACAATGTAAAATTTTAAACTTTATTAATTTCCCCCAAAAGGATAATGGTTAGTGGTTTAAGACAGGTAATTGATCACCTAGCGCTAGAATAATGCAATTAGTCTTGATGCAGGCATTTGATAGTAAAACCATTATCTGAAATCTATATCCTCCACCATCTAACAAAGCACAGCTGGGAACCAATTAGTACTGGGAGGGTTGCAGCAGTAGGGCTGCTTTATGCAATGGAATTCCAAAAGAAATGGGGGATCAAATATGGAAATAGGCACATTACTGGAACACTGGTTTGTAGATAACTTTAAAAAGAAATGTTAGGTTTTACATGTGCATTATAAAGTTTGGAAAAATAGAAAGTATTAGAATCTACATTAAGCTACACTTATTTTTCCCTCTCTCCTAGTCTCTGTCCAGTTAATAGTATTATATTTATACATATTTATATTATAATAAGGAGATACACATAGAAGTCCTCTTATTCTTTATTGACCTCCAATACTCTCCACTTACAGTATGTATGGGTCTATATGCATTCAAGTAGTCTCCAGGGCAATACCAAAGCAAATGCATCTAGAACATGTAAATAAACCCCTTTCAATCCGGTGATGACTGAAGATTTTGACCTATCTACAGTGTACATGTACACACATGCTATGCATTGTACAAATTACTAACTTCATGGTACAAGTTGCCTACATGCATGTCTAGATTCTATTGCAAAATCAGAATGTAAACAAAGCTCTTTGGGGTACAAGTCTCCACTGTCTTGTGGAATTTGATGGAGGAGATTTATTGAGCTCTTAGGATGACATCCTCATGTCATCTTAGATTAAAAATGATTATGACAAATCACTGGGTGGTTATCTCCAGTAAAAGACGAAGATGAAAACAATTTAAGACCCACACAATCTGTGGAAATCATGGATTTATTGGATTGGTGATGTACATGTATAGAGCTTAAAATATATAAGCCAGACTACATTTTATGATAAATCATAGATAAATTTGATTGAGGACTTTTAAAATATCTACATTGTGAGAAATATACATTAAGATGTATACCATGAACCAAAATTTAAAGAATAAGGGATGAAATACTAGTGTAACTAGGATTCAACGTCAATGATCTAACATGTTTAAGGACCCCTCAAAGGGATGTGCTTTACATTTAGATCCAAGCACTCACCTTCAGGGTCTAGGAGCTTCATGAGCCCCAGCTTCTGTTCAGCAACATTGAAGACATTGTTGAGATTCTGAACGGGTTGTACTTTGGTCAGTTTGTTGTAGTCGATGAGGTCCGGCCTGTGCTTGTGTACAAGGGCATTGAAGGCCAGCCCATCTCGCCAGCTTGTGGTGAAGTTGCGTATGTCCACGTTGGCATAGCCGGCTGTTTTCATCTGGCACCAGAGGAGGAGGGCATCCTTAGCTGATCGTGTCTCCGTGTTGTCATCTTCAAAATGAATGTCTTGAATCTAAAGAATCACACCATGAGAAAAATGAAAAAGAAATTTAAATTTCCGTTTCTGCTTTCATATATGTACATGATTGCCTACACTTAAAAAGAAAAGTAGTAAAGATAACTGCACTATCTATTTCAGTAAAAGCTTAAACAACTACACAGGCACATGAATAGTTACGTCTGCATTTCAACCTCTTTACAACTTAATAAAAGAGAAAGGAACAAGATAAATTTCCAAGGCTCCAAATGATAGTGCGACTTACTCCAGTGAATCCATTCTTATATAAGTAAGGTGGCATAATCATGCTAGCAGGCCTTGCCTGAACTGCACCTCTGTGTTAGGAATCCTGCAGAGGCACAAGAGGCAGCGGTCCTTTCTTCTCAAGAATACATTTAAATGTGTAGGATTACTTGCTAAATACGTAAATGAGGGGTCGTAAACAGGATGGAATATTCCAACACCGTCTAAACTTAGGGTGTGATCAAAATGGTGTCTGATTTAGAAGGTTGATAAATGAACGCACCTGCGTCTCTTCGTGCCATTCTGGTACCCTCGTAGGAACATTTAATGAAATTTTTTATTTAGCATGTACTGACAATACGTAATGAGGAAAAGATCCCATGCCGAAAATTGCACCAACTTTGTTTTCTCAAGGTTCTCCGTCCTCTTCCATTTTCAAATTTATTTATTGTTATTATTTTTATCATTTTTTATTTCATTCACTTTTGTCCTTCTGTTTTATCACTCTTTAATACAGCAATACTTCCAAATTCTTACAGTTATATATAATTCAATACATCACTCTGTAAGTACACATCCCTTTTCTAATTAATTTTTTTCTCAAGTAGAATATATACACAGATATCTTTTTTAGAATAATGTAAATTGGCATACCGGTACGGTAATATGTGGTTCTCCATTCATAAAGTGTGACAAATTGCTCTAATGGTTTTGGAAACCTGCCAAAAAGACTAGATACATTTAAGTACATGTACATGTACATGGTATAGTATCATTGTACAGCAAATACCAAGTCATATGCCTGTACACATGGTACAGTCCACTCACGTGTGGGTGTTCAAACCTTAAGTTTGAATTTTGGAGCCATTATAGAGGAAGTCCCACTAATAGGTTTGTAGAGTAGGGAATAGTTTATACCCACATCCTACAGATTCTTATCATAGCCTGGCTGTTTGGAAGCAATAATTCACATTTCCTTTGGAGTTCAAAATTGTTTTTCTTCTAAAAAGTTCAGGTGGGTATACATGTACCTGTACACATCATTAGTATGTGTATACTATACGTACAGGTACAATGTATTGTACTTCTATGATGACTCATTAACTGCTAAATGTGTATACCTGTATGTATATTGTACTTGTATATTTATAAACAGACTAAAGATTTTTCTTATCCTTTTCAAAGAGCTTATAATTTCAGTCCAGGGAGCTGTACAAATACAATGTGAAAATTCCATAGAATATATTTCATGAATATTTCATTACATGTATATTTAGGATTTACTGAAAGGAGTTATTTGAAGCAGCTCTCTTTTTCAGAAAAACAGGTTGTTCACGTTCAAGCATCAAGTTGGAAAGTTTACCTTTGACCGAAATTAATTGATGTATGAGATTTTTAAAGGACTTTGTATCAAACACACGGTATTCAATGCAAAGTAAGACCAATTTTACAGTACATGAAGGCCTACAGTGTATAAGCATACATGTACTACATGTACATGTACATGGTTGTATCTTCTGTAACTATCAGAGAAATAAAGCTGGATATCTTTTGGTTTTCTCTCAGTCTACATACCCTGTACATGTACAGGCCATACTGCATAAATACTGCAATCGAGGCTTCCGCTTTAATGTTATGCACCAAGTGATGGGTGTAGTTCAATTTCATCAGCGTGGAATGCCCTAGTGCCTGTAGGCCATGCAGCTATCGATGAATAAGTCTGCATGCCACAGCAGCATTCCCTGTCAGGCAAATGGGCCTTCACCTTCACTTACTCTTGCTAGCTCACTCCCACTCTCTCTCTCTCTCTCTCTCTTCTTTTCTTTCCTTGTTAATCTCTCCTCATCTTCTTCCTTTCTTTTTATATCATTTCTGTTATGTTTTCTAACAGTTCTCATGAAGTTTTCTTAAAATTTCATAATCTCTCTTCATATCTTACCCTATCTATGACATTTATATGTTTGATTTTCAATTCTTCTTTTCCGAAACCTACCCTCCTTTCATCTCATCTTGCTACTCCTTTTTACCATCTCTCCATCCGGCCCTCCTCTACGTGTATCTTTCTGTCTGTTTCTAACATCCATTTCTTCCCCCCCCCCTCCCCTTTTCTCCACCTTCCCATCTTACAACCCATTTTCCAATACATTGAATGCTACGCAGCATCAACCTTCTCGGCGCCTCATCAAAGCCTGAGCCATCATATTGCTTCAGACTGGGCTTGGCCGCTAGTGCATTTCTGATGCAGAATTAATGCATCAAATAAGCACTCTCGATGTGTTATTCCAATTATGGGCCCTAACTCACCTTGAATGTCAGTTATCACTCAGTTTGGCCCCATTGGCAAATTTGTAAATGGAATACGGTGTACAATTGATAGGAAACACAATTGAACTTGTTCACTTTGTTACGAGGGACTTTTCAAATACATGTAGATGCATTTGCCCCACAGGGGATTGTCAGCAATATAGCTTCCTCTCAAAGTTTGTTTATGTGCATTTTTTTCTTCTTTTCTTTTCATTTACCATAATCAATTTTGTTATGGATGCTCAAATTTTTTCGTCTGTACATGTACTGTATATTGGACGAGAGCATAAATCTTTTCATTCTTTCAATCACTCTTCAGAATCCATTTGTTCATTGGAAGTATGAATTTAACTGAAATTTTGTCACAGCGCATCGTCATTACACGTCAAAGCAATGGTAAACACATCATGTAAAACAACCATCTCACCGTCACATTCCTAGACCTTACTGAAATAGAATGCGTAACTATTTATGACTGTGAACTTGAATTAACATGTAATCACTATACCATCTCCTCCCTGAAGGGAAGCACATTCCTAGTGCTGCATTCTGCCATGCAGCCAATAGAAAGGTCATGTTTATAAACCCTATCTGTCATTCACATGGTACAGTTACATTAAACGTGAGACTGTGGATTCAGCAATGTTACAACTGAAACCAACCGCATCTATTCAAGTTACAGATGTTGCAAGACCCCACCTATAACATAGACTTGGCGACACAAATTCTAGGGAAAATCGGTCATGCTCATTACACTTCCATGAGACCAAATAATTTTTTTCTCCCTATTTCATGTAAGATTTGTCTTTCTTTTTTCAATCAAGGAGAGAATAAGCCCAGTTTGTTCTCACTTTTTCATTTCTATTTTCAGAATTGTAACTATTACGGATAGATTTTCTTTGAATCAAAACTTGTTTTGTGAAAGGTAAACTCTGGTAGCAGTCTCTGTAACTACTATCAAATACGTGTACTTTAAGTTTGTAGAATGGACACCAGAACTCAACATGTGTAGTTGTCTTAATCCTGCCAGGCAAGTTCAATGTGCTGCCTTTGTGGGAACTGAATAGTTTTAGTTTCACTATTTTTCAAGATGTTTTGTACAGTCATTGTTTAGGACCACCAAAAATTGAATAAAAAAAGCCTTAACCAGCTTTATAGCTGGCAAAACAAAGAAAAGAGTTAGACAAGAGCTCTGGACCGATCATGGAAATGGGAAATAGTCTCCAGAACTGTCACAGTGCGCCCTTTCCAATTTGTAGAAACATGGTATAGTGGACACCTACCTGGAATCTAAGGATGATGGTCCAGATGAGACCGAGGGTCAATCTGTGGTTGCTATCTACGATGTCATGGGATCCCATGTTCTCTAAATGTACTCGCTTCTCTTTCAGGAATTGCAGGGCCTTGTCTACGTTCTCTAAACAGTGAATGCGCATCTTGCCTTTCGTGGGTTTGGGCTGCAAAGAACAACAGAGTGATAAGTGTTAAAATGGTTTGTCATCTGTACTGGCTTGAAGGTAAACATACTGTAAAAAAATGTTTCAAAAAGCTCAGTAAAGAGTACTCGTGAACAATTTTCCATCCTTTTAACCAAACAACAGATACATTTATATTTGAATTGGAACATCTGACAATCAAAATTACATACATTTGTACGACATGAACATTCTTTACTCTCATGTTTATTTTGCCTGATGTCTTCTACCAGTCACACTACCAACCGACTCCACTCTGACTCCAAACCGACCGATTCCTGGACATTCGTGGAAATGTAATATTTTCTCTGGTCTGGCGTTAGTTTGGTGTCGGTCTCATGCATGTACACCCTGTACAGGTGTGACTGGTGTATTACAGAGGTGCAATGCAATTTTTTGAATTGCATTGTAGATCAGAATACATTCAAGAACATGCCAACATTCACTTTATATGTAAAATAACTGGAAGTCCAAGCAGACTTTATTTTTCTTTCATTTCTGTAGTACATGTACATGTACGCCTTTATAATCTTTCAAACGTACAACCTGTAATGCTGAAAGTCTTTTTTTTTAAAAACATTATACCTCAGATGGAACCACTTGACTCAACCAACAATATTTCAATTGCATTTGGCATTTTAATCATACAAAATTAAACAGTGAAGTGAGAGTGCTCCTACGTTTTATACAGAGTATTGGTAAGGGAGGAAAAACTGGTGACAACTAAGGCACATTATTTTTTGAAGTTTTATACAATGTATGAATAAAAATAGATTTGAATCATATTTTGTGTTTGCTTGGCCAAAAAACTATATACATGTAGATTCCACATAAGTAAATTAAGTCTGTGATTTCAAAAACTTGGTCCAATGTTTGACTTGAAGGTCTATTTATGCACCATTGTGTTGGCATATTGGGGTTCTTCATGTACATGGTTGAGGGTGTAGTGAGGTATGGCTGTAAAGAAGGCTCAATTAACATTATAAGAAGCAAACTTCCACCTACCGGTATATTTATTTAAAAAAATACACAACAGAGCATACAAATATTTTATGCAAATTGTTTGTTTCTTTGTTTACTTTTGGAACAGAATAAGAACATATTCATTGACTACTGAAAACATACATTGTACTAGAATATTATGAGGATATTTAAAACTGATAAATAAATGAAATGAGCATGGCGAGTTGAAGACAAAGAGGAAAAACTACATGTACAGTAAGTATCACAGTCGATGAATGCAGACACTCCAAGGGTACCTCCCTGCATGCATAATGTTTCATACAGTAGTTCTCCAGTCAATAAAAGATCGAAGGTTACCAACTGAATGAATGCAACTACCCTGCCCTGGGAAAGCAGATTCAAAGTTTGAAACACATGGCTGCTCACATACAATAGTCTCGATTTATTCTTTTTTTTTTTCCATCAATACCAACCCTACCCATTTTTCTATTGGTAGTGGTTGACACATAATGTGATCACATGTTGAATGGTAAATGCAGAGTAGACATCTGCACACACCATTCTCTTGCCACGTTTCAGTGCACGTTGATGACTCATGCAATTGCAAACAGTGAAGATGCTAGGCTTGGTCACACTCTGTTGGGGTCTTGGTAAGACCTGGCAGCAGGCCTGCATGCATACTCTCTAGTGCGTGGGAGGTGGCTGCTTGTATAGGCCAGCATGATTATGCCATAAATTGTTGTCTCATTGAACTACATGTATGTATTTAAGATTTTAGTTGTGTAGGCCTACATGACACATGCACTAGGCCATAAACTGTCATAGATAGAAGACTGTACAGATCCCAATATGGACAATTTAATACAGATACAACATGTAGGGAGACATGCAGTATTAATATCCTAATATGTGTGTGATATTGATAATGCATACATGTACGTGTCATGTAGTGACTTAATAAAGAATTAGCATTTCAAAGTCTAAATACAGTGTTAGTCATTCAATGATGAACACATTTTCTTTGTTATCTTGGATCAAATATTGCCTGCACCTTGAACAATTTATCATCTTTGTTAAGTGTACTTCAAGCAACATCCCCCTTAAAACTCACCTCAAATGATATTTCGCGCGAGAATAGAACATGTGACAGACAGTTCAAAGTTCTCAATCGATCAATACATTTATACTACTTGCTTTGAAATAACAGGCAATTAATGTACTGTACATGTATATGAAAATATGATTTGTATGCATTACAATGCGAACATTTAATTTGTTGTATAGTTCGTTATTGCGATCTTCTACTCATATACTATTTTGTCTTCTTTTCCTTGTCATGTTCCAAATGTTAACATTTTTCAATCAGAAAATCTTTTTCTTGTGATCACCGTTAATTTAAAAGAAAAACATATTAGCATAAAGAACCAGGAGAAATTGGTCCTGTACATGTGCGTAACAGTGTGCAGTCTTAATATTTTCTTTTTTTGAACAGTATTGTGGACATGTACAGTATACCTGCATAGAACTACAATGTATGTAGAAGTTTCACACTGTCTTCTTATAAAATATTCATTACCATGTAACTTAACTTAAGTTTGTTCATTTCAATAATATTTTTCTAAAATCTCCTGAATTATCAGCAAAAGTCTACATGTACAATGTACATACTGTACTAGTACAATGTATAAATTACATGGCTCATAATCCAAATTTGGTTTAAAACAACATTATGTACAGTTTCATACATGTATGTATGTACAGTATCTAGGGATGTTGACAAAATAAAATTTGATTATTAAATTGACTTCCTTTTCTGTTGGGGGGGGGGGGATAATTACAATTAAACAAAATATATGTATGTAAAGCAACTAATGTTCTTGCACTCATTCCATAAAATGATAGGTATCAACTATCAACTGAACCAATTATTGTACATGTATGTCACTCCTAAGGCCTATATTTATAAAATGACTATTATTCCTCCATCTTTGGTTATTCATGTGATAATCTGAAATGATAACTTTACTTACAATCTCCATCTCAATTCTCATATCAAACATGCCACATACATGTACATGTATTTTTATCATAACTGAATATACACATTGAAGAAACATTATTCTATGCTTCATATTGTTAATAAATGTATGTACAATGTATATCCAATAACCCTGTGCATGTAAAGCTATGTGTAGTTGATATGATCCAACTACATATACATACAGTACATATATCTATAGGCCTACTCTGGAGGTCATGCATTCCCTCTCTGCAGAGAGAGAGAGAGAGCTTTCACTCTCAGCAGCATACTACAGTATGTTGTACATGTACATACTGCAGTGTGCCTGGATGACAGACACACCCTTTTGGTTGCAGCAAGAGCAGTGTTATTGAGCAACACATAATAAGCCACTGTGTGTGTGCACAGATGTATGCCTGGTATAGAAGGATGCCTTTGGCTTTACGTTGGTTGCGTACAGGGATGAGGATCTTATAATATGAGAGGATTAAACTGCAGTACCAATACATACACCATTGCTGCTACAAATGTATAATCATGATCTTTATGAAACATATAATTATAAACATGTGTACATTGTATATAAAATACAGAGTTAAATTCTGAATACAGACATCATAATTTTTGTTTACAAAGGACAGTTTCCAATATCCATTCATTTTGCATACATTACAATACATGTACAGGAGTATAACACAGACTTGTTTAACCAAATTTTATAGGTCAGTCTATCTTTCAATAATTCAATCCATGCATACATGTACAGTACAGAGATTATTGTGTAGATCATTATTTCAAATGAGAAATATATGAGTTTCTGCCGTTTTGTCAACAGATACACTGTAAGTATTCCTGAAATTCAACATTATTTTCTACAAATAATTAAAAAAAACAATATTCCTTATAAAATAGGAAACATTTCTTTGCTTTGTGTGAAAAATTGCTTCTCTTGTTTTAGATATTGGTAAACCTAGAAATGTCCATGTTCACCATGTAGTACAATCTGCATTCAAACAATTTTGACATAACAGTTTTTAGTAAAGGCTCTTTGAAGGAGAGCATTTACAAATTCAAACAAATATTTGTTACATTTGTCACAAACTGCCCTGGTTTATTCAAAAATGAATTTAAAGGGTGCATACAAGTATTCAAACAGGTGTACATGCATGTACACATGTTTTGTATTCCATTACATGTACATGAGGTCCCATGTATGATGTAACCCTGTAACCGATAATCGCAGATCAATGGAAAATGATCAGAAGAAAAAGAAAAGAAATCAAATACTACAAAACATGCACATCTGGGATCGTTTTGTCATTTGGAGTTGTTGTAGACCATGTTTGTTGATATTAATTGCCTTTTCATGACTTTGAAATTAATAATATTAGTCTAGGAGAAGAGGCAAAACATGGGAGACACCATTTTGGATTATAATGTAGGCACACATTTTATTTTTTTTCCTCCAAAATGGTGGCTCGCATGTTTTGCCTCTTCTGTTAGAAGAAATCAAGATCTTTGCTACATACATGTATGTATACATGTATGATATGTAGGAATTTCAAGCATGACATACATTCTCAATTATACCAACAAAACTTTTTGATAGCTTTAAGCAAGCCTACTTACCAGTTTGTCTCCTGATAAAACTTCTAGGAGCTTGATTAGCATACGTCCATCGTATAAATCCGTATATAGATCCACAATGCGACATCCCACTCTTTGTAAATGTGAGTTCACCCATTTTGTGAATGTTTTCTTCTGCACCATTTCACGCTCATCTGTGTCAAGAAATAAGAATATTCATTACAAACCTAGTAAAGACATAAGCATGGCAAATACATAGTGCACATACTGTACTATTAATAACATGTATTCACATACAGTGTATGTATGCATACATTTCATTTAAAGAAAAAAAGGTGCACACAGTTTGTTCATAAATCATGAAAATGTTCCTTTATGTGTACACTGTACAGGGTGTACAGGTGTACAGGGTGTATGTACATTTAAGTACAATGATTTTGTATCTTTTATTTTCACTGACTGAATAATCATCACTACTGTACATGTATAATACTGTTCAAGAAACCAAAGAAACTGCAAATCAGCACAAATTGGTAAATAAAAACTTTGATTCTATATGTACATGGAGTTGGTTTATAAAATACAAGTTTAAAATATATGCCCTAGTCACTTCTGCACATTGCTCAGTTTCCTTTCCAACGATTACTTGAAAATTTCTCTTCATACCTGCAAGCGCTCTGATTCGAGAACGCTCAAACAGCTTGGCTCCTCCATCATCCAACGCAGCGTCTTCATTGTTGTCATACTTGACGCCATTGTTTTCCATTTCCAACGACATGGCTCAGAGCCTATGTCTTCCTACTCCTGCAAGAAAGCAAAGGACAAAATATTGTGAAATTATTAATCAAGCTCAACAAATTACTCAAAACAGGACTTCACGCTAACATTTTTGGAAGGGGGTCAAAAGTTAACTTTTTTACTGTTATGATGTACCGGTATGTAAAAAGTTACTGAAAACTTTAAAAATGTTGGGGCCGAAAAAATATTTTGGGCGCCTACCAGTTAGTGTTGAACCCTGCTTCATACATTTTGATCCATACAAATGCCCAAGACAACTGTGTTTATAGCCAATGAAAAATACATGTTAGACATAATCAAATTTAGTATATAAAATTTAAGATATCCAAGAAGTTAATTTTGACATGTGAAATTAAAAAGGTAAAGTCAAGGTTGACAAATGCAACACAATACTATAGTGCACTATATCTGATGTGTAGCAATACACTGTATACCTTGCATTTAATGATCTACTGATAAATACCAATTTCATTTTTTTTTTAATTTGTCAAGTGTTATTCCAAATTAATTTTATGCTCTTCAGAGATAGTCTACATTTTTGTTAAGGTGGTCAGTTTGAACTATTACATTAGTTACATTATCAAACAACAGTGACAATTATTTTCCTTTTTCAAATACTAGTATCATGAAGTTGTACATACTGTAGAAGGTAATCCTAATTGGGATCCTAATTTGGGTAACTGCTCATGCATGAGAAGCAGGTATACATGTACATGTACATGACATCACTGATATTTCTGTTACTGATTCAAGAATACATCACAGCATGTTTCACACAGACAAATACTTATAAGATGGGTAATATGGCTTCGGTGTAGTATAATCTGCAACCTTGTACACAGTCCTGAACACTTGACCAGGTGCCACTGACTCACCCTCTATGCCATCAACCCTTCTACACAAGTATGCAATGTCCTTAAAGACTGAGGTCTTGTAATTCCAACCCACTGATTCACATTTGTGACTTTTGGCCTTCAAATTTCAATGACTAGTTCCACAATCTTAAAGACAAATACAGCCTTCGCTGGCTCTAGGGTAAATAAAGACAAAGATCTGTTTGCCCAACGAACTCCTACGAGTTTGATTCAGAAAAAAAGAAAGAAAGAAAGAAAGAAAGAATAGGAACAACTTCTGATTAGTCATTTGTTCAGACATCACATTTTAAATACACACTGTGCATCATATACAATTAACATGCACACCCTAACAAGGCTAACATTAACGATTAACCTGAATCCTTGACCTACAGTGTAAATGTAATCTTATCCTGATGCGTGGTCATTTTTAATAGGGAGTAAAACAAACAGCACATTTGTCAAACCATGGACCTACTTGTAGTAGGTCCATGGTCAAACAACCAAAAAAGGCCTACATATAAATAATCCAGTGTCATTACTGTGGAATCTGGATTAGGCATGTTTGTATGGCTGAACCTTCAAAAAGGGGGTTGGGCTAACTTGGCACTCTAGAGGGCAAACTCAGCTTCACTCGGTTGAAAACTGAAGTGCAAGCTGTACACTAAATCTCTACATACAGGTGTATTACTATATACTAATTATATTACTAATACTATTTTACACATTCCTATCAAATAATCCAAACTTTTCCATCTTCTAGAAGACATATTTTCAAAAGCAAAAATGTATGCATTTGCGATTGATTCAGCTCTCTTGTTTAAATTAGCCATGATATGCTGCCAGTCCAAGTTCTCCCTAGTGCCAAGTTAGCCTTGATCCTTCACAAGTTACATGTACACGTGCGCCAACATCAAGAAAATACCTATTTGACATGTACACATGTACTTCAGAGACTGATCTTGTACTATGTACATGTAGGTAGGTTAAGATCTTTTCTTCATAACTCTTCTTAACTTCATAAATTTACTACAGATCAATTCAAAGCATTACAGAATAACATTTTCAGTGAACTTACCATTTAGAAAAAAGAATTTCATAAACTTTTTTTTTTAATGTGCAAAAATGATACATTATAAGGTACTTTTACAACAGTTACATGTAAGTTTTCTATCAACAAATAATAAAACATTGTATTCAAATAGCTGGACATGTTGTTCCAAAACAATAGGATGAACAGTTGATGACTATTTGATAAGACAAAAAATGTCTCATATCAGTTAATACATCTTACTGATCTTAGTCTAGCATTAATTTGAAGATTTTTTCATTAACATGTCTTGATGATATTCTAAATTAAATATAGAAAATCAGCCTATTCTTTTGGGGGTAACTTTCCATTGAAACTATGCCTTTACCAAATCCTCTGTCTAGGAGGTGATCATCAAAAGACAAAATGTTACAAAAACTCCTCTAAGCAGACATATTTTTGATGTCTAGGAATTGACCTACAAAAAGTACAATATACAATGACGTAGTTTTGGTTCATATCCCAAAATAGAGGATCTACACATTTGTTTTCTTTCTAATTGGGTTATCAACCAATATCAGAAATTCATTTGATATTGCAAAATCAAAGAAATCATTAAAGATACCAAAGAAAAAGGCTTTATTAATACTAGATCCTATAAGCCCTTAAGAAATTCATGCAAAAATATGCACACAGTAGCTTGATGTAGCCTTAAGGGCTCTCTCGAAATGTTTTTTTAATGATATTATTCGAGAGAGCCTTAAACGGCTCCCATACCCCTGCACGGAGAGGCATGTAAACAAAACTCAAAAGTGGTCCAAAATCACACTTTCGCGCACCCGACCAATATTGGACAGTGGCTTTGATAAATTTTGTCCGAGTTTTGGTCTTAATTAGCGCTTTAATTTCAAAATCGGATCTAAAAATAACAAAATAAGAGCAATTTTCTTACCAGACCGATACAGCTCAGCTCCCTTTTCACGTGTACCGTGTGAATTCACGATGTCTACACAATGGTGATGACCTCTGACTAGCACTTCGTAAATGTGCTGCTTCCGTATAATGCGCTGAATAACACTCATACAGCGCATTATACGGAAGCAGCACAATTTACCCACAATTACGGAAGTGCCAGTCAGAGGTCATCACCATTGTGTAGACATCGTGAATTCACACGGTACACGTGAAAAGGGAGCTGAGCTGTATCGGTCTGGTAAGAAAATTGCTCTTATTTTGTTATTTTTAGATCCGATTTTGAAATTAAAGCGCTAATTAAGACCAAAACTCGGACAAAATTTATCAAAGCCACTGTCCAATATTGGTCGGGTGCGCGAAAGTGTGATTTTGGACCACTTTTGAGTTTTGTTTACATGCCTCTCCGTGCAGGGGTATGGGAGCCGTTTAAGGCTCTCTCGAATAATATCATTAAAAAAACATTTCGAGAGAGCCCTTAAGGCTAAGCTTGATGTACAGTGTAGGCCTAGTTGATAGATCTAGGCCTACCTGTAGCATATGTTTGTATCTATTTATCCATTGTAAAATGTACACAATATAAAGGCAAATGGCAGTGGACCACTTTGAAACTGCATTTAGCTTGACCTTCTCCTTGAATCAACATATTATTAAAGAAAATAAACTGTCTAGACCCTTAATTGATTACTAAGAGTAAGACATGTTTTAAATAATAAATTTGTGCAAACTATTGGTAGACCTATTGCAATGTGACAATGACAACTTGATTAAGTGATTAATCTGAACAAGAGATTCACATTTAGATCTACTTAGAGTTGGCTTTACAATAAAACATAGAAACATGGCAAAAGATGCTAAATATATGATACTCATTCAGTTGCTTCAATCTCGACCTTTCCCACAAGATCTCTCCCTTTTCGACTCTGAACCACACACACAGGATTACATGCACGAAGCATCACCACACACACGTTGATTGTGTACCGTTAGGTCTCCCGTTACGTCTGGCTGCTTACTCTCCTATTCAACACCTACATTGGCTGCACGTAGAAGATGCACACGCCCGAAACATGTAACGGAAACATTACAGAGATCCCTTTCTTTTAGGAAAAATCATACAATCTCACCTTAGTCCAAAATAGCTTGGCAGTATATTCCTGCTACTAAAATCCCTAAAATCCAGCTTGATTACAGGTCCTTTAGTATTTTCCTAGGCGTTTTCATTCCACAGTACGAGATAGATCCTCAGTCGGGCCAGCCGAAACACACAACAAGCGCGCACTTACATTTTTCTTCAAATGTGCGTGCAAAATCAATGGAGAGGCGGGTTAATGCTATGGAACTATGTTTCTTGCGCATTTAAGAGGCTTGGCTCGACGAGAGCAGGAGGAAGATGCATGTTGTGTGTAGATTCCAGCTTTCAATTGCATTTACCAAACGAAAAAAGTATATATGTATTTTGCTTAAAAGTATCATGGTTGTTATTTCTTACCTTTCTTACTCTCATGTATCTAAACATTATATGATTCAGTCTAATGAATAACGTGAAACGTTTACCATAGCCACTCGAGTGAAACTCCCAAAACATACGTCCAGTAATACCACTTCGGGACCGCTTTGACCACGCCCATTTTTACCTCAAAAGGAAATTATCTTTATTTTTATTTTTTTAATAAAGTGATATCTACACTTATAATTTATGGCATACAGAATAAATAGAGGACTATAGCTGTTTTGGGGTAGAACTAATAGTCCGAGGTTTCTTATCAACAAAATGTATGCAACTTGGTGGAGAAAATATGCGATTCTTACTTCTGCACAAAACTAGATCATGGCACTGGATGAATAACTCTTGCGTTATCATAACAGTTTTAGGAAAATTGCCTTGCTTCTGATTGATGGGGCGTGACGATAGTTGACGGTAGGCCTAAATAACAATGAATGGTAAACAATATTCATGATGGTGAAAATGTTCGTATAAATTACTATAAGTATAAGTCACCCGAAACAACCAATGCCGGAGAGGTTTCCTGGTATGCAACAAAAAAGGTCTGAACTCTGAAAGTGGTATACAAAATCATCTTATGAGAGACTTAAGCTTATTAACATTATCTACTAATATAAAGAAACACTTTAAGATGAAAGTGATCATCCATTTCAATGCACAATCATATTGCTAGTGCCCCTCCCTCCCATGTGACTAGCAAACTGACTTGTTATACAACCGTCATAATAATGAACCCAAACCTTTGATAGATTTCATTTTCATTACAATTTCGAAAGTCTGTCAAGTTTTGTGAAAGTTCGGCTGACACTGTCTTGATGTTTTTCCCCTTCAGAGCCCAAGTCTGGATCATGCATATTATATATGTACAGTGGCGGATTCAGCCTGAACACAAAAGTCACAAGTCTGTTTTTTTTTTTTGGTAACAGGCACTACAAAATGAATGGATAAAATACTATTACATTAATTTTCAGGTGCCCGCTTTAGGGACCTAAATTTACTACCGGGGTGCATAATAATGTACAAAGAGGGATGCATTTTATTGACCGGGTGCATGTCCCTTGCAACCCCTTGGGTCCACCTCTGATTAAATATGAGAAGGTTAGGTTTCCACTTTGCCCCGTCTTCCCGTAATCTATCGTGAATTTCAGTAGGTTTTGATATCTAATTTTCCCCTTTTTTGTGGTAGAAAATTGAACATGTATGACACCTTGAATGTCAAGATCTTTCACGACTAGACTATCTATATTTAGATATATAAACCCAGTCACCCACTATATCTACAAGGGGAGTATTCATCTCTTGTTCGTTTTTTGTTCAATGGATGAAGACGGTATTACGTAATTCAGTGATTGATGAGATCCAAACACGGCTGTTCTTAATCCCTAATGATGACATAAATCTCTTGACGTCATCACCTCAACCCCTGCACGCGCCATAAAGAGACTGCAATGTCTTTGATCATAAAAATAAATCACTGAACATTAAGCACATGCATATAGAAAAGCCTGGGTACATTAATGTGAAGAAAAACCAGTGATATAAACGGGTAAACCAGGATAAGGATAATATTAGATTAAATTAATTACATAAACGAAATGTATTGTTTATCGAAATTCAGCATAGTTTGCAAGAAAGTTTGAAGAAGAATAATTGAGCCGGGCTATACGAAGGTAGATATTTTAATGAATTTTCAGGATGATTTTTCTCCCATTAATGCCCCCCTCCACTTTTGTATTGATTATTTACACTGTTTTAAAACACGAAAATTGTGTTCTGTGATTATAACAATTATTACGTCATCATATTTTTCAAATTTTCTCCTCGATCCTCATGATGATTGTCTGATAGCGAATATGAAGAAAAAATATCATTGTTTTATGATATTTCAGTCACTGACGAGTAAGTATATGGGCATGTCATGATAACAGTAAAGTCATGAAGAGCTGCACAGTGTAGAGTCAAAAATTGTTTATAATATAACTAAAATGACAATAAAACAACAAAAAGAGTTGATAGTGGTGATGATGATAATGATGATGATGATGATGATGATGATGATGATGATGATGATGATGATGATGATGATAATGATGATTATGATGGTGATGATGATGATGATGATGATAATGAATGGAATATAAGGTATAGACTATACGAGCACTAAAATAACAATTTATTATGAAATCAAAGAAATTATGGTTCTATCTTTCATATACAATATAGGCATCCCTATCAACGCTTTGCCCATAATGTCCTCCCCCCCCCCCCCACACACACATACATCTAATATAATAATCCTTGGTTCCATGAAGCAGCTTTCAACGCCATGCAATATTGGCAAATGAAAATGTAGGTTTCCGCACATCATTTTGCCAAAAATAGAACAAAGCAGAATAATGTTTACGATTATAAATGTCAACTCTGCATGAGTTGTACGTGTTCCACTGTAATTATGATGTATCATGGTAACTGCAGCATATTTCAAACAACGTTTGACATGATTGTTTATTCAATCATAACTCACGACACCAGCAATACATCACAAAATTAATGCATTAAAAAGAGGAAAGAATCATGATCAAAATAATGGTGGTTTGTATACTGGCCACCGACACTCACGATGTCAGTTTCATGTGTGAAAGAGGTCATCTCAATTTCGTCCCAATATCATCACTTATAAAGAGGAGTCTCTATCATCCCATGAGACCATGCTTATATAATTATGATCGAGTGAGATGAAACATTCGTCTTTAATAATCAAGACAGCAATTCTATCTCTAAACGTTATTTAGGCCCATAAAAAGTTTCGATATTATCATCTTAAATTAAACAATAACAACATATTAAACCCTTAAACTCTAATAGACTTACCTCACGAAGGCAATTAAAGAAGTTTGGATTTATATTCCTAATATTAGTCTATCCAAGCAGAAACACAGAACGGATCTTCATCACCAGGGCTTCCAAGAAAATTCAAACGATATACCCCGAAGCTGCTACATTATTTTCTCGCATCTTGTTTCATCATCTCAGTCATGTCGTCTGCCAGACTCTCATTAATTTCTTCGCGACCTAAATTCATGTGTAAAAAAAAAATGTATCTCACATCCACTGGTTATTTACACTTCAGTTCTAAATTGTAATGAAGCAGAAGCCGTCTGTATGCTGTAATCCATTGGTATCATGCACTAAGACCGTGTGGTGTGTATATTGATGCGGGATGATAATGAATTTTGAAAAAAAAAAAAAAAAAGTACAAGGGAGTCTGGCGGGAGAAAAGGGCACGCGCATGCGTAATGACGGCATTCATTTACTAGCATCCGGCGACTCTCAAAGCATAGGATATTGGTATACAATGTGTGCAGATGTAGACTTCCTTTCGTTAGAGATTTGAAAGTAAATAGGAAGGGCACGCTTTCTTTGTTCCACAAAGTTAATTAGAACAACAACACCCAAATATTTCTAGAAGATGAAAAGGTGATCTCCTATTCTTTTGATATCATAAATCTCATGTTCAAAAACTTCCAAAGTTCGATATTATATAATTCTATAAAAATGTATGTAGGCCTACACCTGCTTGAAAAAGTAAATAATATACCTTTGTTTGTGAGTTTTTCATAAACGACAGGTAACGCGTGTATGACGTCACTGGGTTATTAAGAACTTCCTCAGTGGAATATTTTGAAAAACGCTATTATGGTCGAGAAAGCGGCACGGGTGTGATTTCCTATGGGGTACGACGAGACAGATAAATAAAGCAAAAAAGGGAGGGGTATCCGTACCACCATCGGGAGAGCTAGAAATACATCAGTAGCCCCCATCAATCACCTTTAATGTCATTTCAGACATGCTTAACATTCGTAGGCTACCTACAAGGCATCCAATTTAGATCATGTTTGTAGGCATATCATGACGAGAAATTTAACAGGATTTAGTCCAGCATACTAGCTTTTGTTCAACTAGTATGTTGTTTTACATAAAATTGACGCAGTTGTCCTGAAACTATTTTATATGGTAAACAATGAAGCTCAGCCATGTCAGCGGGGTTACGCCGATGATCTACGACGAGGAAGGGGTACCGGTCTTACTCGGTTGATAATATTTGAATTAACAATGCCACCGATATTTAATAAAGCGGGATGAAGCGGGAAGGGGATCCTCCATCGTATGCCTGATCATCTTCTTTTCCTGCCTTTTTTAAATCCCTAATCCATTTCCTTTTAATTTTACATGTATAACCATGTTACCATTATCTGGGGAGTCTGTGTTTTGCCTCCGTATCTACGCCACTGCCAAAGATGATAACTCCATTCTGTATCGTTCTGCCTTTCAACTCTTCGACAGCAAACAAACGTTCACAATCATAATCCACATTTTTAATTATTGAAAATTAAATTAAAATCAAGATGTAACAACCAATAGTTTTTAAATATTTTATGCACATTTGATTTCTTGCAAAATTTACTAAAGAGTCGTCAAGAAAAGATCACTACGGTTTGGGGAGAAACATCCAGACAATTATTAATAAATTGGTCTTTTTAAATGCAAATTGTAGCTTCCGCCTGTTTACACATTCCATCTTCATCTTCCCAAACATTACATTAAGTAGAGGATACAGGATTACTTTCAGTACGTTTTTGTGTGACCTCATCGGGTCACAAACCCGAGCTTCGTGGAATGTTGACAAACTTTGATCACCATGGTTACCACTACCCGCCCTGTATCATATACCAGATCTGTGGGAGAGAGAAAACGAGATGAAAAGCTTGAAATGGGATACATTACGACCCTCCAGAGACCCTACCGTGCGGACCCTGAAGCAGGGTATCCAAGGTGGAATGAGGTAACCGATGGATCTCATTTCATTGACCTTGGGTGACCCGAAGGGTCTATCCCTAGTGCCTGGTGGGACACGCCCACCTCCATCAACCACTGTCTTCATACACGTGTGTACTTTCATAAGGTATCTTTGGGGTTCAAGTCGCGAATTTACTTTTTGCACCCTTTCTAACCTTTGTTAAATCAAACCTTTGTTGAATAGAATAATAAACATTGCCATGATGAACTTCAGGACAGTATTATCTAAGCACCTACGGGTTGTAATGATATAAATCGTAGTTGATTAATTGGGGCTAAACTGTAAGTTTGACTACAAACCTTGTTCTTCATTATATATATTCAAGTTGTTATTTCTCGTGAACAACGTCCAGAATTTGCGTATAATAATAGATACCCAAATGCTGCAGATAATTATATAGATGCAAGCATCAAATGAATTTAGAATTCCCCTATTGCTTGATGGCACCATTGTCATTGAAAACTCTGCTAAAGCCGTGTATTTTTCAGATCGTTGTATTGTCAAAAGAGGGTGCCTTTTGAATCCAACTATTTATAGCTCTCGTTACAAGTTGTACAACCCAGGCATTGTGCAAAGTTCTTTGCCAAACCTCCAATCTTTTGAAAAGAAAGACACTTTTTTATGCGTGGGCACGCTTGCGTATATTATACCCTTTAAAGGTTTGCTCCGAGGGGCTATTAATCTCGGGATCATCACAAAAACCGTCTATTGACTATGAGAGAATAGTAGGTCTATAGAGATACAAGCTCACAAAGCCTCCTCATTGTCATTAACAAAGAAAAGGAAGTGAGTTAGTACCAAGGATTAACTGCACCAGTCAAAAGACAAATTTACCGGTCCACCACCTTCGTTCTCTCAGTTTAAAATTATCTCAACTGCGTACGAAACAAGCAATAAAATGGTGACTACAGTATACTGAATGCAACAGAACTAGTATGATAACGGTGCTATATTTGTGTTTTGATCGAAAATTCGATTGACAGTACAGTGTTTATATGTACGCATTCAATATTATAAAGTATATTAGGCTAAATTCATATCAATAAAATCCAGGCCTAATGTGGAAAAGATTTGTAAATAGAAAAGCATAAACACATTTCAGAGACTCGCTCGAAATAATTATAGCTCTCATAATATTATATCACGACTTCCAGGTCACTGATCATAACGAAAGTGGCGTCGTTGGAATATTCTAAATTTGCACTGCCTGAAAAGCTTGAATGCGTGGAAAGGGGGATGGGGGGGGGGGGGGGTTCCGAGCTTGGGACGATCTGGATTAAGGGAATATAATAACGATGGCATTTAATAATCACATATTTATGGGGTTTCATTGTGAAGTTATTTATCGATATCCTCATAAAATGAAATCGTTTACCCCCCCCCCCCCCACATCATTGTTGGAAACATATTTATGCTACTACAGTACAGGAAAACATGCTCTTTATGTTACAGCTTGATGCAAGATATAAAATCAAACCACAATCATTGATTTAATGAAAGTAATTAGACAATCAGCATTCATTAGACAGCTAACTGTGCTTGTTTTGATAATAAAAAAGTATGTTATTCTCAATCGTCATCAGGTAATTCGTCTGAATTAATGATCACAATTTTGCATTAGAAAACCAGGTGCTAAGGAACGCGGTTGAAGCTTTGATGTCCACGATTGTTATAATTACCCAAAACGGCTGATAATAAGGATGGATGAAGTTGAAAACTGTGTTTTATAATCATCAATAATTTTGATATTTGAATTTAGTTGGCGTTTTATCGTCAATAATTGTTTTAGCAGAAGTTGGATATTAATTATTATCAAAAATATATCATGGGAAAATACATATACATAATATTTCAAGATATGGAATATCCAATATGTTTCTATCGCCACCCAACCTGACCACACCTATTTAAAATGGTGGCATTGTAATTATGGGATTGTGTTTTTATAACTATGCTGGCGGCAAAATAATTAAAAGAAAGTGAATTGCGGTAAAGTGTCCCGTATTCATGATGACATATTTCTATCAGATTGAATTGAATCTATACCAGTGACATGCCTGGTTAAAATGTATTTGAAAAACACAGGGCATGTTTTTATTTATTTTCCTTTACTTTTGACATACAGTGGTATATATCTATAATAGAACCGGATAAAGCCAGCAGATTCCTTAACATCACGGATTACATAGCCCACTGCAGGGTATAGTAACATAATTCTTAGCTATCAAAATCCGTCAGTTTTCTAGTATTTTTTCCCCGGAAGAATTAGATTGTCATAACTGCCAAACAAATATATTTTACTCTGCATACTGCATATGGAGAAGTAGACTGAAAATAAGATGAAATAAATGTGACGACAAGCCACAGTGAGCAAAATGGCCCATAGAAAAAGTTGACAGACAATGCCATACTGCTCAACACGTTATAAATTATCACAGATTTCGCTGTGTGAGCTATATTGTCAACTATTTTTATGATCACTTCACCTTTGATATTAAACAGAATTCAAACAAAAACTGCAGCGGGTGATGCTCTTAAATACCAGTGTGATGTCAGTACGAATGCAATCAATGTACAGGGTGGATAAATAAAATAGTTTGATTTTGGAATGGGTATGAGGAGAAATTTGAAAAGGGGTACAAGACATTTTACTTAAAAATGAAAAGCAAAAGAAGAAGTAGAAGTAAGATGAATTGTCTATGATTAGATGAATGCAACTTTCACTTATCTTAGGCAAATTTACTATGGATATATATTATATATATATATATATACCTACAGATACTTTTATTCTACCACTCACACCATCACCATTGTCATCTTCAGCAGCAGAATAATCATCACAAAATAGATCATGGAATCTACCATTATTACTGCATCACTGATGCCAACACGACCACCACCATCATCATTACCATTACCACTACTGCTACTAAAACCACTCTAATGTTCACAAGTGCCATCTCCATCACAATCACACCACCATCACAACCATCACTGTAACTTCTCACACCACCACTATCAATACCTCTAATATCTTGTATCAGGATTTATTTTTAATGAGACACCTTATAGTAGAAGGTTGGGCAGGGAATGATTGATGAAATATTTACTAGCATAAGAATAAAAACAGAATTCCAACGAAGGTCTAAATCTATATGAATATCATTGATTACACTTCAAAGTTCTATACTTGAAAAATTAATGGGATTTGTTCCAATATAGAATCTTAAATTAACAAGGAAGCCAAGGCGACCATTGGATTTATTGCTCTATGATCCCTCACATACAAATGGATAATTTCATCAGAATTTCATAACAAAGGATTTACACTTTGCTTGAACTTGAAACTCACATAATA